TGAAGTTTACATGAGGTGGACTTTAATGGTACTGGTTACCGTGTGGATATGGAGAAGAAAACTTGTGGATGTGGCTATTGGCAAATGAATGGCATACCTTGTATGCATGCTATGTGTGTAATCACGACAACAAGGTTAGATCTCAATGATTATGTCTCTGATTTTTACTTGACTTCAAAGTGGAGGCAATTGTATTTTCGAGGTATGAGACCTGTCCAAGGAATGAAACTGTGGAGACGGTTAGGTAGGTTGCCTGTTTTACCACCACCACCAAGGAACAAAAAGGGAAAACCTCATGACCATGCTAGAAAAAAAGCTCCTCATGAGTCGTCCTCTAATCCTTACAAGTTAACACGGCATGGTCGTGTAGGAACTTGCTCAAACTGCAAAAAAGAAGGACATAATAAGACAAGGTGTCCGGATCCAAGTGTACCTCCTCCACCAAAACGGCCAAGAGGTCGTCCAAAAAAAAACCAGGTTTGAGACCGTTGATTTCAGATTTTATGCTTGATTGGTGGTTTGGATCTGTTGCTGCTTATGCTTAATTCATTGCTTTTGTTTGTGTTACACACAGGGAGAGTCATCTCAAGGTGGAGCTTCTCAAGGTGGAGATTCTCAAGCTGGATCATCACAAGTAGGAGCTTCTCAATCATCACAAGGAAGATTCGGTTTCTCTTCTTAATCGTGAAAAACTTGTGTTCTTGTTTTGTTGAATCATATCAAGCTTGAGCATTTACAACATGAAGTACGTTTTATGTTTTTTTTGTTTAGACTTGGTTTCTATTTTTTTGATTCTTTTTGTTTTAGACAAAACAGTATGTCTCAAAACCGTTTACACCACCATCTCTTACAAGTCTCCAAAGCTTTAACATCATCTCTTACATAATCTCTTACATCTATCTAATAAACTGATCATAGTACATAATCTATAATCACATTAGTTACCAAATACAAGAGTGCTTCATTCACCATGGTTAAACACAATGTGATACATTATCACAAATGCCAACAAACACAAACAAAAAACAAGCACAATGTTCTTGATCTTGAGTTTGTTTAGTTCCTTTTTGCATTCGATGACCTCTTCAACCATATTTTCCATCTCACTTGTCATATTCTTCACTTCAATCTTCTCAACCATAACCTTCAGCTCATTCACTTCTTCATACATCGCATCTTCACCCACCTGAATAAGTGACCTTTCTAAAATCAAGAAACAAGAGCTTAGTACCATTACAAATACGTTCCAACTACAGAAAACGAAGAAATTACTAGCTAACCTTACGAGAAGCACCACAGCGAAAGTATGGACGTCCAGGATTATCTATTGACTCTGATACATACTTCCTAACATGACTTCCACAAACACATTTTTTGGGAAATCCTTGTTCTCCATAGAAGAACCCATACCCAGATGAGTTCCCAAATTCGTCTCTACAATTGGAACTTATCTCCTCCTACACGTAATCAGATCCAGTTCCATCATTCTATCATTTCATCAATCGATTTTTATTTACAGAGATACACACACTTACATTTTTAGTGGCAGACAAGATTGGTTCTGTTTCTGGGCAACGATTTTTGTTCTTCGTGATGTTCTTCATGGCTTCTCACTGAACTTCGCCGGATCTCGTTTGCAATTGCCCAAAATCGTTTTTTCCCCCAAAATCGCAATGTTTAGGGATTGGAGGATTTGGGAATTAGGTCTAAATTAGGGATTTCGTTTTTCCGCTCTTTAACAGTTTGATTTTTGAGTTTAGAAAGAGAAAACGCGATTATTATCGCGATATACGTTAACGATGTTCCATCTACTGTTAAACAGTTGACTTCATTAATCTCAATTTTAAGCAGTCAACGTTAACATGAGGAATAAAACTGCGCAAGTGATACTTGGGGAATATTTATTCTCATTTCAAATAGTTCAGGATTTTTATGAGCAAAATCCCCATGTTGGTTTAGATTCATGTGTCCATTTTAACTAACTAATCCACTTACTAACTAAATGTAGCTAACGTTATTGGGCTTCAGGTGGAAACAAATAGGCCCATTCGCTTCTAGAACCTTTTATATAAAAAAGAGGGTTCCCAAGGCCAAACTCATAGGAATTATTTACTGTGACATACTCCGAGAACTCCAAAAGTCTACCAATTTGGGGAAGAAAGGATATATATGACAGAACTTTCTATCATATGGCTTTTCTTTTGTATTGATTATTCTTAGTTACAAATGACGAGGACGAAAATGTATTTATCACAACCACAACTACTGTATTCTAGTCAAACAAAGAGTAGTTTAGTTTTATCATTGGCCTATAATTCAACTTGACCCAAAATTAAGTTTAATTTCTTGAACCCAAAAAGAAGACTAATCTAATCTTACAGTTTTATTTACATCACCTCTTCCAGCTGGTTTTTTTTTTTTTTTTTAATCTTGAAAAGATAGAAATATTGTGTGTATGATTGAATATGCATCGTTGCTTATCCCCATATTTCCAGCTGGAGTGATTTGGAACGTTCCCACTTCGCATTGAATTGAATGCGTCCGATTTTCTAATTGTAGTTGACATGTAGTTTTAAATCTCCATTTTTAGGGACGCTTGTGAAAATAATTTTGTTATAAATAATTTTTTTTTTTGAGAAATGTAAAAGGATATTATAAACAAAAAAAAAACATTTCAAACAACATTTTATTATCATCTATTACTACTAAAGTAGGGGTTTAAGTGTTTTTTTTTTTCTTTAAAAAAAATATTAAAAAGGTCTGAGAAATTTTAGTAGTCTTTTTTTTCACGAAATTTTTAGTAGTCTTTTGTAATTGTAAGTCATATCAGGATTTTTTAAAAGTTTTCAAAACAGTTTATAAATATTCAGAAAACTCACGTACGTCTTCATGAATTTCGTACAAATTTTATATCCCACATGCTCACATCATAAGTGACCTGTTGTGAGTCTTGTGAGTTGTGACTTGTGAACAATACGCACATCCATGTGGTAAACAATGCGTGCATCAACGACATTTATCTCGAACTTTCTCCTAATTTATCTTTATCGAGTTTCTCTGAAATAATTTGGGCGATACGTGTACCTAAGTTACTTTTCTTCATTTTTAATATTTTTATTGACTTCACGTAATTTATACTGTACCTGGATTAGTTAGTTATCCCTATTTCAAACACGTTGAATAATCTAAATATACGAGAAAGACATGGTGCAACTCTTATAGCAACTTTTACTTTTTCAACCTCTTTAGTCTTTACGTTTTATTAAATTATTTTTTTGAACATGCATTTTATTAAATTATTAACATATAACAACGACCTATTTACAAAAATAAAACTAATAGAGGACATATAACATATAATTTTTTGTTTGACAGCATAAAAGTTTATATTGATAATGTTGTGTTATAATTCAAGTTCAAACTCGTATAGTTATGCATGCTGTTAAAAAAAGACTAGAAATAGTGAAATGTAGATGTCAATGTTTAAATAACATTCATTTTTTGTCTTATACCGAATTTAAATGCTTATTTTAGATTCATACTTTAACTCTATTGTTTCGGTTTAAATTACCAACCAAACACTTGAAGAAGATTAAAATTTGCAATTGAAATCGACCAAATTAAAGAACTCAGAGTCTTCTTACCACGATTATCTCTTACAATTTAACACATTAATTAATTAAATATATCATCATACGGACACTGTCATCGAGATCATTATCATCATCATATAATCACATCATCGTAGCATCATTAATATCTTTTGTAATATACGATCTGATGGTTGAACAGCTTATATATACATTATTGGAAAATGGCGTCATCCATGGAAGATTTGTGTCTATATGATTCTTTCTGACTATGAAAAGCTTACGTTATACTTATACGTGTGTAATGTGTTACTCCATTATTGTCGGACAAATGTTGAGATACTAATTTTCTTTTGCCGAATATATGGACGTTACCGCTACCTCTGATCCAGTGATCCGAGACTCTTGGACCGTTGGCCCCAACCAATAAATGAATGTGTGACGCTATCATAGCGTCGCTAGGTAATCAAATTGAACATTATGTGTTTGAATAGATTATCTGTTAATATACATTTTAATAAGTATAACCAATGAATAGCAGCCATAGAGCCTAGAGTCACAAGAGTATAATGGATCTTGTTCAATATACTTTTTAAAAATTAATATTTTAGCAAAGGTTTATATACTAGTACTATTAGATTAATATTGGAATGGTGAAATAGCAAAACACTTGAAAATAACAGATTTAGATTTTGGCGATTAGTCTAGAAAATAGACACGATATAAATAAATAGGGTATTTTGAGAAAAAAAATGAATACAACTTTCCTTAAACAATGTTATAGACGACTTTCCAACAATAAAATGGTTTGTCTTTTTCGATTCTTATCCACTATATAAGTATCGAATTTTTCACGAGAGTATCTTTTAAAATCAAGAACCACTAACTAAACTTTGAGACTTTTAATTTTTCGAATATTATGTTTTCAAGAAATGTTGCACGTTTTCAATTTTTTTTTGTTCTTAAACGAATTTACCCGTTCAACTTTCCACATATCATGGTGGTGGTGACGCACTCGTTCTAGATTTTTCACATTACGCAAGTGTAGTCCGACATTAAAGTCTAGGTCGTACCAACACACGTGAGCCAAGTTCTCCCACTTGTAATAATTTAGCTCCTTTATCTTTTTAATGATTTATTCAAAGTGGCCTTTTGTGGCTCACAAAATCACAAAGTCTAACTAATTTAGTTCGACTCATGACCCTTACCTATCTCCAAATTTCACCCCTTCACTAAAACACAAAACGATGAAAACATCAAATAAAGTATTGCTTTTAAAAAAAACACACAAGTGTGATGGATTGATGGGTTTCAAACTTTCATTAGCTTACATTGGGAACATATAACATGTGTACATATTACTTCACCATCTTTCTTATCTATTTCTTTAAACAATCATCTACAATAACATTATTTTCTTTTGCCTTTGTCATCATCCTTCTTCTCTTCCTCCGCCACCACCGCCGATCTTGCCGGAGCCGGCGCTGCCATCTCCATCTCGTTGGCCAACGCTTTTTCTCTAAACTTCTTGTAGATATCACTCTTGTAAAACTTATTGGTCCGGATCACCAATATCATCGAGACCAATACACCAAACAAAGTTACCGCGGTAATTATAATAAAAGACAACTTAAAACATGACGTTCCTACGCAACTCAAATCTTGACCAGACTTTCTCAGTGTCCCTAATGCATTGTTTTGCTTCATCGCCTCCTTATCGTACAAATACCCCGCGACCTGAACGTTTAGCAAATAAGACCCGATCGGGCTCGCGACCGAACCAAAGTTATACAACGTCGAGTAGTACTTAAGCCCGAAAATCTCGGAGATGATAGCAAACAGAAGCGGCCATTGCGCACCGAAACAAAACCCTATGATGACCGAAGCCACGTAAAGTCCTCCGGGAACATTAAACGCGATGAGGAGGTGGCCGGCGCAGGAGAAGAGGAGGATCATCGTGAGCATTATAGGTCTTGGGAATTTGTACTTGATCAAGAAGATCTCAGAGACAACACCTGAAACCACACGACCAAAGTAATTCCATATGCTCACGAGTGACACGAACGTGCTTACGCTTCTCTTTGGATAACCTAACGAGTCTCCGATCTGACGCAAATTATCTATCGCCGTCAAAGTCCCTCCCACGCCACAGATCGTCGCCAAGAACAGAATCAACATGTCTACACTAAACAACGCTTGCAAGATCGTGTAGTCATCTCCTCTCTCCGGTGGACTAAACATAGTCGTCCAACACGACGCCGTTTTAACCTTATCCTCTTCTTTCTTTGACTCTTTGACCTCTGCCAACTCTAAGTTTGGTTTCTCCGTGACGATGTTGATCGGTGCTGGATTGTTTAAGGCGACTTGTTTATCTGTCCAGAGCTTCCTCTCTTCCAAGACGACGACTATGATCGGCAAAAGAAGCAAGATGATCACCACAGCGGCGCTACCGCCGAACTCGCTCCTTGTAAACCCGGTGAGTTTGTCGGTGATGATTGCTATCATGAGAAACGTCGCGAGCCCTAGCGATATGTAGAGGAAGTTGTAGAACACTTTTAGCTCGTTTGTCTGCCTCACCACTTTCATTATCCTTATCGTCCTCAAGAACGCAAACGAGATTGCTGCTGGCAACCAACCTGCAAATGCAACCACTCATACAATTAGTCTTGTTTTTGATCCAAAATAATTAATTTATCTTTTCTTGAATTTTTGGAGATAGAATCAAGATTCATGTAATAATTATGAAACTCTGTTTTTCTCTGTTTCATAATCATTAACCATATGGTTTTATAAGTTTTTTTATTAGAATTTGTGTAATTAGTAATTACCAATCATCAAGATGACAGATTTGGTGTCGTCGCCGTAAAAGGCATGGAAGAGCTGAGTAATGATGGCGCCACTAAGACCAACATAGCCCTTGAGGATCCCCAAGACGACACCACGTGACTCCGGGAAGTTCTTGACGCACGTGACGAGCGATCCGGTGTTAGCGAAGGACTGCGAGTTGGCTCCAACGCAGATGTAGAGACACATTTGCCAAACTTTAGGCTTCGAGATCCGTTCCGTGACGGCGAGCCAAATCATGAAGTAGCCGAAGAAGTTAAGTATACCTCCGATCAAGAGGACGAACCAAGGAGGAGTGACCTCGTTGATTAGACCAGCGAGGACTCCGACGTTGGCTCCAAGATCTTTGAAGAAACTGAGGAGGTTAAGAGTGGTTTGGTCGTAGTGTAAGGCGTCCTTGATATCTCCTGAGTAGAGACTGAACATATAAGTGGCTCCAGCCGCCGACATGATTAAGAGACTCCCGAAGAACATGAACCATCTTCCGGTTAGGATTTGGATGGTCAAGCTCTTCATTGAGCCGCCGCCGGGACTTGCAGCCACCATCTTTTTTGGTTTTGGTTTTGGGAGAGAAGTGTGTGTGTTCGAGAGGGGATGCTTGTGGGTTGTGTTCTTGTTGGAATATATTAGCCACGAAGTGTGCGTGAGAGAGAAGAGAGAGAGAGGGCGAAGAACGTTGTTGTTGACGTTGACTTGGTAGAGTGATAAGACAGGGGAAGGTTGGAATTGGAAGTTATATGCTTAATTTTTTTTCTTACAAGATAATTATATACACAAAAGTGTGGCAATAATTTCAATGCAGATATGGATGATTTTTCCTGGTAAAGAAAAAAAAAGATTTTGACTAGTAGGATGCAGAAGAGAAGGGAGGAGAGAATAGTTACATAGTTACATTTATGGTAGGTAGGAAGATCAAGATAGATCTTTAAGACTCCCCGTATTAAGTAATTTTACATGTGGACAATGAAATTCAATGCTTTTTCCAGTAACGTCAATTTTGTTTAGTAAGCCGGCCAGATTTTCATGCATATTAGACATCTATTACTAGTTTTAAAAAGAATTTGTAGATAACGTTTTCCTTTTTTATTTAGTATGATTTGTTTTTCATCCGTGTCATCTACATGTAAGATAAATCTTTTTAAACTTTAGTCTATCTTTACCAGTTGACAATAATGTCATTTTCGGAAAAATCTGATTTTATTTAGAATTTATACAAAAAATATATTTCCAATTCATAAATGAGTGACAACAAATCAAAATTCCACAATTATTGGAAATTTATATGTAAGAGTTGGCAGAAACATTTAATTTGGGTTGAGAGATTTTATTTTTAGGTGATCTAAAAATATTAACAAATAAAAAAAAATGTATAGGGAGTCTAACTGTCTTGCGGATAGATAAGCAAATTATACGTTTTTATTCTTTTGATTTTGTTATGGATGTTGTTCATCCTATTTTTTGTTGAGGACTTTGATGGGATCTCGATACCACAACAAATTTGATAGTAGTTTTTTTCATTGTTTGAATAAATTGGGGTTTTGCCTCCTTCGACCATTCGACCAAAAAAAGAAGATAGAAACAGTTTGATAAAATAATTTATTATATAAAGCTGGATGCGCACGACGTGGTTGCGACACGTAGGATTTTTATAAAATTCAGGATCGCGACATGTGTCACTTTTAAGTTTATATCCGTTAAGATCGTGACACGTGTCTTAGGAAAAAGGAGAACTTAAAAAAAAAAATTCCAGAAAAATGTTAATTAAAAAAAACGAAATTTAATTTAATCTATTATATCAAAAAGGAAAAAATAATATTTGCCAAATCCAAACAGAAAAAGGTTTCCCATTCATCAATTTTTTATTATATAAAGTTGGATGCGCACGACGTGGTTGCGACACATAGGATTTTTATAATTTATAAGATCGCGACATGTGTCACTTTTAATGTTACGTCCGTTAAGATCGTGACACATGTCTTAGAGAAAAAAAAGAAAAAATAATAATAAAAAAAATTTAGATAAAGGAATTTAAAAAAAATTAATCCATTACAGTTAAAAGAAATAAAAATATATTTGTCATATCCTAATAGAGAAAGGTTTCTCATTCATCAAATTAATATTATCCAAACAAATAATAAAATCAAAATAATGTAATAAATAAAATCCTATTTGTACATGGAATATGTTATGTAAACTAAATTTCCTATAACTGCATGTAATAGGTTACTTGAACCCCTATAAAAGAGAGTCAAGATTTCTCAATCATAAATTCATCAAAGAAAATTCATCAAATCCCTTTGATTCTATTTCTCCAATTTAAAAATCATGTTTTTGAAAGTTTTGCGATACATAGGATTTTATAACTGACAAAATTGCGACATGTGTTTTAGAAAAAAAAATATTCGGAAGTATGAAGATCGTAACATGTGTCATGGAATAAAAATAATAAAATTTAATATGTATAAGACTAACTAAAAATTAGAAAAACAGATAACAAATAATTAAAATGAAAAAAATAATACATCCATTAAAAGTAATAAAAAAACAGGAAACAAATAATTTAAATTCTTTTGTTACATCTATTAAGAAAAGGAAAAAAAATCCATTTCGAAAAGGAAAAATACCAATATATAGTATTTATAATGGTCTGAGGCAAAAACAAAATTGAGAAAGAAAAAATATAAATAGAAAACTAACAAAATAATTATCAAGCAATAACTAATATTAACAATTAATATTAAAAAATTATAATTGATATTCTAATTTTAAATAGTTTGATTTTCAATTTTTGTTAGGTAAAAAAAATTGAAATAAAGATTTCATCAATTAAAATCTCTTGAATGGAATAATAAAAGTTTGATTAATTAATCAGTTGATCAGATTTAGACATGTGTAAGTCTTTCTGTATTGGATAAAAATAATAGTAAAACAAATTAATTCATTTTGTCATATCATAAATTCAAAAGAAAAATCAATTACAATAAAAATGTAAAAGTATTACCAATCTTATTTTATTTAAATATTTTTATCGGGTTTTCAATATTATTTTGTTTACGTTTAAAAATGATCAAATTTTGTTTAATATTTTCCATGCTTTTATTATAAAATCTTAAAATATACCCGCGTATACGCGGGCCTTAATCTAGTACTACTATAAACACGGAAAACAAATGTAAAATAGTGGAATGTTGACATACACAAAACCTGATGTTATATCTTACACACAAAAAAAAAATTATTGATTTGAATCTTTCACTAAGATATTGGATAAAATTAAGATAATCTCCTTTTCTTTTCTTTATTTATGGAACCTTAATTTATAAATGAATTTGTTTTGTAAGATATAAAGGTGTAAAGACATCACATGACCACACAAATTAAATTATTTATGAATAGATTCTTATAATAAATGCAACTAGCACGTGTCCAATTATTTTGGACAAACATTGATATTGAAAAATTATAATGCTTTTAAAGTTTGTATCAATAAACATAGTAAACTGAAGTAGAGTAATCGTTAACAGACAAGGCATATATAGGCAGCACAACAATTAAGTGTACAAGTTCAAAGCACCTTCAATGCAAAATAAGTTAATGAATGCTTGAGTTTCTGAGGTCCCTCTTTTTTCCATGAAACAAGGTGTTTATAGTTTCACATACTAATAGCTAGGTTCGTTGTTCCAAACTCAAATGCGTATAAATTTTAAAATATTATACGTATATAGAAAAACTTACATGATAAACAAAAACAAAAACTACTTCTTTTTATTCAGTTTGCGTTTATAATTTCTAAATGATCTTGATTAAAAATAAAATGATGTATCTTTAAATTGAAAACAATAAGCTCTCTATAAATTAATATTTTCAGACTTAATGAGTGATAGTATCTCAACCCCTATTGTAATTGTAGATACCATTTTTCCAGTTAAAAAATCTAATTATATAGTTTAGTCAGAAAACTACAATTTTTTTTATTTTTTATTATATGATCTGGCGAATCTCTATGATAATAACATTGTGCCAAAATTTAAATTGTATATTACAGTAGTTTGGATGACAATGGAAATCGGCGTTAGTTGTCTACAACTTGATCAACGTGGGAAATGAATCATCAAAAAGATTTTCCAGTATGATTTTTCTCTTAAGTTGACTCACTTTCTTCAACATCTTAATTTGACTAGTAAATTTCAATAATGCAGTTTTTGTTTCTATGTGCAGTGTCCTATATCTAGAATCAAAGAATTTGTAAACGCATGAGTAAGACAAAGTCAAAATACTATCTGGGACATCTTTTTCTGCTTATCAAGTTATGTTTCGGTGCATTTAATCTAACAATTAGGTCGACAGAAGAAATTTCTTATAAGTAGTGCAGAATGGCAACTGCTCGTATTATCTTTCCTCTCCTTTAGGTTCACATATTTTTTTAAACTTACTCAGAAGAAGAAGAAAAAAAAACTTATTCAATTCAATCCATATTCGAAATTTTTGGATATCTAACGATTGAAATTATTGTAACCAAATTAAAAGAATTTATTCAAATTTTCAATCAGAGTATTTTTATCGGTTTCAATATGATCAGCTTAAGATTTCTAAATTGAATACTCCTGAATTCTTTTTATTTATACCATGAAAGAAATAATATCAGGGAAATGCGATATCAAACTTGTTAGACTGTAATCACATACATCAATAAATTATCCTATTAACAGAAAATTTTGAAAAAGTATTTGCAAATATTTACTTTAATATAATTTCCATAGTTCTGTTCATTTTAAATATTTTATTTTTATATGTAAAAATGAAATTGTGATACCAAATTCGAATATTTTTTTTTAATCAAACCAATCGGTCAAACTAGCTAATCACATCGCATTTAAATACTAGTAAGTATGTGATAAACTAGATTATTTATATGTTTTGAGTCACGGAACTTCAGTTTAGAAAAAAACTAAGACATATAATCCTTAAATAATATAACCAGCCAGCAAAATTGCAGGACCATGACATGCTTGTCCATTTCATGTCATAAGTACGAATTACTAGTTGATTGGTCTGATCTCAGATTCTCAATGCTTGATAGAGATGTTTGAGTATAATAATTTAGATTAACTTTCATTGAATAGTCGGTCAATGTATAGTATTTGTTTTGATGCACCTTATTTCTGTATTGAATCATTTAATGGTCTTTGGTTCGTAACCACAAATAAAATACTGAAGACGTATACAAAATGGTATCTCTTAGAAAAACTTATATATGACGTATATCTGACTCTGAGTATTCCCATACAGTTGGACAATGAATACATTGAATATGTTGACTTTTAACCACGATTTCGTTGACTTCTGTGATTTATTGATTAATGGATAAACCCCATTCTCCCTCAATCCTAAGCTACTGTATAACCCTAATGCACTCTGATAAAAGTCGATCAACCTCTACTCGATCCTACAATTTTTTTATTTATTTGTCTTTTCTGTATATAAAAGTATTAGATTTTCTTTTTTCTTTTATATATTTTCTTGACTTTTTGCATATGGGCAAATATTTTGCATTATTCATCATTTGCATTCTTGATTTTTGTGTTTATTTCCAAGTAGTTTTCTTCATACCTTCTCCTAAATTCGGATCATCGGCATAAGTGGTTATCTCGGATTCCCTATTAATAATAGTATAATACCGGTTTGAGTGGTTTTTAATTTGTGTGTTTATGGATCAGATATGTTCTTAGTGAAACCCGTCAACCCGGTACATTCTTTTGGGTATTCTAGACTTATATATACATCTGAATTTTACATTTTCATGTTATATAGGTCCTAGAAATGAAAAGAAGAAATAAAAAGTAACATTAGATAAAATGAGTAAAAACACACATGAAAAGTTCAAATTGTTTTCGGGTATACGAACTCGATGAAATTGAGTAATCTGCAAAAACTCTGTTAAAGCCAGTTTCATCTTCTCATTTGGTTTAATTTTTCCTTGAGCTCTTGAGGATAGAGCACCCGATGTTTCATGATAGGAGATTGATACATACACTATAGTATATTATTTATGCTGTGTCGTCATAAGGATTTGCCTTGGGGGATTATTCTTTTGTGCGTTCATACATGTAGAAGAATAAACACTACTGGTCATATATTTTCATATCTATGACACATATGATAGACGAATAATCTTCACGGTCAAACTCCAAACCATATAAAAAATGATTCTTGAAGGCAACCCAAACACTAATAAATATCTACTGTATACTTTACTTTTTTAAAATGATTCGCGTGTGCTTATTTTAATGGTACTGTATAATGATTTGGAATGAAACGTGGTTGCAAATATGTGAAACTTAGAAAGAATTTGGAAGTAATGGAAGAATATAACCGTGTGCGGCACTAGTCATATGTATGGTCACTGTCGGAGTTCGTGTGAGGCACCGATGGATAGATCAATTGAAAACTGGATGGGTCAAAACTTTCTCTGTCAAGCTAGTTGGATAGCTTAACTCGGATGTAACTGGACCAGCTTCTAGTCTTGGACCCCAATCCGATGCTAATCCATATCATCAAAGGTTACTATAAGAAAAAATTAATCACTGATTAACTTCTTGATAAGAGAACTAAAGTAAAATGTATGATGCGTTGGTCACTTCAGTCCTAAAACGACATGGAAGAGGTGTGGCTATACATGTTGAAGCCCAACATTCAACATTGTGACATATTGACAAGTCCAATACAAGCCCACAACCCTATGTTTTTCTATTTATTTTTTGTGGTCATATCAACCTACACGAGGTATCATAAAACTCATTAACGGTAGACTAAACACTCTAAAAAAAGAGAGATGTTCTCTAGCACATTTAACTAGGTTATCTTAGAAAGTAGATCTTAATTATATGTGTTACGAACATGAATGAATGTAGTTTAGGGTTATCGTTTGTGCAACTCCCTTATTCCTTCCCCATTTCTTCATAATCATAGAACATTTCAGTCATTTATTGTTCTTGTAAATGGTCGTTGCGTCTCCTCTTCTTTTTCGATAAATTAAGCTCAATGAACTTACAATCTATCTTGCGAAAGATTACTTTCAATGCACATAAACAGGACGTTTCCCAACACCGTGCGTTGGTCCATGCACACCAAGAGAACGACAACACTTGTTATCTTGGTCTTCGAAACCGTTCCAGTTTGTAACCATAATGATGAGTATTATAAACCAAGAAAGTGACTTTTTTGGAGTCCACTATGATCTATGAATATGATTTCATAACAGCTTCTTGATACGTTTCTATTCAGCACGCTCCCAAGTTCACATCTTTGAGCTTACGTTAAATCATATCATTACAAAAAGAGAGATACAGTGTCCAATCAATTTGAATCTCCAAAAGAGATTTGGTCTCATTACACATCCTTTTCTTTTTTTTGATAAAGATTTCCAATTAAGAATATGTTATTGACTTTTTGGATATTAGAAACAGTGTATCAAGAAATTGAAAGAAATATAAGGAAAGACAAAACTGAAAGGAATCATGATGTTGCTCAAAATCAATGACTCTGTAACAAACAGAGAACATAAGACAAAAGAGGTGCTAAAGTAAGTTGGCAATTCATCTTCTTGATTAACAAAGAAGTTAAGCTCTCTTTTGTTCAATCTCTAGTCTTACACACTGGTGCTGATTATGAATTTGTAAATATGCCTTACAAAGTTTTGTTATCATAAAGCTTTTTTTCAGTCAATAAAAATTACACTTTAACAAAGCAAAAACAACAACACATCTCTAAGGATATTCGAATGGACAAGAAAGAGGCCCATTTCGAAGATGTTTGGCTGTTTGCTATCTTCTCAAAAGACATTAATCTATACAACTTAAAATTAGAAGATAAATCTCTTCAAAACATACAATCAATATCCTTAAAAACCGTCTCCTGATCACTTCTTCTTTCACCGGATCGCTTAAACACAACAGTGGGAGCGATTCTACAACTCCTCCTCTGATGCTCAAGCACTAGCTCACCGGCTAACCAATCCAGCTTCTCATAGTTACTTTCTTCATTGATCTTCTTACCACCAAACAGAACCGACTCCACATTCTTCTGCTTCAGCATCTCCTCCGCTACTCCCACAAGCATATTCACATTACTTGGACTCGCGTCTGTGTCTATGTTCGGTCTACACGGACCAAAACTTGACCCATTCGCCTACAAAAACCATCCAAACAATAAATATCAATACTCAATTTTTGGGCCCAATGGTTACTAATTTTAACCTTTTTATTTTACCTGAATACGGACGTAGTTACTGCTCCGGGACTGACCAAAGGCCATGGAAACAGCCTGGTCCACAGTATCAGCCGAGCCATCAGCAGAAATCCTCACCGCGGGTCGAGCCCAATGCTTAGCCTTCCACTTCATAACCTTGTCACAATCATACTTCACATCAACCAACTGTCCTGTTCCAAGAGACAACACAAGCAAATCCTCAACGCCTCTAACGAACGGAAACTCTTGTTTGTTATGCAGCACGTGTGTGATCGCTGCAGCCGTTGGATTGCTCATCGCTAAACCACCGTCAACCGCAACGCACCGCGTTTTACCATCCACCGAACTCATCTCAACCGGCTCGAACACTCCCGGCTCAGCCCACGTGGCTTTACAAACCTCCCACAGCTTGAAATCGTAGCCGTCCGTTTCCAACGCGTCGGCGCGCGAGAAAAGGAACGGTGCGGAGCTCGTGAGGTCGTAGCAAGGAATCAGCACCGGTTTAAGCGTGTCCTTGAGCGTGAGCTCAGCGAACGAGTCTTTCATGGTTTTCTCGAGCTTCGAACCGGACCCGGTTTTCATCACCCGGTTTAGGATCCCTTTAGGTGGTGATTTGTAGAAGCTTTTGCCGTTTTTCGCTAGGAACCGCCACGTGTCCTCCGCCTTGAACATCGGACGGTCACCGTCGCTCGACGCGAATAGCATCGCCGTGAAAATCCCGCCGATTCCGGAGCCGGAAGCGACGTCGAAGTAATCGGCGATTCGCGCGTTCGGGTCACCGGATTTCGATTTCAGGGCGTGTTCTAGATACGCCAAAGCTTTTCCGGGGATAATCCCTCTCATTCCGCCGCCGTCGATGCTCAGAATACAGATTTTCCCTCTCTGGTTCTTAATCGATCCCGGAACGACGCCGTTTAAAGCTTCCACCATCGTTTCCTGCTCCGGGCTCGGGTCTCGGCTCCGGGATTCCATGAGCTTCGGGTCGTCGTCGTACCCGAAAAGGAACTTGCTTTCGAGAATCGAGAAAATCTCGTAGCTGAGCTTATCAGTCTCGATGCTCGGCTCCTGCATATCCTCCGCCGTTACTCCTCCGTTGCTGTGTTTGATCAAATGGTGCTTAATCGCCGCCGGCGGAGATTTTCCGATTGGAGCAGTGGGTTTGTTGTGTACTCTCTGCATCGTAATTAACCAAATAAACCTAACAAACAACCGAAGAGTATTTAATAAACCCTTTAAACACTCTCTCTAGGCATTATCGCCCGGATAAGACAAAACCCTAAATCCTTTTTATAATTTGTCAGACGAACACGAGAAAGAAGATACGAGTAGTCAACATTTCATTCTTCTTTCTCTCTTTTTTTAATTTTCCCTCCTTAAATCAACTCGAAATTCAAAATAAAAATTCAAGAGAAAGGCAAAGTGATTTGGGGATTAAAGAAGATAAAGAATGGAGAATGATACTATAATTCACTCTTGAGAAGACAAAAAGAGTGATTTTTGTTTTCCTCTTTAATCACGACACGACAGAATCAAGAAATCACGGAGGTAAAAGCAAGAGATGAAGAAGAAGCAAGAACACAGAAGATGCAAAAGAGCTGCTTTTATAGTGTCTTTATTATCTCACGCGTGACTTTTCTTACTTAGAAAATACTAATACGAAAGTTTCCATACGTACATATATACTAATCTTTTAAGCTCCCGGCAATAATTAATTGTATTATGTACGTAACTGCCAAATATTCCAAGAATTCGGAATTTGAGGTGTATTTGGCTGAAAATAGTCATTCCATAATCATGTATTATGGTGGGATAAGAACAATAAAGTGGTTGTGACTTGCGTCTTATCAATACAATCACGCAAAGAACCAACAATACAGTTTTTTTTTTTCTGTATATCCATATGATTAATTAGATGTATATGCTAAATAATCTTTAGTTTCTATTATCTCAAGAAGAAAATGATACTAGACCAGTAATCTGTATTCAGAAACTCGATCATATTTAGAAAAAAAAAAATCACTTTCTTAAACTTAAAGACGAATTTCTTTTCCTTAGAAATTCGGAATTATGAAATTGTTTTATGCATAAGAAAAAAAATGATTGCTCCGTTGACCAAAGTCAAGGAAGGCTCCATATAAGTGATCACAGGCCAAATCTGTAGCAATTGGAATGGACAAAGGGAACCTACAAAAACTAATGTGACTATGAAAAATGTCAAAAAGAGGTAATTGGCTTTTACCTGACAAATGCTTTAACATATTCATTAAATGTGCAGTAGAGAGTATCCCAATGCTATACAGACACCAACAAAGATCCCAAAGCTACAGACAACAATAAAAGATTAAAGAAAAACAAAACCATGCAGTAACATATTTGGAGGATCAACAAAATTATAAAATTTATGGTTATCTACCACAACGTCTTCTGTTCAGCGATTTTCTTAAATCTTAATCAAGAATACTATTATTGTCTTTGAGCAGCTTGAGCCTTAAAAACCACTGAACAACTCTTCACGTCCCTTACAAGTTGTGTCGTAGACATCTTCGACCAAACTCAAAGCTTAGCTACAAGCTAAACCTTTTTTTTTTTTGTTAAAAAGCTACAAATTAAACCTTCATCCAAAATCTCCCGTTTTTCCAATATGTCAAGTTTATTGACTTTATTAAGTGTTGTAGTTTTGTCATATAGCCGTGTTCATCAGCCTAATCATTTGTATGATTGTTCTTATGATCATTCTCACTGTCAGTTTGCAAATATAAATGCTAGAATCATGAAGCTATTTCTCCGTGAAATAGATACTAATTTTGCAAGTAAGTAGCTATCACAATGCATGTAAATGCTACTACTCTTTGTAATGCAAGACATTTGGATAAGGATATGTTAACAACTATTACATGTACGGTAGCATAAGGATACTTGGTAATTAAGTTGCCTAGAACCCCTCTTCTGCTACATATTATTTCCACTTCCTCACCTCCCAATTATAGATATCAAACATTTCAAACATAGTTTATGTGATCAAGTTTTGTTTTTAACCTTCATTAGAGAATAGTTATTCCCTTCACGTTATTAACAAAGTCCTTGCCCAACGTCAATGGGCAGGGTCCTACTTAACTAACATTTATGAAAGCCAAAGGAGAAACAAAAATGCTGCTCTTTCTCTAAAATCTGATCGCTAGCTAGTTATAAGGGAGAGACATCTAATCAAAACCCAACTTAATTAATCTCCAAAATTTGCTTCCATATAAATTATTTACCAAACGAAAACAAAAATTAATGCTGCCATCACGGGAAAAAAAAATTAAAGTGCAATGATTAGAAATATGTTTAGTGGTGTAATGGACTCTTGTCTCTGCAACAATCTAATGACGAACACAACAATCCATTATTATTCACTAACGTAGTATATACATTAACCTTAATGTTACAATGATGTGTTGATTCTTCCAAACAGTAGATACGTTTTGTTTCTCTTACTAATTAAATAAGTGGTAGATTTCATTATCACTTATAGTCTTACGTTAGTGAACTATAATAAGATCATGTGAATCAAGTAGATGGTGGTATTATTAAAATACAGCAATGGTAGTGCATCCATATAATGATATGGTAGATTGGTAGTGCATGCGACACTTTCTTTACATGAACCCAAAACTTATACGAATAATTAACATTTGGTTCAAAACTATAGCGAAACTAACAAAGTTGGTGGATTGGGCACCGACGGGGGAGGTCCACGTCACTGTTGGACCCCGTAATCTCCGCTTCTTTTTCTTGTCTTACACAAATCCGAACAGTTGATGTTAAAAAAGAAAGAAGATCAAAGCTTTTGAATCTTTTGATTTGTTTTTGTTCTTTTGTTCCGCATTTGTCGCTGCGCGTGACTACACAAAATTTTGCTTTTTGTTTTTTACCATAATTTGAGGGTGTACTTAGCTAGTCCGTGATTTTTGTTATATTTGTTACTTGGTCCGTTGTATGTAAGATTTTTTTGGATACGTAGCAAATTGCGAATACATGACATATACCAAAGATTTATGCCATTTTTACTTCTTTTATTGCCCATTTTCTAGTTTCTCTCCGCCAAATCTGCACCTAAATACCTCATTCAATCAAAGCAAATATCTCAGATCTCACACTCTAGCTAGGCTCGCTGTTTTCGTTGGATTCGGTAACGTTGCATTTTGATTTAACAAGACCCATGCAAAAGTCAAGTTGGGTATTATGATCTCCGACCAGAAACGACAGCTCTGAAACAATAAAGACGAAGAAGTAACATAGTGGAGAATAGGATAAAGAAAAACTGACGAACACTAAAGCGCCAAAAAAATAGTAGTAAACCTTTTCTTTTCACCATAATAGTAATAAACCTGTTTGTGTTTTTTCTTATAGTCTTCCATGTTTTCGGGTGTTTCGACTTTCAACCATGATTCGGTGCTTGATTTCTTATTATTGTACTGTTTTATTTCAAATGTTCATCAAGTAATTGATTTGCTATCTTCATTATAGCATTCATCGTTTCTTTTCTCTTCGTTTCATCCCAAAACTAGTCTGGTCATATATATTTTTTCACATATCTATAGAATACAATTTAGTCCATATAAAACTCTTAAAATCAATGCTTTAAACACAAACCCCTTTGTAACATGCACTTGGACAGGATTTTCTACAAGTATTTTTCTCTCTTAACATTATTGTCGTTTTATGTATGTGTATCAATGTATATAAATTGATAACTCGATTTTTTTTCAAAGAAAATAAAAGAATCTTCTACAACATCAAACATACGTGTCGGCACAAAACTTGTAAATATACATTGAAACGACATTAGCCTAATAGGACTATCTAATTAGCATACACCAAAATCATCTTTCATTTTTAGGATTTATACACTGTTCTACTTCTGTATGTTAGGTAGTAGTCATCTCCGCTATCATAGTGATACACTTTATCTAAAGTACTGTGATAACAAATTTCTTATGTTACTGATCCGACATGAGAACCAATTGGAAACGAAACAGTGGAGTTTCTAAGGTTTTAGAATTTAGTTGACCAAAATTATAAAAAGTAACGAAAAAAGGAAAATAGAAGCAATACGACGCCGTTTGATGATGAGGCTTCATTCTTAATGTAGGGTTTAAGCCTCGTTGACTTGGGCGGGGTTTAGAGATTTTCACTCTTCTTCTCCGATCCTCTCTTCTCTGCTGAAACACACTCAAACAAATTAAAAATGACAACTTTCTTGGCTCCCACACGATTCCGTTCATCTCTTCTTCGCTATCGTTTGATTAACCTTAAACCCTTTTCTTCACAGTCCCAATTTCCCAATCCACCCAACAATCAGAGTCGAGACACCGATTCCAATACCGAAACAATCTCAGAGCTAGAATTTCCCCATCTAACCCCAAAACCGAATCATTTACCTTTGATTCCATCCGGCGAGCCCGAGAATCGATCCGACGACGTGGACGACGCTCGTGTAATCGAAGTGCTTCTAGGTCGTAAGAACGACCCAGTCTCGGCTCTTGAGTACTGCAATTGGGTCAGGCCTTCGAATCGGATCTGCGAAATCGGAGATGTCTTCTGGGTTCTCATTCACATCCTCGTTACCTCTCGTGAGACTTACGACCACGCCAGCAATCTCCTCGTTGAGTTCGTTTCGATCAATCCAACGCTGATCCCAACCGTGATGGTTAACGATCTGGTCGAATCGGCTCAAAGGTTTGATTTTGAACTCAATCCACGAGCTTTCAATTACTTGTTGAATGCTTATATCCGAAACAGTCGAACGGATGATGCTGTGGATTGCTTTAACCTAATGTTGGACCGAAATGTGACTCCTTTTGTGGCGTATGTGAACAAAGTTTTGAGCTTTTTGTTACGGAGTGATTCGGTAGACGAAGGTAAGGAGGTTTATGATAAGATGGTTGTGATTGGTGGTGTTGGTGGTGATAACGTTACGACGCAGCTGTTTATGCGAGCCTGCTTGAGAGAACGAAAGCCTGAAGAGGCTGTGAAGATTTTTAAGAGAGTGATGAGTAGAGAGGAAGAAGCAGAGCCAGATAGTGAAATGTATAGTCTTGCTGTTCAGGCTGCTTGTAAGATTCCGGATTTGGCTATGGCTTTGGGTTTGTTGAGAGAAACGAGAGAGAAGTTTGGTGTCCCTGCCACGCAGGAGACTTACACTAGCGTGATTGTGGCTTCTGTGAGGGAAGGTAATATGGAGGAGGCTTTGAGGGTTAAGGATGAGATGGTTGAGTTTGAGATACCGATGAGTTTGATCGCTGCAACGAGTTTGATTAGCGGATATTGCAAGGGGAATGAGTTGGGTAAGGCTTTGGATTTGTTTGATAAAATGGAGGAGGAAGGTTTGGCTCCGGATAGAGTTATGTTTACGGTTATGATAGAGTGGTTTGTTAAGAAGGAGAAGATGGAGAAAGCTGTTGAGGTTTACAAACGGATGAAATCTGCAGGGGTTGTTCCTTCGTCTGTTCTTGTTCACACGATGATCCAAGGGTGTTTGAGAGCCTGGTCACCGGAAGTGGCGCTTGAGATCTTTGACGACTGTTTTGAGACAGGGCTTGTGAATGGTTTTATGTGTAGCAAGATTTTGTCATTGTTATGCAAGCGAGGTAAGGTTGATGAAGCGAGGAGGTTGTTGAGTATGATGGAGAGTAATGGGATTGAGGCTGGTGTGGTTTCTTACAATAACGTCATGCTTGCTCATTGCAGAGCTAAGAACATGGACTTGGCTCGTTTGGTGTTTTTGGAAATGCTGGGAAAGGGTATAGAGCCTAATGGCTACACTTATTCCATATTGATTGATGGATTTTTCAAGAATCATGATGAAAAGAGTGCTTGGGATGTCTTCAATCAGATGGTTGCTTCTAACTTTGAAGCTGATGAAGTCGCATATAACACATTCGTCAATGGCTTGTGTAAAGTTGGTCAGACGTCTAAAGCAAGAGAGGTGTTGCAAAACCTCTTCAAAGAGAAACGATGTTTCATGAGTTGTATGAGTTACAATACTATCATAGATGGATTTTTCAGAGAAGGGGAAGCAGATTCTGCTGTTGAAACTTACAGAGAGATGAGTGAAAACGGTGTCTCCCCGAATGTTGTCACCTTCACAAGCCTGATCAACGGATTCTGCAAAATTGGCAGAATGGATCTTGCTCTTGGAATGATACAAGAAATGAAAAGCAAGAATCTGAAACTTGATATTCCAGCGTATGGTGCTCTAATAGATGGGTTCTGTAAGAACCGGGACATGGAAACCGCAGATTCTATGTTCTCTGAGCTCCTGGAACAAGGATGGATTCCAAATCTGACTGTCTACAACAGTTTGATCTCAGGGTATCGTAATCTTGGAAACATGAAAGCAGCGACTGACCTGTACAAGAAAATGGTGAGTGATGGAATAAAATGTGATCTGTTTACATACACAACGCTTATCGATGGGTTGTTAAAAGATGGGAATCTGAGCTTTGCCTCTGATTTGTACTCGGAGGTGGTTGCTTCGGGTTTTGTCCCTGATGAAGTCTTGTACGTGGTGCTTGTCAACGGTCTAAGCAAGAAAGGACAGTTTTTGAGGGCAAGCAAGATGTTAGAGAAGAAAGATGTGACTCCGAGTGTGCTTATTTACAGTTGTGTTATCGCAGGACATTATAGAGAAGGAAATCTTGATGAGGCTTTTAGACTGTATAATGAGATGCTTGAGAAAGGTCTTGTCCCTGATGATACTATATTTGACATACTTGTGAGTGGAAAAGTTGAGAAACCTCCTGTTGCAGCAAAGGTTAGTAGCTTGGCTTCTCCTGAGACGAGACCTTTGATCTTTGGAAGACATGTATAAGTTTTTTTTTATCAAACTGTACGCATGATCTTCATAACACAGCTTATTGGAAATGAAAGCATGTAAAATAAGCAACTTTTTTTAAAGGCTGCTTTATATGTATGGAGAGTTTCAGATTAATTAGTTCCAAAAACTGGAAAAAAAGACGTGTTTCTTTAAACAGTGATTGTGTAAATAGAGGACATGACAGAGAATTTTGAGGATGTTTGTGATACGATTTGTATATGTAAATCTCAGTAATGCAAAGATCAAACGCAAAGATTCTTCGATATATGACAAAAATGTTTACAAAAGCAGAGAAAGGTCTTCAGGAGTCTCTCTCCTCCCCACTGGCAAAGATTTCCCTAAATCCTCGACCCATTTTCTCTACTCCCCTCTCTTTTTATTGCACGTGATCCGATGTGGAACGTGTGCAAAGTTAAGTTACATCCTAACAATGGTTATTCTTTACTACTACGATCAACCTATCCATTAAAGCCCACTCGTACGTCCACTTGTATCTCATGCCCTTTCATTCTTGTTGCGCCTTGTGTACTGATAAATGATTGGTGGATGCCTTGCCTCATACGTATCAGTTTGTTCCTTAATGTTAAATCAGTTATGAGTTTTCTCCACACTTTCAAGATTCAAGAGATTTCTCCACGGTTTCAAGATTCAAGAATTTGTCCACATTTCAAGATTCTGAGACTAGTTTAGTAGTTTATCCTTTGATCAAACTATTTTGGTTTGCGTACAATGGTCATTTGTTACCAAAATAAAAATTACCCCCTTGATCTTTATTCTCTTACCCTGTTTGGGTTATTTGACTTGTGATGAACGAAAACTGTGCAGTATATTAATTAAACATTAAGCGAGTTTGTAATTTGGGTCCGATTGGCTGTTTGATTCTCTCTATTGGTCAGATAATATCCTTTCATCATCAAATGGACAAAACAGACGTTCCGATGGATATTGGGTTTCCTCTACCTCAACCTCTTTAGCCTCAAGCTCTACTTCTGTTACTAGTCCATATTCAAAGACAATTTGTAGCTGAGTGATATCAGAGGAATTAATTGGAAGTTGTATGGGAAGACCTGTACTTGAGCAAGTTGTGAGAAAACCAGCAGCAACCAGCAATGGATATCTCTTGTGCACTGATTCTACTTCCCTTACCTCAATTGTTTGGCAAGGAGATTTTGTAGGTATGGGGGTTCTAGATGCCGGATTGCTGGATACTCCTTGGCGATAGGCTTTTGGTCCCATTAGAGACCATGAATTTCACATTTTATTCTCTAATTCTTTTACCCTGTTTTGGGTTATTTGACTACAAAATTTTGCAATGTAATTATATGGTAAGTTGTCTCTACCTCCGTTTTTGTTCAACAGGATCTCTCAAAACTTTAATATTTTCAACTACTTACACTTACACATAGGACCATCCATTGTTTAATGTATTGGACCTATTGGAATTGAGATTTATTATTTATTGAAAAAAAAGGTTCCAAAAAGATTGGGATAAGAAATGAGTGAATGTGATGAAGATTGCGGAAATCATACGACACAATACGATATTGTACTTTAATTACATACGACGTGTCCCATTCATCTCCTTTTCTTTAAATAATTTAATACTCTTATTTTTTCACCAATACTTTCTTCTATACTCTTTTAAATCTTTTCTACTTCACTCTATTTCTCGGCAAACTTTTTCTTTGCTTCATTTTTCATCTTGTCAAAAAATATACTATCCTCTTATAATTCACACGTGTGCTTATTGGCTAATGAAACCTACTAACCTATCTTCTTCTTTTATTCTCTGTCAACCCTAACCTCACAAGTCATAACACATGCAAATCACAATCTTCTTCTTTTTTAAAGAAAAATGTAAAAATGTAGAACTAATGCTTTTGAGCCTATTATTACACGTTGATAATTATTTCTCTAATTTGGTCACGAAACAACGAAACAACATGTTTCCCGACGATTGGTCACATCGTCAAATGCTGTTAGACCATCTCCATCCCTAAAACCAAAATTTTGGTTCTAACACATTTTTTATTAATAATTTTCACACAATCCTATGTTACAACTTTTGTGTGGGTTGTTAATCTTTTCTTCCTTCATCGGTAGAACCTTTTATTTGGTTCTAAACTTACAAACTTTTTTTTCTTCCAAAATTGTATTGACAATGTCATATTGTACTTGTAGCACTTTGATCCTCGATGAATGACAACAAGCAAACTCACAACTAACAAGTGGCATTAGATTTACAAGAAACAAGTCCCTCAAAGAGATCTCTAAATCAAAAGCAATCAGTGAAATGAGCTTACATTTTCCTTTTGACATCTTGCTTCTCCTTCTCGTACTCTTGTCTTATCTTCTTCTCTGCTTCAACGAGCTGCAACTTCTCAATGTTGAATTCATGTGACATCAAAAGACCATATAGTTAATTACACGATTTAGATAAAAACTAAAACAATCTGAAACCTTTAGATCATAAATAAGAACACAGAGCCTATGATCAAACATGAATCATAAGATCCGAAGGTCAAAGACAATTAGTCCACACAACAGTCAAAAATCATGAGCTAACATTTTCCTTTTGACATCGACTTGCTTCTCTTTCTTATCATAATCATGAGCCTATATCTCCTTTCTAGATTTCAATCACAAAACAAGAGTTCACCAAACCAACGTAGTTGACATACAATCAACTTCCTGAAAGGATTTACAGAGAAGTCAAGTGAGTACCTGCAATCATGGCGTAGACACCTACTCCCATAACCCCTTGGTGGTGACGGAGTGTAGCTCCTTCCCCTCATTGTGTCAAGCTTCAACCTTTATCAGACAATCAACACAAACAAGGTTAGGAAATAAACAACATATGTTACAATTGAAAACTAAACAAGACATATAAAGAGACCAAATACTAAGTGAGATTGCAAAAAGTTCAAATAAAGATAGAATCAACTCATGTTTTCAAGTTTAATTTCGATTTGGAGCAAAGAAACGTTATATATGCATAGCCACAAAAGAATACAACATAATCAATTGCATAGATGTTCAAAGGAAAGTCTCAAGAGACAAAATCATATACCGCTCTAAACGAGATCATAAACATGCAAATTGCAAAACGAAATCTAAGTAAGAGATGAGAGAAGAGGGATACTTAGCTTATCCTCAACCGTAGAAGAACCGAACGCCCAGGAGATCCTCAACCTTACCTCGCCGGCGAACAATCAGAAAACGCCCAAATCGTTGATTCCGGCAAAAGAGAAAGAGAAAGATAGAGAACGAGAGACAGAGAAATAGTGATGGAGATAGGAAGATAGGCAAAGTGAGCGACAGAGAGAACGATCAGAGGTCGGCCTGAAACGATCGCCGGAGTTGATTCACGAAGAGGCGACGCTTCGTTTCCATCGGCGGAGAGAAATCGAGACAGAGAGAGAGAAGGAAGTTGAAATGTCGATTTTTTAATTTTCTCTTTTCTTTTTGGGTGAAAAAACGTGTGCTCTACACGTGGCAGGTTATAAACCCTGTCGAAAAGTTTCACGTAAGAGTTTGGTTCCACAATTTTCTTTTCTTTCTTCTTTTTTTAATTCCGTTTTTTTCCTTAAAACCCTCTTAAAAACCATCGATGGAGATGCTCTTACAGCAAATCTCATAGAAAACAAAAAGAAAACAAATGATTTTGTCACTAAAAGGAAGGTGCGAACGTAATTCGTTTTCCGCAAGATATTTAAATATATATTAAAAAAATTAGAATCACATACTCCTTTTGTTTTAATCACACACAATCATTTCGTTCTTTCCATTAAACGAAATTATCTTATAAAGTATATACTATATAGTGACCTCATGGATCAAAACAAGTGGACTTAAAAGAAGAACTGATCATGGGAACGAAAGGGAATCCTGATGATGCTGCAACTGTCTTTAATGGTCTCATTTCTGTCATCGGTAGATATACCGGCAACTTCTTCCCGTACAAACTCGTCACTGTTCGATTAATACCCATGTAACAATCCGCAGTTTTCAATTTTATATTATCGGAAGGTGAAGACATTCCCAGACTTAGCTCGAGATCGTTGTGCTCATCATTTCCTGAAACATTAATGGTTTCTTATCGGTTAACATTATGCAATCACTAATCTTAAATAAAAGTATATTATCAGACGACTAACATGCATACTAGTTTTTATGTTTTTGTGCAAAACCAAGATCTATATATACTAGTTTACATTTAAGTTTGAAAGAGACAAATTGGTTGATCAAATTAAAGGTGTGTATCATGTGCAATAGTGAAATTGTGGTTAGGGTTTTTGGTTTCACTTTAAATGGCATATAAATTATTTAGTATGCATATTTACACTTGTGACCCCCACATGTCTTAATTACCTTTATTATGGGCACCTACTAACTCAACATTTCCTTCTATCTTTCTCATCTCATTGCAGTTTGTTGCTGCTGCATTCCATCCCCTATGAATTTCCATTCAAACACTTGTATTAGTGTAATTCATATATATATGCAGTTGAACATAAATGGTGAATCAATTTGTACCCGCGATAGGTATCAAACTCGTAATTGTTAATAGTGATTTAACAGAATAAAAAATGCAAATCTGTATATAGTAATCGAACCTGTTCTGGAAGAGATTGATGTGATCATTTGTCAAATGGGTGTGGTTATGAAGTGTCAAGTGTTTGTATTTGGAACCTCCTCTTGCTGTACTTGCACTCTCTCGTCTAAGAGTTTGCACAAACTCTTCTTTACTTAAATTCTTCATCTATTATCATATTATTTTTCAAAAAAAATCATAATTTAATCATCAACCGATTGTGGTATAATATTTAAAACTAGAAAAAAAAAAAATGGAAAAAGCACCTTTGCAATGTCATGTTTGTAATCATCCACGATAAAGTTGATATCTGCGTGGAGTCCCCGGAATTTGATAGCAGCTCGGTCGTACGCTCTGATATGTACGAATTTGAATAAGTCAACGAACAAGAGATATAAAATGTCCGAAGGAATTAAAGAAGAAGACAATAATTTTCATGTCATAAATTCTCACACCTTGCGGCTGTGTAGGCTGTGTCGAAACCACCTGTTTTAAGGAAAACAAAAGAGATTAAAAGACAAAACTGAAACTCTTCCAACATTTGGTTCTCTTTTCTTATTAACATCAACCTTAAAAGTTAATACTAGTATGGTTATAAAAAAAAGCAATATGAAACATCTCATCTACTTACCCAAATAAACCTGTTTTCCACAGTCCCTACACATAAATCCCCAAAACCAAGAGATTATGAGTTTTTTAAAAACAAGATATAATGTTTAATAATTTATTGTATAAGCTAATATAATATACCAAATATGAGATTCCCAACGGCCGGTTCGACGGTAAAAGGTGACGCCACGATAATGGGAGCTTTTGGATCTTGGGCCACGCCGGCTCTTCATTTTCTTCACCATCACCATTTCTTGTTTATTCCTTTGCATCGACGACAGATTCAACCACTCACTTCCGCCGGATAATTCACTCTCAGGAGGAGCAGGAGCAGGAGGAGGAGGAGGACGAGGAAAGAGTGCCTGTTCTTCTTCTCTATTAAGGATTCCGAAGGTAAAGAAACCCTTGGAGTTGATATTGTTAGAGAGACTAAAGGAATCTTCATCTTCATTGCTTATGGAGATTGGTACTTTGCAATCTTCATCTTCGTTATGTGTAGAGAAGATTCTTAGGTTGAGATCCAACATGAGTCTTTATTCTTGGAAGGACAGAAACGTCGTCGTTTGTGTGATTTTTCCGGCCACTAGAGAGAGAGAAAGAGAGAGACTAAAAGAGGGAAGAAGAGGAACGTGGGAGTTCTGTGCGATTGTCTACACTTTGCCCTTTCTTTTCGTCTTTTGTTTGGCTTCTTTTCATGAATCACATCTCTATATATTAAATAATTGATTGCTCTGTTTACGTTGTTTCTATATGTATCGATATTTCTCTGTGTACATATATAGTCAAACCTGTCTACAATATCACTAGTGGTTTAATGTTAGAGATGAATATATTACCCAAAAAATCTAACTCAATCTATTGTTCGCGTTCTAGTATATTATTATATGTCTCATCACACTTTTCTAGTATTAAATGGTGCTAGTTCAAATAATTGAACAACTTTTTTTTTATGTTTTATGAAAAAAAAAAGATAAACAAAACCATTTTGATCCCAATACGAGATTCCTAAAAATAAGCATAACTATCATCACAATAAGGTTTTTTAATCACGAGTGGGGCACCCGAACATAAATGCGATCTTTGGAGGATTTCTATGGTGGACCAAATTGGTATTCTAATTTTCTACACCATACAAAAATAAAAAAACAACTGATTGATACATTTGTCAATGAACAGTTGAATAATAGAGTGTAACGGAACGTGTTGGGGCCTAACTCCTAAGCGTCGGTCCAATAAGCTAACTGTACCACTTTTTTACAGTGGACTGTGAGAGAGAGAGAAACCTTAATAAAGAAAGAGAGAGAGAGAGAGAGAGTGTGCGTGACTTATGTGATCTGAGTGCATATCTCAGCCGTCCATTTTCCCCAGATTTTGCTAAAAAAGGACAAACTAGATTTTTTTAAGGAATCTTTTCTATCTGTCCTCTGCGCTCTAAATCTGGCCTTTCCGGATATGGTAAAGACTAAATCTTAAAATTATCTTCCTATCTTCCTCTGTCCTTTCCATTAGTAATTTTACTTTCTGTTTTTCTTTTTCATGAAAAGAATGTTATATTTGAATCTAGACAACATAACATATTATAGGACAGTCTTTAAGGTGTATTAGAAGACTTTAAAGTGTAATGACTCATGAGTGTCCTGAAGGAATGTGTTAACTGTTAAGGTATAGACTTTAAGAAATGTGCGTGCTAACTGCTAAGCATGTCTAAATCTTAGATATATATAACTCGACATACATAAGTAGCTAATAAACAATAATTTGCATGGCATGAAGATCTAACGGTCATGGACATAGCCACCATATAACATCCATTTATCCATAGGATTTAAATTATTAATGAACTCAAAATTTATATCTTACCTCACTATTTAAAGAGTTGGTACTGTTTTACTTTGAGATTAACATAATCATAACAGACAACGACCTTAGTGAGGTTGATTGATGGTAATTGGTAAACATAATATATTCGTCATGTTTCAAAAGCTTTCATTATGTCAACACAATAAAAAGCTTTCACATTATGCAAACACAATAAAAAAAGCTTTCACATTATGCAAACACGAATATGTATGTTCTGTTTCAAAAGCTTTTCACATGATGTAAACACAATCCCTACTTTCTCCGGTTATGATAAGAATCACCACCACTTGATGATAACAAAACCGGAAAGTTTCTTACTTTCTCCGGGCATGATAAGAACCACCACCACCTTGATGATAGAAAAACCGGTGACGGGATCCACCACCCTTGCCACTCCCTTCACCTCTGCCTCCTCCAGGTGTCCAGTTCAACATCTGTGACCCTAACCCGTTAGCTTCCTCTTCGTCTCTCTCATTGTACTCGAGTACTAACCTTTTGATATCTTGCTTCTCTTCCAAATCAGCAGCCTCTTTCTGTTTTGTGCTCTGCACTAGCAAACAATCACTCGGGATTAGCATTTGCCTTGTTTGTTGCTTGTTTCCTCTCTTCACTAGGACCTTCACTTGAACCTTCACTTCAAAAACACTCATCGGAATTGTCATGTTCAATGCTGGTCTACCACGTAACTCCAGCTTCCTTTGCTCCATGCTCTACTGTATCCACGAAACGAAAACGTATCAGTACCTAACCATGTTCATAGTCATACTGAGATTTCCAATCCCTTGGATCTTTCAAATTCAAATATAGATAAAGAACTTGCCTGAAGTAAAGCCTTCAGCTCTTGATCAAAGCTGCTTGTTCCTCAGGATCCACGGTTACTACCTTCTGTCTTACACGAAATTCATTATCATCATCAGATCCAGGTCCATCGCCATCATCATAGTCATCTCCATTGTCACTCCCAGATCCCCGTTCATGATTTCCATCGTCCAGCTCTTCGTTCTGTCCACCTCGGACCCCAGAGCCACTACCAGAATCACTGTCGCTTTCTTCTTTATGAGCTGCACCATTCTCTCCAATATCTTTTGCAATACTTTTACCGTTAGAAGAGATAACACCGGAAGATGACCTGCTTAAAGGCTTTGTATCTGAAGAAGCATGCTCACGCTCTTCCAGCTGCAGTATAGCTGCATTGACCTCATCAATAGTCGCATAGCGGGTCATATTGGGTCTCAAATTGGCAAATAAATCCTGCGTTGAGACAAAGATTAAGATACATTAATTTGCTACAGATACTCTGAACCCTTAAGTGAAAACTGGATCAACAACTTCTACAAAATATCTAACCTTATGTCCCTCATGAAAAATATACAAAAATTATAAAAACTGACCTGCAAGTCAAATTCAATATCCAAGGGAAGAGGACCCTTGCTCAGTATGTATCTCTGGAAATGTATCAAAAACTGATCAAGCCTTTTCTTCGAAGAACCTCGATCAAAGTAGTGCCCACAGGTTTCCAGAAGAATGATAACCATCCTGACACGGAAAAAATCTTCTGGTGGATCCAGCACCTCTTGCTAACATTACAAAAGGATATACAACAGCCAATCAGTGAAAGAAAAGGACGACTAAAAATTAAACGTAAAGCAACGATCCTGCAGAGTCGAGCCACACATAGCATTTCGGTAAGATACAAACAGCAGTTTTACTCTTTCCATATGAAAAAAAAATGACTTGTGGCTTCAATCATTCCACAGTTTATGTTGACATAATCAGTTTTACAGCGTGGTGTACCACATTTTTGCAAAATGACACGCCTAGATACAACAATAATAGAAAAAAAAAACATGATATGCCTGTATACAAAACAATAAGAGGAATGCATAAAAGGAAACTAATCACGGAAAGAGACGCTTACGCACGAGGAGCATTTAGAATGTAATGAAGGGATGAACTCTGAAAGAGTCTGAGGCTAGCATACCTCTGAAGTACCATGACCATATGAAAGAGTTACATTAAGCGTCTCGAATATCACAGATGAATCTACGTGCTCGTAGTTGTACAGCTCCCCTAAGAATCTCAAATGGGCGAGTCGCTTCTGTTGTGCCCCATATTCATTCAACTCAACTCCAACCCTTATTTCCTCCAGTACCTTCAAGTGAAAACAATGCAGCACGTTACATAAAAAAAAGTCATACTAACTCGCGGACAATGTGAGATGAATAAGCACAGCAAAAGCTATTGATAAAATTTAAGCCAAGCATGTAAAAATCACTCGGGAAACGACATAAACAAGCAACAAATTACAACAAGCATCAAATTTTACGGTGGGAGAGCATGAAAGAATCATGTATACAACATGGAATCTAAACCTACATGCATGTTCCTCCTAAGCATTTTCAACAGCAAGTTTATCTCAGGCTATACTGACACGTCCAATTTCACATAAGGAAATATCATTTCAACTTGGCAGCAACTTTCATATCTACTGACAAAAACTGGGAGTTTAGCATCTTAGACTTTTTCACTGCTGCACATATTTAAAACCAAATGGCTTTAGATTTAGCAATACTTTTCCAGTTATAACTACACAGTACGAGAACAAGCTACGGATTTTGTAAGTTAAACCAGAACCTTTACACCTAATTAAGTTCTCCAAGTTGAAGTGGAACCTTTAATATTTTTCTCAAGAGACAGGGAGAAGCCATTTATGCAACACCATCCAAAATAATAATTTTCTGATTTTTAAAAACTTGCAGGATTTAGAGATCCGGACAACACAAAATACAAAATCCGTTCCGTATGTGTGAGCCATAAAATACAGTGGAAGGAACATACCTCATCAACAACAGCCACCGCAAACTCATCATGATGGCGGCTCAAACCAGAGGTCAGTGAAGCAATTAAGTGAATCTGTCCATATTTTCCCTTGTGAACCTTCATAAAGCACTTTAAGATGTATTGCTCACACTCACTCCATGGCAGCTTCCGCAGTTGCTTTAGTACATTCGTAATCGAATCTTTATCAAGATCTGAGAATAGCAGTTTCCGAATATACTGCAGAAATTTGAATGAAAGTATAAGAAACGCCAAAGTCGCCAATACAATTGAGCAACCGAAACATAAAGGACATAGTAGTTAGAGGTTAGTAAGTACCTGATGCAACGGTGGACTAACTTTAGAAATTCGAGCTGATCTTTCAGGTGGTTTACAGAGGTAGTAGGCATTTTCCACAAGAGTACTTTGACGAGGATCCAAGTTCTTAGGCGCATCAATATGTCCAGCATATTGCTCATCCTTTGCGCGGTGTCGGGAGACCGATAAAGAAAGCGGCCACATGTCTCCAGGAGATTGCAAGCAACATCAATGTTATGATGCGTAAATTCATCTAAGCAAGCCTGCAAAAAAAATTACAAGTGCATTTTTTAGAGTTGGATGGCTCGTGTTTTGCCAAAGATGACTGAATCCCCATCCCCATACAATTACTTTTAGATCTCCGGTGAGTGGATTCAAGTGAAAGTTACCTAACATATCTACAGAGAATTCAAGAAAATACATATCTCTACAGAATGCATGTGTTGATGGATTGAGTAGTTATACCTTCAAACAACTGAATACAGTATTAGGATGCACGATTTTAAACTTGCAGAGTTCTCCAATAAATCTGATGTTCCGGATTGTTGTTTCGATATTCATTTGGTCCTGCACATATTAAATTTGCAGCTCCATCAGACAATATATTATCAAATTTGAACATCGCTTATAATGGAATGTTGGGAGCCAAGTTGAGAACAGAGGCATTCACATTAACAGAGTGAATTGACTTCACACTTCCTGCCCAAAGGATAGAAGTGCAGTCATAATCAAATTATTTGAAAGAAAATTAATTACTTACTTTTTTATGGACCAGAGCATCGAACTCGTCCTCCAACATCTGCACAAGAGTAGAAGGGATGTCCTTCATGCATGTTGCTAGTGTTGCAACCATACGCGAATAGTATGCTAGCAACTCCAGAGATGTCCTAGGGACATTGAATAACGCTTTGACAAGTTTTTTTCTATTTGTCTTGGAATTCAAATAACAATAGTCCACCTGAAAATAAAACATAGGAGTAAACAATGGAGACAAAAGACGTTCAACTGAAACAACATCAAAGTGAAAACCATTTCCAGGACTCTTACCGTTAACTGGTCAATAAGATCACGGCTTACACAACCAGGAAGTCGCTGTAACAATCTTTCAAAGTTTGCCACGTCAAGGCTCTTGCCTTTCTCCTTCTCATGATCCACTTTCCTGTCACTATCCTTTTCTTTCCCTTTGTCCTTCTTAGCATCCTTAGCCTTCTCCTTATGTACTTCATCCTTATCTTTTGGCTGCTCGATATTTAATCCATCACCCGTACTACTAGAATCAGCAGGAACCTCTGTTGTGTCCTCGGTTTGTTTGTTGACTTTTGAATAAGACAACCTTTTCATTTTTCTTTTTTTTTTTTTCAATATGAAAAAGTAATAAGGATGAGAGGTGTTAAGCTTTTCATCATCCTGGCGTCGAGCTATTTTTCCGCAGGACAATTTCAGAGGTAGACTCCTTCAATAACAACAAGGCATGGAATCAATAGTGTAGGATTTATATTAAACAATGCAAGTTAGGTTTTCACAATGCCCAAATATGCAGCACAAAATCTTTCAACAAGCAAAGCATGCCATTCTGAGGGCAGAAAATTCATCCATGCATTATCGACCAAGTCCCCTTCAATTCATAGTCTATCAAAAAAGGAATACCATCCACGTTCTCACATAGCAGCAACAGTAAATTTATTCTTATATGCTAACAGAGAAAGAGTGACAGAATATATGCCATCCACTCACTGATGATTTATCTTTTGCCTTTGCAGATTGCTCATTCGATTTAGGCTCTGATTCTTCCAACAAGACTGCTGGAACAAATGCCCTACAGAAACAATGCATCTGAGATAAACAATTGAAAACTGAAAAAGAGTAAACGCTATAATGGACTAGATAATCCAGAAGAAATCTATGAACATTGCTTTCTATGCCACTTCCAAACTACTCATTTTCCCATATCTTTGTTTCTTAGGAACATAAATAAGAGCTGACCTCAAATCAGTCAAGCATTCATAAAATGTTCTGGTGTCCTCGTCGTCCCAAATAGGTTCGGGGACAGATGTATCTTTTACAGCAGCAGAGGATGAGGGTTCGTCCCCTGCTGTGAGCCTAGTTGTACCATCTTCTGGCATAGCAGGAGGCTGCATATCAAGTGACTCGGCCAAACTGCAACAAAACATAAATAGTACATAACTAGTTATGCAGAGGTTATAGATGAGAATGCTTAAGCAACTGACTTTGTTCTGTAACAAATATTTATCCTAAACATAAACTCTGTATATTAAAACTTTAGTTGTTCCTGTACCAGATATCCTTTCCAGTTAAAAGATGTAGAAGGTATGTCATAATCAAAATAAAAAGTTTGGCAAACGAACTAATGGATGCCCAAGATCTGAACAATGACACTATATATTAATCTACAGTGACAGCGACATGACGCTATATTATGACAGAGTTAAGAGCTCAGCACTAATAGCATGGGTTATAAGAGTTCAGTTAACGACCAGTAAGAAGAAGGCTACAAAGCTACCAATATACTCATCATTGAAATGATTACAGTTGATAATGTTCTAAGCTTTTCTGCAATCAACTCTACTACAGCTAGACCACAGGAAATGCCAGTTGAGTTATACAATTACAAATGATCAACTTACGATGAGATATTTCGATAGAGATGGGCATATGATTTCCTCAGCTTTTCATATGAAGATGCACTGTCTTCACTAAGCTCACCTTTAGCATTCACCAGTTTTGAATTTTCTTTTTCCATTTGTTGAAGTGACTGTCAAACAAAAAGTATTGTGAAGATACTTCAGAAAAAGGAGAAACTAAAAGCGAAAAAGGAAAAGGTGCAAACAATAAGGCTAACCTTGTGCTCAGATTGAAGTACATCTGTCAGAGCATCATAATACGTGTTGAAAGCTTTCTTAAAATTCTTTTTCTGTTCTGCAGTGACCTCGAGACCCTTAAAAAACTAGAGTAAGCCTTAGTCAGATTTAGCTATACACGAGAAAAAAAGAAGATATGGATAATACCAATGAACAGAATTAGTGAATGGCACAGACAAGAGATCATCAAATAGCGGGGATAAAACTTCAGCTGAGAATCAAACCCACTTACATCTTCGTCATGTCCAGAAATAGGAAGCCCAAGAAAAACTCTTCCTTGCCGAGCAAAACTGGAGAGAAGTGTCAAATTTGTTTGGGTAGTATCTCTGTCTTTCATATGTTCAGCACTGGTAAGGTCCTTAATAATATTGATGAAGATATTACTATCTTCTATTACTCCAACATAGTATAGCTCCAGAAGAAGTTTAAGGGTACTGCGGTTTTTTCATGGCCTTTGCATTTCTGTCTGCTTCTAAATCGTCTGCAGATTTTCCAGGAAGGAATACTTTCAAGAGCCCTTGTGTTAGACTAGACGAAAATTCTTTATACCTCTGATGAAGCAGTGAACATATCTGTCAGAAAACAAGGATGTCAGGTTAAGTAGACCGCTTTGAAAAACAGAGAGCAGTGTCTCTTATGCTACTTTATTATGCCCTATAAAAAACAACAAGGCAAACCTGAACAGCTGCTTGTATGTCTGAGCTTTTGAGCTTGGCCTCACAAATGGCAGTAACTGCTTCACTAACGAATTTGCTAAGGTTTACACTTCGCAGATCATCTATCAGACCTTCTCGCTGCTCCTCGTTGATCTGCTTTAACTTCTTGATGACTGCTGTATTACGCTTGATGCTAGAATCCAGAGTCCTAAGATATGCTAAATCTGCAACATTGGAGGTGGACACAGTATCAGTAACAACTACATATTCTAAAATAGAATTATCCTAAGTCGTGTGCTCCCAAAGTCCTGAACAGTTATATCAATAACAAAGACAACTGTTGCTAATACAAGCTGACAAATTTCAGCAATCGACCATTCACAGAGGCAATGCGAAAACCTTAATTAGTCAATTCCACGTATGTAAGCTCGTCTCATCATAGAAAATCAGAATCAACATGAACCAGAAAATTACTCCGAAGAGACAAATTTCTATAAGAAAAAGACTAACCAGGTCTTTCAGGATTGAGGTTGTTTTGACGAAGAGCCATTTTAGCTTCAACTGACTTCTTAATCTCCGCAAGGCGAGCAAGAGCTTCCTGCAATACCCAGAAAACAGGAGACAATTTTCGAATTAAAACATGAGAATAAGGTTTCGGAAAAGAGAAAAAAACAATGAGATCAAATTTCAGTCTCGAACCTCGTCGTCTTGTTTCTCGCTTTGGGTTTCCTCTTCTTGGTGATCCATTAGGGTTCAGGTCGATAAAGCCGTAGAAAAGTAAGGAAATTTAGAGGCAAGTGGTCGCCTTTTTTTTCTTCGATCAGACTTAGGTTTACTTAAAGAAAGGATTTAACTGTGTCTTCTTCCGGAGAGAGATGGTGATAAACCGGCGAGAGAGAATTTAATGGGGAGGCCAAACGGGTCGAGAAGAATACCCAATCCGAACAAACGGGTCATATTCGGTAGTTTTGTATTATTAATTTTTTTTTTTTGGTAATTGAGAGGGGATAAAACATTTTGTATTATTAAATTTCTAACCAATGAAAAAATACCAAAAAAAAAATAATCAAACAAACGGATTTAGCAATTTCGCCAATTTGTTTTTAATAAACTGTTAAAATAAAATGAAATTGGTCAATGATAATCTGTTTGTTTGATTAAATTGATCAATTTCACTTTATTTTAATTAGTATTTTATTTGTTTAATTATGTAAATGGAGTATGATTTTTTTTCATGATCCATTATGTGTTCATCATGAGCCTCACTTGGATTAACACCGCAGATTTAGCAAATTTGTTAAGAATACAATTATGAATTCAGTTAAATTTTTATTTTTAAGAACAAAAATGGATTTGCAGTTTTGTAAGTTGTGGAAAGAAAAAGACACACATATATATATATTAACGGATTGTCTTCAACAGCGATTAATTACATAAATTCAATATATATCTACTACTTATGTGATGTGTTATGTCTGTAATCTAATAACGAGTTTGTTATTTATTTATTTAAAATAATGCTAATGATATCGTATGAATGATAATAATATTGCCAAATTTGTAGTACTATATCATTTTTCAACTGAATTTAAACACTATATCATGATTAATTTCTCTTTGAATAAACTCAGCATCGAAAAATACTTCACACCTTTGATACACACTAATATATGAAATAACAACTTTTTTTATCAAAAATTTATTTATTAAAAATTGAAAAAAAAAACATTTAAATAAACATTTAAATCTGTTTGGTACCTGAGTAAAGGCACTAAACTTAGAGTGATTTACACTCATAGGCACTTATGAGTTTCAATCTTACAAAAAGGCACTTTGTGCTCCAAGGTGACTTTAGGCTAATAAAAAACCAAAAACTTCTCTTTATTTCTTACTTGAATCCCATAATTTCACCTCCTTCTTCCTTTCATATTTTACTTTCTTTTTTACAACACATTAACTTAAATAGAGAAGATAGAAAAACCCTAAAATTCACCACCGTGATTTCTCTGCCGTTCCCGTTGCCGATACCACCGTAGTATCAATTAACGAGTTTTCATCCGTTCTAACCAGCAATTTCTTCCGACGAAGTTTCTCTGTTTGAAGGATAGTTATCCCATAGAAATCTCGTCATCTCTTTATGCGTTTAAAAGATGAATACATGAAAAGCCATGGAAGGTGATTCTACTTTCTCACTCCACTTAATATCAAAATAAGCATAAATTTAGGAAGAAGAATGGTGTAGATATCTTTTAACTTTTCTGATTTCTCACAGGAAGCAAAGTTTCTGTTGAAGATTCGATAAACGATAAGCTGGCGGAGAAAGATAGATGGGAAGATTATTTTATCCACATTCAGCTGTCCATGTACTGTTGGCCACATGTGGTTGGCCATCCGCCAGCTGTAAAATATGATGGAAATAACTTTTGTATGTTGTAATGGTTATCATTTGTATCCATGTATAACATGTGTATCCATGACATACATTCGGATATTTACGCTTAAACTGCTTGGTCAAGTGGATGTGGATAAGACTTGTGATCAAAATGTACAGCAGTTCATGGACAAAGATCTCGAATTTTCGAATGAGTCTTGCGTGGATAAGCTTTCTTGTACCCCGTCCAACTAGTAGCAGAATGGGACTCCTTCTCTGAATTAAGCAGTTGTGTCCTCCCGTTGTTTTCTTGTCCGTCTGAAACAGAATACAGATCTGCTAATGGGTTGTACTTGTCCATGTGAAAGTATCAATTTCTTGATATTAACCACTCTTATCAACGAATTAGACGGCCGTTGTTTTTGTGTCTGAAGGATAGCTATTCCATAGGAATATTGTCGTCTCCGTTTGAGTTTAGAACAGGGATACATGGAAACAGTGGTACAACAAGTGGTGGACGGTATACCTGACCTTGGTAAATAGGAAGATATGGTCATGGATATAAAACTCCGTCCAGTCACCCATCCACATAGCCACGCAGGTGGGAGAGAAGAGCGTACATGAAGAACCTACTCCACCAGTTATTCCCGGAAATGTAACACCGTCCACAGTCCCCCATACACAGAGATGTAACTTCTTGGAAGAATGTGGAGGAGAATAAGAAAGTATGTTACATAACTGAAGCACACTGGATGGGCGTGCTTCAACCGTGTCTCCGGGACACAATGGGTAAGAGAGTCTCCGCCGCGTCGTCTAGGGTCATGTGACAGACTTAGGAATTGAGTGACAGCAAATAGCTCCACTCTTAGTAGATAAAACTTGGACAAAAACCTTAACTCTTTAGGAAAGATTCCAACCTTTGCATGCTGATACCAAGAAACTGGTACCATGAAATGAAATGCAAAAGGGTTTTTCTTGCTTGTTTAGTAAGGGCCAAGTCAGTGGGGGATCTTGTCGGGCTCCAAAACTCCTGAATAGGAAGTGGTTTGAAAGCTTCAATGAAGCAAGATAGAACGTACAAGGAAAGAGAAAACGCTTCCTAATCTACTTGAGTAGCTCCTTCGGCAGTTGGACTGTCATTCCCACTTTTATCTGACCTTTGCTCATCCTTTTTATTTTCTCACAAATCTTTTACTATTTCTGCCAGCTATAGGAAACTATCGGCAGTGATGGAGATACTTATCTCTAAATTTATTTGATAATTGTATTTGTATTTATGTGTGGATAGTTATTTGTGGATATACGATCATGGATGTTATTGTGTGTATGACAACATGGCTTATAATATGTGTATATATCAATGCATGGATTGAGTAAGTGGCTATTAGCAACATTAAAACATAGATAAAAAAAAACAGGTTTCTATTTAAATTTCAGCCTCTTGCATCAACAAAACCTGCACATGAGTTCAACTTCAGCCTCTTGTGTTGCTAGCTCTATCTTTGGCGTTTTACATCTCTTCTTAACTTCATATCTAATTTAACCTCAACCTGTCAATACATTAGTATTTTTGGTGAGCCATCACTCATTTTCACTTTTGTTTACAGTTTTAATTGTGTGGTATTTGAACAATTTGTTTATGAAAAACAATTACTTGAAGTAATTGATCTCTAATGTTAGTGCAATAATTAAAGCTAAAATGTTTAATTTTCTTATTATCCTGAATGAGATGTGTATGTAGACATGTTTGCGTGTACATGACTTTGTGGACACTAAGTCATGGATCTCTTTGTGATCTTAGTGGTTTTGATGGATCTCATAGACCTATTGCATTAAGATTAATTTTTTTTTTCTATATTCAAATATATCTCAAAGACTTATTGCATTTCAACACAAAGTAGTTACTCTTCGTCGTGGTTTATCAAATTAAACATGCTTTTGATTGCGTAAATAACAAGAGCTGCTTGAAAAAAAAATCTTACTAGAATATACTTTCCCTACAACAACCTCTCCGCCCATTTCGTCAATGTCTAGATCAGGGATTTTGGTGCTGTCGTATAGCCTGTCGTAAAATAGCGGAGGAATATCGAATTCCTCATCGTCTATGGTGCGTAGGGGGCGTGTATGTGTTACATTCTCCCGTACACTTCTACCCTGGCGCTGGATTGGTTTGAGGTATATATGTCCATTGTATACTGTCCATCTGAACCTATACTTGGTCCAGATCTCGTGGATGTCCGTCCACAACTAGTTGGGTTTGTACCATTTTCACCCGCGTATGTTTGACTACCACCGCCCTTCAATGTGGACATCCCTCTACCGCTTTCAGTCTTCCAGATGTCACTGTTTCCTCATGCAATGACGTTGTGGTCGAAGGCATTGTTTGCTGTATAATGGTATACCATTGGGTCAACATTGATCGGTGGACCATGTTATCGTACATGAAATCAGCTGCGTGAAATCCATTGCGTAAGATAACAGTGTTCCTTTATACGACCTTAGGGACGTGACCAAATAAGACTGAACACTTGCTCAATAATGTATGTCGTTGACAGTTCCTTGTAATATTAATGAGGCGTTTATGGATAAACAATGCCCCATCACTTTATGGATACTGAGAATGAAGTTTTGCGTCCACAGTATATTATCCACGACCACTTAATCCGTCCGTGTTTTGCTCACTGCCCTATCTCCTGATGACCGGTTAATTATGTTCGCTAGTCCACTGCGACTTGTCCATGAAATTAAGTCCAAATGTCTCCATCCGAGCGGATGTTTCGCCAGCAAACGTACTATGTGTACACGGCCTCTTGTCCATGCATAATAATCTATGTCATCGGATGGTTGAGAACATTGATACGCTCCCCTCTGTTTTGGCACAGAAAATTTCAATTCTCTTTTAAATTATGGAATAGATTTGAAACAAGGCAAAATTGATAATTTTCTTCAGCATTCACATGGATTTCTCAAGATCCATAAACTTTTTCTTCTTAACCTCGCTTGTGCTCATCCTCCGACGTAGTTGTCGAGTTATTCCAGCGATGTATTGAGGCTTTAGATTTTAAAAAGATTTGCAGCGGTGAAAGTAATTTCATCTTCTCCTTCACGAAAAAGTGAATTTTGACAATATTATTAAAAGGGCAAAATTGGAATTTGTAGTCTATCTTTTGGGTCCAAAACTCATCAAAGTCACCCAAAAGCCAAAAATGCCTTCTACTATAATATGTAAATCATAAAGTGCCTTTGACTCTAATTTTCTCTTAAACTTTAGCACATGTTGTGTAAAAGCACAATGTTGCTCCAATACTACACAAATCCCTCTGCCAATCATATAAGTCCAGATTTCCACCAAGCCCACCTTCACCAAGTTTCAATCTTGATATGTAATTGACAATTTCATGTATTGACAATCTCAATAACCGATGAAACCCTTTAGACATCTTCACAATAACTTCAAGGTTTTTGATGAAAGACATTGTTCAATTGTTAACGGGTCATCGTCCGGTAATTTTTATGACTAATTTTCTAATCAATGAAAAAAATTTAAATAACTAACAAGTAATAATCAAACAAACGGTTTTATCAATTTTTTGCTAAATTTTTTTTTTAATAAACGGTTCAAATAAAATGAAATAGATCAATGATTTGAATTTTTTTTTTCATGATTCATTTACATACACTAATTGTGTAACTTGTGTTAATCACGAGCCTCAATTGCATCATGAATTTTTTTTTTATGAATTGTTCTTAATATGAAAATTGATCAATTAATTTTCATACTAAGAACAAAAATGGATTTGCAATTTTGTAAGTAAAATACACAGACAGTGACATAAAGCATGACACGTTATGCTTGAGCGAACCAAAAAAAAAAACGAAAGCTTTACATTTTTGGGCTTTGATCAATCAACCCCTTCTCTTCCCTTGACCTTAGACGATATGCACACAACACTTGTTCAATCATCACCTTCTTTTCTCTATGGCGGTTTCTCATCGCCTCTTCAGGCTCCAATCGCCGGCGACGACGAGGGCGAAGAATATTCTTTCTTCTTTTTTCATTAGGTCTCTCTCTTCTTCTTATTCTTCTTCGTCTGGTCCTACGCTGGACCCTGAGATCGATCTCGAGGAAGCTGCGGCTCAGCTAGAGAAATCTACGTCCTCGTCTCCGTCTCCGTCTCAATCAAAAGGCAGAAATTTCCACTGGGTGTTTCTTGGTTGTCCCGGCGTTGGTAAAGGCACTTACGCCTCTCGCCTCTCTACTCTCCTCGGTGTTCCTCATATCGCCACTGGTGATCTCGTTCGCGAAGAGCTCTCCTCCTCCAGTCTCCTCTCCTCTCAGGTTAGATTCTTCTACTCATATAATTACTCAATTGGCTATTAATTTGTTAGGCAGAGTTTTTGTGTGTGTGTGCGTGTGGTTTATGTTGAAATCACACTCAACGGATTCTATGATCCTAAGATTTGATGGTTTGTTTAGTTCGCAGCATAAACTGTATATCTGCAAAGTTTTGTCACCAACCATCAAATGTGTTTTTGAGATGCTAATTTGTCAATTGCTTCTGGATTTGGTGTGCAGCTAAAGGAGCTGGTTAATCATGGAAAATTGGTGCCTGATGAATTCATAATAAGTTTGTTATCAAAGCGTCTCGAAGCAGGCAAAGAGAAGGGTGAATCTGGTTACATTCTTGATGGTTTTCCAAGAACCGTGACTCAGGCGGTGAGCAAATTTCTTGCATTTTGTAGGTTTGAAGCTATTGGAGGATTCTTTGGTCTAAAAAAACATCTCTGTATTTCTATGTTTGTCTTGTAGGAAATACTGGAGGGAGTAACTAATATCGATCTAGTGATCAACCTGAAGCTAAGAGAAGAGGCGTTACTTGCGAAATGTCTAGGGAGAAGGATTTGCAGTGAATGTGGTGCAAACTATAATGTTGCCTGCATTGATATCAAAGGTGGTGATGATGATGATAGTCCAAGAATGTATATGCCTCCGCTTCTTCCTCCGAAAAGCTGTGAGTCAAAGCTTATTACCCGAGCCGATGACACGGAAGAAGTTGTCAAGGAAAGACTCAAAATTTACCACAAAATGGTATTACTTTTTCTTCTTCTTTCAACTTTCATCAACTTTGCTCAAACTTTTATAGGATTAACAATGTTTTTATTTTCTCTGTTTCATAGACTCAACCAGTGGAGGAATTCTACAGGAAGCGTGGGAAGCTGTTGGAGTTTGAATTACCAGGTGGAATCCCACAGTCATGGCCTAGGCTCCTTAGAGCGTTACACATTGAAGACCTTTACGATAAACAGTCTGCAATAGCCTAGTCTCTCTCTCTATCTCTCCATGGGTTGTATGATTGAATCCACGACTTGTTGTTCTACATTCTTTGCTCGACCAATATTCCTCGTGCAGATATGCTTAAGATAGTGAATAAAACAGATACATGTCCCATTGTTGCAACTGCACAAGTGATTCATATATTATAGTGAGGTATATTTTTATTTGAGCCAATGCTTTCTTTTGTCTTTCCATTGGCAATGCACTCTTTTCTTTCATTAAGCAAAATCAATCAAATTCCCAAATAACAAAACCATACATTGTGAGAGGGACTAACGTAAAAGCTTTTGTATATTATCCTTGAACATCTCTGTGCGTCTTTAGTCCCTTACAGTTGAACCTGAGGCAGCTTTAGAGAGTTAAGACGGAACAGAGTCTGCAAGTTCTTGTAATTTTTTCAGACCCAAGGTGGCTATAAGTTCCATCGAGACAAAAACTTCACAAGATTTTGTTTCTTCTTCTTCGTCTTCCTCTTTTAGACCGCAAGTGAGTTTAAGCTTTTCTGCTTCGGATTCTGCTTCCTTTGCTTCCTCTAGTAGAAGATTCGCTTCTTCCAGATCGCTCAGCTCTAGAGCAGCTGATCTCTCGGCTTTTGCAGTGCCACTCTCAATCCTCAGCCTCTGGAATCTACTGAGAGCCAATTCTTTTTCTTGCGAAAAAATCAACTTCTCTAACTCTTGTAGCTTCTTGATGGTTTCTTCAATCTCTTGCTCTGCTTTCTCGAGCTCAGTGTTGGCTTTTCCTGTTTCCATCTGTATCTTTTCCTTTTCTAGATTCAAGGACTTCAATTCTGCTGCTATTCTTCCAGCTTCTTTGAAATTTCTCGTTGCGGCAGCCACTTTCTTCTCTGCTTCGAGCTCAGGCATCCTTTTCTCTATGAACATGATTTTGTCCATGAAAGATGTAATATTTTGTTGGATGATGGACTTTCTTGAAGATCCCTCCTGGAAACACAAAGAAACGGACTGATAAGGACTTATACAAAACACTGAAACTGAGACATTTTTTTCCAATAATATGCACTTTGTGGATAAGTAATGTGATAGATTGATTTCCTTATCTAATAGTACTACTTTTCAAACATGAACAGAGGTGGAGTAAGATTCTTGTTGCAGCTAAAAAAAAGAAAAGAAGAGACAAACCTTTAGTAACTCTCGGGTACTGGAAAGTTCCTCTTGTACCTTATGGACTTCCTCAGAAAGCTTCTCTTCCACATTTACTAGCTTGGCTCTCTCTTCTCTAGTTTTTGACACATATGCCATCAGTGTTTTCCGCAATGTAACAACTTCCTCATATTGGCATGCTTCATCTGCTGAAACACTAACAAGTTCACGGAGTGTGGCGCCTCTCTCCTTCTCAGAAGCCACGAACTCATCCACCTCTATCTTTTTCCTTGATAAAGCTTCAGTTTCCATATCAATCTGAGAGAGACCCGTTTGTACATCGTCAAGCATTTTATCCATGCTTGCTTGCAATTCCTTGTAGCCAAACACCACATTACTAATCCTTTCCTCGACTTCCTTTATTTGGAAATCGTTCTCATAAATCTCCTTCTCCTTTACCTTCACCAGAGCAAGCAGCTCCTGAAGTTCATCTGACAATTGTTCTTTCTTCTTACTCAACATCTCCTTTTCTTTCATCTCTTGTTCAACCGATCCTTCAAGACTATCATTCAGTGACAAACGGACGTTATCAACTATGACTGATTCTATATCAAGCTCAACTTTTCTGACCTCCACATCTTCAGAACATGAATGCCATTTCCCCATTTCCTCTAAACAAAACGCTTCTGCATTCTCCAGAATTGATTCAGCGTCGTTCTCAGCTTCCTATAGAGATCACAGTCATATCAAACTTATAAATATCTACACTTTCTTACTCTCCAGTCTCCACTAATCTTCTTCAATATAAGGAACAATTCAAGCAAGTTGGTGACTTACCGTGCAAGATCCACGAAGCAGAGAGGCGGATTCTTCTTCAGCGGCGATCTGAGAAAGGAGGACTTCCTCCATCTTGGATTCAATAGCATCACAATCAGATTCTGCTTGACGGAGCAATGTCATGAGAGCTAGCTTATCTCTTTCCGCAGCCGCGAGGCTTTCGCTGATCCTCTCGGCCGCATCAAAATCCTCAGCTTCAATTGCTTCCTCAAGCTGTTTCTCGAGCTCGTCGTGCGTTGTGGAAGATGATCTGAGATTCTCGGATGCTTGCCTTCTCTTCCTGATGGCATTCTTCCGAGCAGCAGTAACGGAACCGGCCAAGTAACGAGCTCGGTTTAGCTTCCCTTCGATCTGAGCCTTGACTAACTCCAACCTCCCCGAGCTACCAACAGCAGACTGATCAACGACGGAATCAGACAATTGATCGACGGAATTTGAAACTTGATCGACGGAATCCGATACTTGATTGACGGAATCGGATAATTGACTGAGGGAATCCGATAACTGACTGACGGAATCAGCCGATTGTAGACTGACAGAGTCATCTTCATCTTCGTTGATTTCGTGCCTACCGTATCCGATTCTTAATCCGGCGGCTCTTTTCTTCCTCCGTGACACCTGACGGCCATAATTCATCGCCGAGGAAGAGGAAGAAGACAACGGAGATGGGTGAGTAACTGCGTCAGGTACGTGTTGGACCGGACTCACTATCGTCAAATCGGAAAACAGATTTTCGTCCAAAGCCTCAGACATAGACTCCGACGACACCTCTGCCGGTGGAGCCGTGATCAGTGTCGCCTCCGCCGCCTTCGAAGGTGGCAAAACTGCAGGTGCGTTATCGCTGCTATCGGGGAGCTGAGACAACGGCGTAAAAAGTTCCATCCCCTCGAACAGGGACTCCACATCGTCGCCACCATCCATCGCCGATCCAATCTCACCGGTAAAATTCAAAGAGCTGAATAAATTTTCTGTACAGTGATCTGTATTATGCCTCAAATTGAAATAAATCTGCATTTAGATTAATTAAATGACCAGTATTGAAATGGGCCTACTATTCAATTTGGGCTTCGACTTCAATACATGTTTCAACTTCAGGCGTAAAATTGATTACAAAATTCATTTTCAATCATATTCATGAGATTTTGTAAAATGCTTATGAACACATTACATTCATGAGATTCATTCATGAGTAAAATTGATTACAAAATTTACTTCCAATCATCTATGTGGTTAGCTATATCTCTAAACAAATGCAAATATTTGGCCGCTTAAAAGACATCTCTTGTTGTCGTTGAAAGAAAGTTGGTTACGAAAATGTGATCCAATTTCGATGTGATAATGAAAACCAACAAAATGAGTAGAGAAAGACTATTGAGTACAATAAAGAAATATGAGAGAAGAAGAATAAGTCGACTAAAAAACTTGCTTGAGAATAACATTCATTCATGAATCGACTAACAAGTGGTTATAGTATTAGAAATCACGATTAAATATTGATATCTATTTTAATGTTTTATAATTAAAAAGCCATAGGCTAATCTAAACACATAGAAAGTAAAAAGATTCCATACTCAAAAAGATAAAAATTAAAGAGATTAGAGAGAAATACAAGAGATAGTAGACATATACATCTATCTAATCACCAAAAAATCGGTAATTTGAGAAACATTTACCAAGATATTCCCAAAATGTCTCCAGACAGAACTTTTGGGGTCACAACAACAGTCGACATAGGGCATCCCATCAATGTGACCATATGACACGACAATCATCATATGACCTACACTTATGTAACTAGCCACTTACTCCGATTGAGGATTATAAGAATGCCCTACACATAAGTACCATTAGTTTTAAGTGTTTAAAAATTAAAAGTAAATGGGAAACATTTACCAAGACGTTCCCAAAATATCACTAGATGAGTCTTGTTTCATATTGCACAGAAATAGTACATATATAAATGGACAAATACACATCAGTCCATATGTGTTTCTCTTTATCTTTACCTGCTTTGAAGATTGTCGCTAATTGCTGAAATTTTCAGTTTTTTTTTTTTCAGTTTTCGGTGTGATGGCAGCGATCTATCTACCCCTGCCTCTTGGGTTGGACGTGTGAGAAGACTTTTGGGCTTTAATATCAGGCAGCGAGTGGGCAATTGATGGGCTGTATCGTTTCTCTGATTCACCAAAAAAAAGTTCCATCACTAAAATTAACTTCATCGCTTCGATCGTGGTTCTCTGCGACGGAAATCAATCGAGTTCTTATCCTCTCTACTTGATGTTCTTCTCGATCGGTAATATTCAGTTTTCTCTTGATATATTGTAGTTTCGGTTCAATTTTGGGAAAAGACATTAATCTTAACAGTATAGATTTCAGTTGGTTAGCTGCTTTAGTATAGGATTATTCGTGTAATTTCTGCTAATTAGTTTTATGATACACACTTAAACCATCAAATTCTTTTATGTAGCAGTTTTGAAATCTATCTTCTATTATTAATAAAAAGTTGACCCTATATGTCTTTAAAGGGTGTTCATATATGATTCTAAAACTGAATTTGATTGGTTCATGTCATTATTATTTTTCTTTTCATTATTGAATTATTAATTTTCTAATTTTCTTTTTATTCTTATTAGCAAAATTTGAGAAAGATAAGGATTAAGATAATTTCTAATTTTGTAATTACCACTTCTCTAATTTCCCAATTGTATAGTGATTCCTTTTACCATTGGAAATGAACACATAGTGCTTATCAATTTCCTATTTTAATTAGAAAATAGGAAATTAGTAATAAGAAATAGATTGTAATTATAAGAAATTACAAGTCGAAATGAACATATTCCTTTTACTTATCTAATAACACCCGTAAATATAAATATGATAGATGGTGGATTCACATAAATATAAATATTTTTTAAGAAAAGCAAGAAAAAGATTATAAATACCTTCGGTTTCTTCGACAGCACTCCATGATGCTCTTCTAACCCCTAGATCTGAAAAATATCTTCCTCACGTCTCAAAAACCTAGCGCAGTCGCATCTTCTCGATCAACTTGTCCATGGAGGGATTCGCCACCAAAGTAATCTCATCTTCGATCCTTATGCCGTTCTTTAATCTCTGTTTCTCAATTTGATATCTGATTAGATCTTTTTGTACCCTATAGGTTTCGGAATCGAACGATTGTGATGCTGCACAGATTCGAAAAAGCAGGTAAAAATTGATATATGCTTTAGATCTCTGCTGTATATGTAAGATGTGTTGTTGTCATGTTAATAGAATTATATACCAAATCTATTGCAGTAGTAGCACTGTGAGCAGGATGTACGTTGAGGGTTACGACACTTCGCTCTGTGGCTATGATTTGTTTGTGGCCATGAAAGAACAATTCGGTTCATGTGGAAAGGTGCTGCACGTTTACATTCCCGGATACGCGAGAAACAGTATTCTCAACAGGTTTGTGATTGTGTGTGGCGTCTCTTTCCTCCAGTTTTATCAGCTTTGCTTTGCGATGAACTCTTGAGTTGCTTGTTTTACAGATTTGCCTTGATTTATCTTCGTGGAGAAGATGCAGAAGAGAAGGCGTCGAAACTTAACGGAAGTTGCATGGGAGGACACACGTTAGTCGTGGAGCCTTACCCGTTTCATGCAGATCACCTTGACCACAAGTTTGCTCCTACGAGAGACGCAGACAATGAGCAATCTCACCTGTAAATTGTTTTTCTCTTTTTGTCTTTCAGATATAGATTCTTGTCATGTTGGTTGATAAAATTATGTTTTCTCCTGCAATCAAGGGTTTCTATTGAGGGATATGACACTGCGCTTCCCTTGGATTACGTCAAGAGCACGCTGTGTAATGTACTCAGTAGATATACTCCTCTCCCAGTCCGGAGAGTAATGATCTGCGAACTAGAAAAAGGTGTTCTGTGCAGGTTTGTGGTTTGTGGCTTCTTCCTCCCAATTTGCTCTCTCTCTCTCTCTCTCTCTCTCTCTCTCTCTCTCTCTCTCTCTCTCTCTCTCTCTCTCTCTCTCTCATGTTATCAAAATGCTAACCAAAGATTTGTTTTTGTTTGTCTCTTTTTATAGAGCCGCTTTGGTTACTGTTTATGGAATAAACGTAATAGAGAGGTTGCTTCACCTTCGTGGAGTAATTGGAATGGAGGATATTGAACTTGCTGGGGTTTCGCCTCCAGATCCAGAAAGAGGGTGCACGATCGATATCAGACCCAAGCTTCCTGAAACCTCTCCTCCCAGGACTTGGGTACCTCATGCGGATCCAGGTCTCCCTAAGCCGCCATGTCTGAGTCATCTTCTCCCTCATCCCTGGGAATCTGGTGGGGGTTTTTTTTGGAATCCAGAGACTGGAGTAAAGTTTGAGATACCAGCTTCTGCTTCCACAAGCCGCTACGCACCAGAGGATCTGGATCCAACTCTCCCTAAGCCATGGAAAGGTCTTGTGGATAATAGCTCTGGGTATGTCTACTTTTGGAATACAGAGACTGGTGTTACCCAGTGGAAGAGACCATCTTCAGAGACTAATGTCACCTAACCTTCTTCAACTATACAGCTTGAAGAAGACTACGGAGGAAAGCCATGACTTGGAGAAGCCAATGTTTTCAAATGGAAGCTCACTTATTTATATAATCTATCTTCATTATAACCTAAGCGCGATGATGTATTTTTATGGATATATTTTTAAGTAAGCCAATTTCTGAACACTGAGCCTGTTCAAATACTCATGTCACACAGAGAGGTTCACTTCACAATGCATTGTTTATATATGCTTAACTAAGATATTACATAGTTCAAAACAGAGAGGTTCACTTTAGTTATGCCTAGAATCTAATCCGCAATCCGTATAAATATAACTTTATCCCTTTGAGATTTCGTGTCTTAGAGATTTCGTGTCATTTTCTTCAATCCGTATGAAGTTTATGTATTATCCCTTTTATGATGAGGTTCTAGGGACTGGTCATGACCAGCACATCTTTCTTCACTTGTCTGAAAAAGTTTCAAACACAAATGGTGTCATTATGTTACCGGATGGAAACATCAATTAAGTTAAGTGATTAGGGAAGCCTAGATTCTACACCAAGTTATCACATAATAGATAAGATACCAAAGAAACAGACCGTGGTGAAGGTTGTGCTTTGACTTGGCCACATTGATACAGCAATGTCGCCTCCATCATGGACTCTGCCATTATTGCCACTCTCCTCCATCTCTCTGAAAGCGCAGCAACAGCTTGCTCATATTTTTCCTACACCATTATCGATAATATTACAGAGTGAAAAGAATGGAATCAAACAACACTTGTAAGTTCGTTTTGCCTTCTCGAGTGCGTTGTAGACTGGCAAATATAGTAGACCAGAAGTTCTTTCAAAAATATTGGCAACACACTTTCATCATTAGTAGTAGTCAATGTTATGTTCTTGCTCCATCTGCATCAAGACCTTCATAATTTTTTTTTATCCGGTAACTCCACAGAAAAATCCAATTATTAAATTAAATGTTCTTAACTACCAATTTATAATAGTTAATAATAATTAATGTTTTTATTTGTAAAACTGAGCAAAAAAATATGCAATTAAAACAAATAAAATTAATTAAATCATATAATAAATTTAATTTTCATAACGCAAATATTTTTCTAATAAAAATTAGTGAAATAAATTGAATTTTTAGCAGTCAATCAAATTCTAAAAAACACAAAAATGTTGCAGTCAATACAAAACTAGTCAAAGTAATCACTATATATTTTTTTGAAATCATGTATTTAAAATCAATTCTATATGTTTTTATAATCCTTCAGATTTAAATTTTTGATCTTATTTTTAAGAATACAGATAAAAAAGAATCCATATGAGTTAATTCCAAAACCTCTGCAATATAGTTTCAATTATTTTTTTAATAATTTATTCATGAAAATCCATTGAAATAAATTTCAAATACTCAATAAAAAAATATTTTAAAAATCATTTATTTTTGAATAACACTTAATTTTAAAAGAGAATTTAAAATCTAAAATTCAACATCCAATACCTTCCACTAATAGATGGTCATCCAATACCTTCCACTAATAGATGGTGGATTTACATAAATATAAATACTTTTTTTTAAAAAGCAAGAAAAATATTATAAATACCTTCTGTTTCTTCGACAGCACTCCATGATGCCCTAATCTGAAAAATATCTTCCTAACCCCTCGAAAACCTAGCGCACTAGCATCTTCTCGACTTGTCCATGGAGGGATCCGCCACCAAAGTAATATCTTGTTCGATCCTTATGGCTTTCTTTAATCTCTGTTTCTGAATTTGAAATATCTGATTAGATCTTTTTGTACCCTAGGTTCCGGAATTGAACGATTGTGATGCTGCACAGATTCGAAAAAGCAGGTAAAAATTGTAATATTCTGCTGTATATGTAAGATGTGTTGTGGTCATGTTGATAGAACTATATATATAACCTGAAATCAAATCTATTGCAGTAGTAGCATCGTGAGCAGGATGTACGTTGAGGGATACGACACTTCGCTTTCTGGCCATGATTTCGTTGTGTCCATGGAAGAACACTTCGGTTCATGTGGAGAGGTGTTGCACGTTTATATTCCCGGATACTCTGAATGCACTACTCTCAACAGGTTTGTGATTGTGTGTGGCTGTCTCTTTCCTCCAGTTTTCTCAGCTTAGCTCTGCGATGAAGTCTTGTTTTTTTTGTTTTACAGATTTGCATTGATTTATCTTCGTGGAGAAGGTGCAGAAGAGAAGGCGTTGGAACTTAGTGGAACTTGCATGGGAGGACACAAGTTAGTCGTGGAGCCTTACCCGTTTCATGCCAAACACCTGGACCATGAGTTGGCTCCTATGAGAAAGGAAGACAACGAGAGACGTCACATGTAAGTTGTTTTTCTCTTTTTGTCAGTACGTAAGATAGGTTCTTGTCATGTTGGTTTATAAAATTATGGTTTCTCCTGCAATCAAGGGTTTCTGTTGATGGATATGACACTTCGCCTCCCTTGGAGCATGTCAAGAGCCTGCTGCATCAAGAACTCTCTAGATATGGACCTGTCGATCGTGTATATATCTGCCGAGACGCAGAAAACAAAGCTTTTATTTCCAGGTTCGTGGCTTGTTCCTCCCAACTCTCTCATGTTAATATGTTATCAAGTGCTAACCAAAGATTTGTTTTTGTTTTGTAGAAAAGCTTTGGCTCATGTTAGGGGAATAGACACAATAGAGAAGTTGATTCAACTTTGTGGATGTGATCGAAAAGGATTGGAGAATATTAAACTTACTGGGGTTTGTCCTCCAGAACCAGACGGAGCGTTCTCGTGCGGTATGAGTCGTTTCATGCGTTTTGATGTACCCAAGAGAGTACCTCATGAGGATCCAGGTCTCCCTAAGCCGCCATGTCTGAGTAAACTTCTCCTTAAACCATGCGAATGTCGTGTGGATGGTGGGATCGGCTATTGCGTTTGTAATACAGGTACAATCTTGACTTCTTCATCAAGCCGCTACGCACCTGAGGATCCAAGTCTCCCTAAGCCATGGAGATGTCTTGTGGATAATAGCACTGGGTATGGTTACTTTTGGAATACAGAGACTAATGTTACCCAGTACCAGATACCACCTTCTTCAGCTCCTCCCCTTCTCTTTCAAGAAGAAGAATAAGACTACGGAGGAAATCCATCTCTAGGAGAAGCCAATGTTTTTAACTTATTACTTGTTTTTTTTTCGTTAAATGGAAGCTCACTTATCTCCCTTTTTTATAACCTAAGCGTGATGTATTTATCTGGATGTTTAAAGTAAGCCCACTCATCTTTTATCTTCCTTCATGATGAGTATATATATACAATTCGATTGATTAGGTAACAAAAAGCATAATATCCCATCTCAACTTTGTTTTTGCCAAAGTGTCGTGAAATAAGTTGCGTATGGATTAGACCGATTTGGTGTACCAGAACTGATGAAACACACCTAGTCTGGTATGACACAGATTTTGTAAAATGCTTATCAACAATTCACACATTTCATTCAGCTTAAAATTGTTTACAAAATTCACTTAAGAGTTGAAATTAGAGTCTTAGGAAGCTTCTCTGCTTCTGATTATGCTTCTTGTGCTTCTTCGAGTAGAAGACAAGATGGATACTTCAAACTAAGACTATACACTGAAATTACAACATGTAGCAATGTCATATTTTTTTTTTATAGTCATGAAGCAATGTCATATTGTTTTAGAGTCATGAAGAACTTGTTTCTCAGAGCAAATAACCTGTTAGAAAGTGTACCATCAGACTAAAGAGACACTATTTCCGATAATATGCACTTTGTGGATAAGTAGTGATGGATAGATTTTCTAGTGTAATAATCTTGTTCAAACATTGAATAGTGTCTGTATAATGCTCAATTGAAATGAATCTACATATATTTGGTTTAATTAATTGACTAGTAATGAAATGGGCCTGCTTTTATTTGGGCTTCGACTTCAAGCGTAAAACTGTTTACAAATTTCACTTCCAATCACAATTAATGAGATTTTGTAAAATGCTTATGAACAAATTACATTCATATGATTCATTCATGACTAAAATTGTTCACAAAATTCACTTCCAATCATCTCTGTCGTTAGCTATATGCCTATACCTCTAAACAAATGCATATATATGGTCGCCTAAAAGATATCTCTGTGAATATATGGACTACAAAACAATGTTCCTTCTCCTTTTCTCTATGAACATAATTTTATCCATGAAAGATGTAATGTTCTGTTGGATGATCGACTTTCGTGAAGATCCCTCCTGGAAAACAAAGAAACGGGTTTGATAAGGACTTATGCAAAACACTTGTGGGTAGATACTTCAAACTAAGACTGTACACTGACATTGCAACATGAATATAGGTGGAACAAGATTTTTGTTGCAACGAAGAAGGAAGAAGAAGAGAAAGCAGAGACAAACCTTTAGTGACTCTCGAGTACTGGAAAGCTCCTCTTGTAGCTTATGGACTTACTCCGAAAGCTTCTCTTCGATATTTACAAGCTTGGCTCTCTCTTCTCTAGTTTTTGACACATACGACATCAGATTTTTCCGCAATTTAATAACCTCCTCATATCCACATGCTTCATCAGCTGAAACACTAACAAGATCACATAGTTTGGCCCCTCTCTCCTTCTCAGAAGCCACAAACTCATCTACGTCTATCTTTTGCTTGTTTCTTTTTGAACTGATCTGTACTAATTGAGCATGATTCGTACAGTCAAATCATCAATGGATTTTCAAATACTAAACGACGTAAAAGATATACCATAACCAATTTCTTGAACCTTGTCTTATGATGTATAGTGAATTTTTTAAAATCCATAAAGTTTAAGAAAAAGAAAAAAAACATAAAAATCATGAAAATAAAAAAAGAAAAGCAAAACCATATAAAACATGATCAAGAAACAAGGCAATGAAAGTTAACAAGTAAAAGAAAATATAATCATGAAGAAAGAAAAATCAAGAAACTTGGAAGAAAGCAAAATCATATAAAATACGATCAGGACTCAGGAAAAAAAATGACAATGAAAATCGACAAGTGAAAAAAACATATAATTGAAGAGAGTAACAACTGATGTTTGAAATAGCTGATTATAAATTTTGTTGGTTCTTAAATGGAACGATACAAATTACCGGAAAACAATAGAGGTAAGATTATTAGCTTAATTTTTAAATATATATATATATATATTTTTTTTTAAAGCAAGAAAAATATTATTAATACATTCTGTTTCTTCGAGAACACTCCTAGATCTGAAAAATATCTTCCTAACCCCTCGAAAACATAGCGCAGTCGCATATTCTCAACTTGTCCATGGAGGGATCCGCCACCAAAGTAATCTCATCTTCGATCGTTATGGCTTTCTTTAATCTCTGTTTCTCAATTTGAAATATCTGATTAGATCTTTTTGTACCTAATTAGGTTCCGGAATTGAACGATTGTGATGCTGCACAGATTCGAAAAACCAGGTAAAAAATTGAACTATTCTTTAGATCTCTGCTGTATATGTAAGATGTGTTGTGGTCACGTTGATAAAATCATATATATAACCTGAAATCAAATCTATTTGCAGTAGTAGCATCGTGAGCAGGATGTACGTTGAGGGATACGACACTTCGAAATCTGGCTATGATTTGGTTACGTCTATGAAAGAACATTTCGCTTCATGTGGAGATGTGTTGCACGTTTATATTCCCGGATACTCTCAAGGCACTACCCTCAACAGGTTTGTGATTGCGTGTGTGGCGCCTCTTTCCTCCAGTTTTCTCAGCTTTGCTTTGCGATGAACTCTTGAGTTTTTTTGTTTTACAGATTTGCCTTAATGTATCTTCGTGGAGAAGGTGCAGAGGAGAAGGCGATGATACTTGACGGGATTTGCATGGGAGGACACAAGTTGGTCGTGGAGCCTTACCCGTTTCATGCCACACACCTTGACCACAAGTTTGCTCCTACGAGAGACGCAGACAATAAGAAAGTTCACACGTAAATTGTTTTTCTCTTCTTGTCTTTAAGATATTGAGGTTCTTGTCATGTTGGTTGATGATATTATATATAATGTTTTTCTCTCGGCAATCAAGGATGTCTGTTGATGGATTTGACACTTCGCTTCCCTTGGAGCATGCCAAGAGCATGCTGTATCAAGAACTCACTAAATGTGGTGGAGATGGAAGTGTCGAGAGAGTAACTTTGTGCGAAAAAGAAGAAGGCAAAGGTGTTCTGTGCAGGTTTGTGGTTTGTGGCATCTTCCTCCCAGCTGTTTGCTCTCTCTCTCTCTCATGTTATCAAGTGCTAACCAAAGATTTGTTTTTGTTTGTCTCTTTTTATAGTAGCGCTGTTGTTCATGTTAGGGGAATAGACGCAGTAGAGAGGTTGCTTCGACTTTGTGGATGTGATCGAAAAGGATTGGAGGATATTAAAGTTTATCGGGTTGCTCCTCCACAACGAGTAATACGGATCCATTTCGATCCCAAGCGTTTTCCCCCCTCTTCCAGGACTAGGGTACGTCATGAGGATCCAGGTCTCCCTAAGCCGCCATGTCTGAGTGAACTTCACCCTCCTGCATGTAAAGGTCGTGTTTTCAATACACAGACACGAGCTTCCTCAAGCCGTTACGCACCAGAGGATCCAACTCTCCCTGAGCCATGGAAAGGTCTTGTGGATAATAGCACTGGGTATGGCTACTTTTGGAATACAGACACTAATGTTACCCAGTGGAAGAGACCATCTTGAGAGACTAATGTTACCTAACCTCTTCACTATCTCGTCTAGTAAGTTCAACCTTCTGTTTCTTCGACAGCACTCCATGATGCCCTAGGTCTGAAAAAATATCTTCCTAAACCCTCGAAAACCTAGGGCACTCGCATCTGATATAGGATATTCCATATTTAAGAAGTTAGTTTTCTAGTTTTATTAAGAGTTAACTTTCCTAAAATTATCTAAAGTCGGTTGTTGTTTTCTTTATATTAAGACTTGTAAGTCACAATATGTATACATTCAGAAATTTAAAGAAACTCGTTCTATTGCTCTCTTTCTTTCGTTACAAGCAACTCAACCATAGCTGAGAAACTTCTCTGCAGTTGTGTAAGGAGTTCGCGTTTTAAGAACGTTGATTCCCGTTCCTATCTGGTTACTAAGATCTCACGAATTAGCTCTATCAGCATCTTCTCGACTTCTCCATGGAGGGATCCGCCACCAAAGTAATCTCTTCAGTACGCAAGGTAAAAGGGTTCAATTTTGATCCGAAGCTTCTTGAAACCTCTCCTCCCAGGACTTTACCTCATGCGGATCCAGGTCTCCCTAAGCCGCCATGTCTGAGTAATCTTGTCCCTCCTGCATGGAAAGGTCGTGTTTGGAATACAGAGACTGAGGAGATACCAGCATCATCAGCTTTTCCTGCTTCGACAAGCCGTTACGCACCTGAGGATCCAAGTCTCCCTAAGCCATGGAAATGTCTTGTGGATAATAGCACTGGGTATGGCTACTTTTGGAATACAGAGACTGGTGTTACCCAGTGGCAGAGACCATCTTCAGAGACTAATGTTACCTAACCTTCTTCAACTATACAGCTTGAAGAAGACTACGGAGGAAAGCCATGACTTGGAGAAGCCAATGTTTTCAAATGGAAGCTAACTTATTTATATAATCTATCTTCATTATAACCTAAGCGTGATGATGTATTTTAAGTAAGCCTATTTCTGAACACTGAGCCTGTTCGAATACTCATGTCATACAAACAGAGAGGTTCACTTCACAACGAATTGTTTATATCTGCTTAACAAAGAAATTACATATAGTTCAATACATATCTACTAAGTTATGTCTAAAATCTAATCCGTATAAATTATAAATTTACCGAGAGTGTCTTGGAGATTTTCGTGTCCTTTTCTTCTGGTATGAAGTTTATGTATTATCCCTTTGATGAGGAGGTTCTAGGGACTGGTCATGACCAGCACATCTTTCTTCACTTGTCTGAAAAAGTTTGAAACACAAATGGTGTCATAATGTTATCGGATGGAAACATCAATTAAGTCAAGAGATTAGGGAAGCCTAGATTCTACACCAAGTTCATATAATAGATAAGACGACACCAAAGATACAGACCGTGTGGTGAAGGTTGTGCTTTGACTTGGCCACATTGACACTGCGATGTCGCCTCCAACATGGACTCTGCCATTATTTCCCTCTCCTCCATCTCTGCAATCGCAGCAACAGCTTCCTCATATTTTTCCTACATTATCGATAATATTACAGAGTGAAAAAAAATGGAATCAAACAACACTTGTAAGTTCGTTTTGCATTCTCGAGTGCGTTGTAGACTGACACATACAGTAGACCAGAAGTTCTTTCAAACATATTAGCAACACACTTTCATCATTAGTATTTAGTAGTAGTCAATGCAAACCTTATGTTCTTGCTCCATCTGCATCAAGACCTTCATAATTTTGTTTATCCGGTAACTCCACAGAAAAATCCAATTAGATTAAATGTTCTTAACTACCAATTTAGAATAGTTAATTAATGTTTTTCTTTGTAAAACTGAGCAAAAAAAAAGCAATTAAAACAAATAAAATTAATTAAATCATATAGTAAATTTAATTTTCATAATGCAAATATTAGTCTAATAAATATTACTTAAATTAAATTAATTTTAAAAATCATTTATTGTTGAATAACACTGGATTTTAAAAGAGAATTTAAAATTTTGATTAATTTGAAAATCTAAAATACAACATCCAGTATACCCATTCACTAATAGGTGGTGGATTCACTTAAATATAAATATTAAAAAAAAAAAGCAAGAAATTTTTTTATAAATACCTTCGGTTTCTTCGACAGCACTCCTAGATCTGAAAAATATCATCCGAAAACCTAGCGCAGTCGAATCTTCTCAACATGTCCATGGAGGGATCCGCCACCAAAGTAATCTCTTCTTCGACCCTTATGGCTTTCTTTCTTGAATCTCTGTTTCTGAACTTGAAGTATCTGATTAGAGATCTTTTTGTACCTAATTAGGTTCCGGAATCGAGCGATTGTGATGCTGCACAGATTCGAAAAAGCAGGTGAAAACTGATATATGCTTTAGATCTCTGCTGTATATGTAAGATGTGTTGTTGTCATGTGAATATATAACCTGAAATCAAATCTATTACAGTAGTAGTAGCACTGTGAGCAGGATGTACGTTGAGGGTTACGACACTTCGCAATCTGGCTATGATTTGGTTATGTCCATGGAAAAACATTTCGGTTCATGTGGAGAGGTGTTGCACGTTTATATTCCCGGATACTGTGAAGGCAAAATTCCTAACAGGTTTGTGATTGTGTGTGGCGTCTCTTTCGTCCAGTTTTGTCAGCTTGGCTTTGCGATCAAGTCTTGAGTTTTGTTGTTTTACAGATTTGCCTTGATGTATCTTCGGGGAGAAGGTGCAGAAGAGAAGGCGTCGAAACTTAACGGAAGTTGCATGGGAGGACACAAGTTGGTCGTGGCGCCTTACCCGTTTCATGCCACACGCCTTGAGCACAAGTTTGCTCTTATGAGAAAGGAAGACAATGAGCAAGCTCAATTGTAAATTGTTTTTCTCTTTTTGTCTTTAAGATAAAGGTTCTTGTCATGTTGGTTGATGATATATAATGTTTTCTCTCTGCAATCTAGGATTTATATTCAAGGATATGACACTTCGCTTCCCTTGGACTACGTCGAGAGAATCCTGTATGAAGAAGTCGGTTTATATGGTGAAGTCGTGAGTATAACTATATGCGAAGAAGAAGAAAACAAAGCTGTTCTGCGCAGGTTTGTGGTTTGTGGCTTCTTCCTCCCAATTTGCTCTCTCTCTCATGTTATCAAGTGCTAACCAAAGATTTGTTTTTGTCTGTCTCTTTTTATATATAGAACCGCTTTCGTTACTGTTAGGGGAATAGACGCATTAGAGAGGTTGCTTCACCTTCGTGGATGTGATCGAAGAGGATTGGAGAATATCAAGCTTACTGGGGTTGCGCGTCCAGATCCAGACGAAGAGACCTTGTTCCCCGTGTTTGTTGAATGTTCTCCTTCCAGGACTTGGGTATCTCATGAGGATCCAAATCTACCTGAGCCGTGGAAAGATGTTGTGGATGATGGCACTGGGCTAAGTTACTTTTGGAATACAGAGACTAATGTCACTCAGTACCAGAGACCATCTTCAGAGACTAATGTTACTCCCCCTCTCCTCCAGTAAGTTCAACCTTGTTCTGGATATCTCCGTGCGTGCATGGTTAGCTATATATAGTCCCAACAAATACATGTGTATTTGATTCTTTATTTCTCTGGTAACAAATTAAACTCTCATTTCGTGGTTTCTTTTGTAATGTGAAGTAAATATCGAAAATAGTTTCTCCAATCCAAACTGTAACTCGCTCTTCTCTTTCTCTAGTCTCTTCACATGCAAGTCACAATCAGTCTTTGCTCGTCTGATCTCTTCCCTAGCGGAAGCTCTCTCGTCCATTTGTGACCGAGAAAGACTTAAAACCTCGAAAGCCAAGCCTACTCTCTACTCGTCCATGGTGTTGTTAACAATGATAATGTGGATGAAGTAGAAAATGAAACTATTGAACATGATCAAAATGACACGAATGACCACAATTTACTGAATATATATGAACCAAGATTTTGGGATGCTCTTGATCAAAGATCTATAGATATCTTAGCCAAAAATGGTCCTAGGCGAGATTTATCTATTGTTAAAGGTCCTAAGAACTAATTGGGTAAGAGATACTGTTCATCTTTGTATACAAAAAATTTAATAAATGGAGAATCATGTGATAGGAATTGGCTTGTTTATTCTAAAGAACTTGATAAAGTTTTTTGCTTTTGCTGTAAGATTTAAAAAAAAGGTTCTAGGACACATATTAGTGAAAGACTGTATCAACATGAACAAAGTAGAGATCATATTTGCAATATGGCTGCTTGGATTGAATTACAACATACTGTAGATCTAAAGAAAATAAAACAATAGATAAAACCACTCAAGAGCTTCTTATGAAAGAAAAGGAATATTGGAAAAGAGTATTGTTTAGAGTTGTTGTTATTGTAAAGTATCTTGCAAAACATACTTTAGCATTTCGTGGTACAAATGAAAAGTTATATCAAAATAATAATGGTCATTTTTTGGGTTTGGTACAAATGGTAGCTGAAATTGACCCAATAATGAAAGACCATGATGAACGTTTTAATAGTGGTCTTATTAATCAACATTATCTTAAAGTCATAATATCCAAAATGAGTTAATTTTGTTGATTTCTTCTCAAATTAAGTCTAAGATTATTTCAAAGGTAAAAGAGGCAAACTATTTTTCTGTGATATTAGATTGTACTCCAGATGCTAATTACTAGATGCGTAGATGTGTCATCAGATTCTTTTAAAGTGGAAGAATTTTTTATTGAATTTTTGAAAGTTAATGATACAACCGGCCAGGGACTTTTTGAAGTTTTAAAAAATGTGCTAATTTCTTTAGATCTTGATACTGATAATGTGCGAGGCCAAGGATATGACATTGGAGCAAATCTGAAAGGAAAGCATCAAGGTGTTCAAAAGAAGGTTTTGGATTTGAATCCTAGGGCTTTCTATTCTCCATGTGGCTGCCATAGCCTCAATTTAATATTGTGTGACATAGGCAATTCTTCTTTTAAGGTAAGAGATTTTTTTGGTGTAATACAACGTTTATATACTTTGTTTGCAAACGCTACGAAAAGGTGGGATGTCTTAAAAGATAATGTTAAAGGTTTAACTTTGAAATCATTATCAACAACACGTTGGGAAAGTCGTGTTGAAAGCATCAAAGCGGTAAGATTTCAAACTTCTGATATAAGAGAAGCTTTATTCCAAATAGCTGAAACCGATAATGATCCAATGATACAAAGTGAAGCTAAGTCTTTAGCAATGCATGAACTAGGAGGTTTTGAATTTTTGGTAGATGTAGTTATCTGGTTTGATATATTGCATGTTGTGAACTTAGTTAGCAAAAAGATGCAATCAAAAGATATGTTAATTGACGTTGCTGTGGAAGAGGTCAAAGGCTTAGTTTCTTTTTTCAAAGGTTATAGAGAAACTGGATTTGCCAATGCTTTGATCGTTGCTAAAGAACTTGCTGCTGAAATTGATATTGATCCCGTATTTCCTATAAAACGAGTAATTAGGAGAAAAAGGCAATATGATGAGATTGATAGTGTTGAGCCGATGTTATCAGCTGAAGATGATTTTAGAATTCACTATTTTCTTCATATTGTAGATCAAGCTATCATGTCACTGAGTAGAAGGTTTGAACAATACGAGTTATATGAAAATATCTTTAGTTTCTTATGTAGTTCTAGTAAGCTGAAATCATTAGTTGATACCACTTTGAATCTACATTGTAAACGCCTTGAAAATGCTTTAAAGAAAGGCGAATTGTTAGATATAAATGGTTATGAGCTTTTTCTTGAACTACAATTATTTAAAGAATTTTTACCACATGATAATATAGGAGCAACTGATTTCCTAGAGATTTTGAAGAGATATAATTGTTTTCCAAATGTGACAATCGCATATAGAATTTTATTATTTTACTAACTATTCCAGTGACTGTTGCTTCTGCAGAACGGAGCTTTTCAAAACTTAAGTTGCTGAAAACATATATGCGGTCAACCATGTTACAAGAAAGACTAAATGGTTTAGCTTTAATGGCTATTAAAAGAGCTGCACGATTTGGTTGAAAGTTTTTTTCTTATAGTTCAATGTATAAAAAATCAAAGATTTTATATTATAGGGCCTATTTTGGTTGATCAACACATGGCCAATAATTTTGTTCCAAACGGCGTTGAAACATGGTCAAATAGAGTGTCTAACAAACACGTGAGATAACATAACAGGAGAAATCTACTCGATCACGACATAATGTGTTACTTGGTTAAGGTTGACAAATACATTGCCATAATGCCCCCAGTCGATGCCACGGCAATCTAAATATGGCACACCATCGATATATCCATAAGTCACAGCAAGAATTATCGCATTTAATTTCCCTGCTTGATAGGAAGTGCTTTATAGAAAGAAGATACAAGATCTATTCATGATAAACTGTATATCTCCTTTGTTAATCTGTTTTTTCGGATTGATTTGTACTAATTGAGCATAATCTGTACAGTCAAATCATCAATGGATTTTCAAATACTAAACGACGTAAAAGATATATCATAACCAATTTCTTGAATGTTGTACCAAGTAAAGATTCTCTTATGAATTATGATATATTGTTAATTTGTTAAAATCCATAAAGTTTAAGAAAAATAAAAAAAACATAAAAAAAAAACCATGAAAATAAAAAGGAAAAGCAAAACCATATAAAACAAAGCAATAGAAGTTAACAACTAAAAGAAAAATCAAGAAACTTGGAAAAATGCAAAATCATATAAAATACGACCAAGAGGAAAAAATGGCAATTCAGTTCGTTCTTAAATTGAACGATGCAAATTTGGGTATTCCCCTCTCTTAGCGGAAGACAATAAAGGTAAGATTATTATCACATAATCACAGATTTTGTTAGCTTAATTTTTAAATATAATTTTTTTTAAAGCAAGAAAAAGATTATCAATACCTTCTGTTTCTTCGACAGCACTCCATGGTGCTTTTCTCACCTCTAGAGATCTGAAAAGTATCTTCCTCCCCCCTGGAAAACCTAGCTTAGTCGCATCTTCTCGACTTGTCCATGGAGGGATCCGCCACCAAAGTAATCTCTTGTTCGATCCTTATGGCTTTCTTTCTTGAATCTCTGTTTCTGAACTTGAAATATCTGATTAGATATCTTTTTGTACCCTAGGTTCCGGAATTGAACGATTGTGATGCTGCACAGATTCGAAAAAGCAGGTAAAAATTGTAATATTCTGCTGTATATGTAAGATGTGTTGTGGTCATGTTGATAAAATCATATATATATACATATAACCTGAATCAAATCTATTGCAGTAGTAGCATTGTGAGCAGGATGTACGTTGAGGGATACGACACCTCGCAATCTGGCTATGATTTGGTTACGTCTATGAAAGAACATTTCGGTTCATGTGGAGATGTGTTGCATGTTTATATTCCCGGATACGGATACGGATACGCTAGACCCAAAATTCTCAACAGGTTTGTGATTGTGTGTGGCGTCTCCTTCCTCCAGTTTTCTCAGCTTTGCTTTGCGATGAACTCTTGTTTTACAGATTTACCTTGATGTATGTTCGTGGAGAAGGTGCAGAAGAGAAGGCGTCGATACTTAACGGAAGTTGCATGGGAGGACACAAGTTAGTCGTGGAGCCTTACCCGTTTCATGCCACACACCTTGACCACAAGTTCGCTCCTACGAGAGACGCAGACAATAAGCAAATTGACACGTAAATTGTTTTTCTCTTTTTGTCTTTAAGATAAAGGTTCTTGTCATGTTGGTTGATGATATATAAAATGTTATCTTCTCTGCAATCAAGGATTTCTGTTGATGGATATGACACTTCGCTTCCCTTGGAGTATGCCAAGAGCATGCTGTATGAAGAACTCACTAAATGCGGTGGAGATGGAAGTGTCGAGAGTGTAACTACGTGCGAAGAAGAAAAAAACAAAGCTGTTCTGTGCAGGTTTGTGGTTTGTGGCTTCTTCCTCCCAGTTCTCTCTCTCTTTCATGTTATCAAGTGCTAACCAAAGATTTGTTTTTGTTCGTCTCTTTTTATAGAAGGGCTATCGTTCGTGTTAGGGGAATAGACGCATTAGAGAGGTTGCTTCAACTTTGTGGATGTGATCGAAAAGGATTGGAGGATATTAAAATTTATCGGGTTGCTCGTCCATCACAAGAAAAAGGAACCATGCTCAGTTTTGATCCCAAGCTTTTTCCAACCTCTCCCAGGAGTAGGGTACCTCATGAGGATCCAGGTCTCCCTAGGCCGCCATGTCTGAGTAATCTTCTCCCTCCTGCATGGAAAGGTCGTGTTTTGAATACAGAGACACGAGCTTCATCAGCTTTTCCTGCTTCGACAAGCCGCTACGCACCTGAGGATCCAACTCTCCCTGAGCCATGGAAATGTCTTGTGGATAACAGAACTGGGTATGGCTACTTTTGGAATACAGAGACTAATGTTACCCAGTGGCAGAGACCATCTTCAGAGACTAATCCCAACTAAGACATGTATTTGATTCTTGATTTCTATGGTAACAAATTAAAACCTCTCATTTCGTGGTTTGTTTTGTAATGTGAAGTAAATATCGAAAATAGTGGGGTTTATATATCAAACTTTGTTTTTGGATATAAATGATATGCTATTCATCATATGTCACATGGAAACATTGTTAGGTCCCAAATTAGGCCTTACAAATGATCATCAAGAACAAGACAGAACACTTTGGTTCTTAAGACACAAGTTACTTAAAGTTTTTCTTCATATCTTTTAACCTTAGCGGATCCTTAAATACAAAACCTAAAGAGATTAAACTAACTACAACTAACTACTACGTGAATTAGTGGGATCAAAATCCCTTTAATATAGGAATAACCGTTTACACCGGTTATGATCTCATCAAACATCAATATAGTTAAGTGATTAGGGAAGCCTAGATTCTACACCAAGTTCACATAATCCCTAATATACTAAAGCACAAGTCACTCAACCAATAATAAAGCAACATGTGGCAAGTTTAAAAAAAACAAAAGCTAATCCTTTTTAAAGTTTTGCCATGTCACCTCTATTAGGCATCCAATAAAAATTAAAAAAAAAAGACAAATGAAAATATATCAACACAATTTAACTGTTTTGCCGATTAAACAGAAAATAAAATAAAATCATCGGTTTCTAAATTGTTCCTTGCTCTCAAACCCACGATCTCCACTTTTTAAATATCAACTGCTTAAAGACATCAATAAATTCATTATAAACTTACTTCAAACGGTTCATACTTGCACAACGAAGTAAAAAAAATGATCCTTTCATCTCTCCTGAAATTTCAATTTTGTTCTCGACGATTTTCTTCATATCATCTTTTTATTCCTGCAGCAATTCGTACCATTTTCATCATTCATCGCTCTAGAATCATGGAACGTTGTGGTCCGTCAACCTCTTCTAAAGCATCAATTGGATTGTGGCTGTGGAGCTTGAAATCGTGTCGAGGAAGAGACTAATACTTCGTACACGGTGATTTTGAGAGATTCGTCGAAAACTTATGGAGTTTGTGGCAGGAAGTTTATGAGTAAGTGATAAAGTTAAGCATCAATTTTTAATCTTTAGAATGTTCAGTTTTGAAATGATTTATAGTTCGTTGCAGATGAATCGCTATCACCAGATCTTTTCGTGACGAGCCTTCCTGAACTAAAGCGACTCGACTAGAATTTGGGTTGGACATGTTGACAATACATATCGTCAGGAACAACAACTTGAAGAAGATTGATGTCGAAGAAATTCTGTTAATTAAGGAAATCAAAGCAGATTGAAGAAGAAGAACGAAGTTAGTATGAGATGTGTTCTGAAGTAAAAGTCGGCAAAGGTTGAAGACGAACGAAGTAGAAAAACTCCATCTCACGATTCACGAAGAGCGTCTTATCATATATTAAAAATTCTTTAAACTTTCTTTTACTATTTTTCTCGATAGTTTTTCTTTTCCAAACATAATATTAGTTGAAACCAATATATTTTTATATTAATTTTTAGATGAAACCAATATGTTTTTGCCGTCAAGTAATAGTTTGAATTTCTAATAAAAAATTAAGCCAAATTTGTAATTCTAAAAATCAAACAAATATAAAAAGAAACGTGAGTTAAACTTTCTAAGTTTAGTAAAAACATGACATGTGGATAAAACATAATTTTAAAAGGGAATATAAACTTAATAAAATAGTTAAAATCGTATGCATGTATGAACACCAAAAATATACATATGTAGAATCACACACCGATGTATTATTTCGATACAATCAAACCTATGTATTTTAACATACAAAAAACAAAAATCCTTGCCCCCTCAACATCCAATATTTGGAAGCAGAAAATATAAGTTGCAGCTAATATTATGCATCCAACTTTTTATTCTTAAAAATTGATTATCCAAAAACATTGCCAAAAAAATCATACTATTACATTTCTAAATTTATATAAAGTTAAGATAATTGTTTGTTATCCCGTAACGGGGTGGAATACTTGGAGTAAATAACTTGAAGTATAAACAAACAGGTTGTTCTTATTACTCTCATATACATATATTTTTGATGTAAAAAATATTTAGTTATAATTTTAGAAAATTTGGAGTTTAACAAAACAAATATATGAAAATCGTAATTGTGCCGTGCGTACGCACGGGGTAATACTAGTAGATAAGATACCAAAGAAACAAACCGTGGTGATGAAGGTTGTACTTTGACTTGGCCACATTGACACTGCACTGTCGCCTCCAACATGGACTCTGCCATTATTTCCCTCTCCTCCATCTCAGCAATCGCAGCAATAGCTTCCTCATATTTTTCCTACACCATTATCGATAATATTTCAGAGTGAAAAAAATGGAATCAAACAACACTTGGAAGTTCGTTTTGTATTCTCGAGTGCGTTGTAGACTGACACATACAGTAGACCAGAAGTTCTTTCAAACATATTAGCAACACACTTTCATCATTAGTAAGTAGTCAATGCAAACCTTTTGTTCTTGCTCCATCTGCATCAAGACCTTCACAATTTTTTATAACTCCACAGAAAAATCTAATTAAAATGTTCTTAACTACCAGTTTGTAATAGTTAATTAATGTTTTTTTTTTCCATAAAACTGAGCAAAACAATATGCAATTAAAACAAATAAAATTAATTAAATCATATATAGTAAATTTAATTTTCATAATGCAAATATTTGTCTAACCAAAATTAATGAAATTAAATTAATTTCATATTATTAATTTGTAGCAGTCATTTAAATTCTAAAAACAGAAAAATGTTGCAGTCAATGCAAAATTAGTCAAATAAATCATTATATTATATCATGTATTTAAATTCAATTCTATAGATTTTATTATTCTTCATATTTAAAACTTTGATGTTATTTTAAGGAATACAGATGAAAAGAATCCATATGAATTGATTCCAATACCTCTATAATATAGTTCAATTCTGTTTCCTTTTAATAATTTACTTATAAAAATGTTTAAAAAAAAATTATTTTTGAATAACATTGGATTTTAAAAAAGAATTTAAAATCTTGATTAATCTGAAAATCTAAAATACAACATCCAATAGTAGGCCTGGGCATTCGGGTTTCGGGTCGGGTGTATTTGGGTTGCTAAATATAATTTTAGAACCATTCGGGTTAAGGAAAATTTCAGCTCGGTTTCGGTTCGGTTCCTGTCGGGGCTCGGGTCAGGTTTGGGGCTAAATTTTATAAATCAGCTCGAGTTTTTTGCAAATGTTGGTTCTTGTCCGGTCTAATTCAGGTCGGTTTTTATTATTTAAAAAAAAAACAAATATCCAAAAACCTACAAAATAACAAAAATATGCAAATAACCGAAAAACTTGTCTTTAATCTATCTTCTACTAAAGTATTTTCTTTTGATTTTTTTGGTTATTTTGTTCTAAATATAAATATTCTATTAGATTTATAATTATAGTTTAAGTTATTTTTATTATTTTAAGGTCTAAATATAGCCAATATTTTTGATATTTCGGGTATTCATTCGATTCTCGGTTTGGATTCAGTATTTTTGGGTATAAAAATTTCAGACCTATCGGGTATTCGTGTCGATTCGGTTCAGTTCGTTTCCATCTATTTCGGGTTGCGTCTTGGGATCCTGGCCTATCCACTTAAATGTGGTGGATTCACTTACGTATAAATATTTTTTTTAAAAAGCAAGAAAAAGATTAGAAATACCTTCTGTTTCTTCGACAGCACACTTCTGAAAAATATCTTCCTCACCCCTCGAAAACATAGCGCAGTCGCATCTTTTCGACTTGTCCATGGAGGGATCCGCCACCAAAGTAATCTCTTCTTCGATCCTTATGGCTTTCTTTAATCTCTGTTTCTCAATTTGAAATATCTGACTTGATCTTTTTGTACATAATTGGCTAATTACGTTCTGGAATTGAACGATTGTGATGCTGCGCAGATTCGAAAAAGCAGGTAAAAATTGATATATCCTCTAGATCTCTGTATATGTAAGATGTGCTGTTATCATGTTAATAAAAACCTGAAATCAAATCTATTGCAGTAGTAGCATATGAGCAGGATGTACGTTGAGGGATACGACACTTCGCTGGCTATGATTTGTTGTCCATGAAAGAACACTTCGGTTCATGTGGAGGTGTTGCACGTTTATATTCCCGGATACGTTACAGGCAGAATTCTCAACAGGTTTGTGATTGTGTGTGGCGTCTCCTTCCTCCAGTTTTCTCAGCTTTGCTTTGCGATGAACTCTTGAGTTTTTTGTTTTACAGATTTGCTTGATGTATCTTCGTGGAGAAGGTGCAGAAGAGAAGGCGTTGAACTTAATGGAAGTTGCATGGGAGGACACAAGTTAGTCGTGGAGCCTTACCCGTTTCATGCCACACACCTTGACCACAAGTTTGCTCCTACGAGAGACGCAGACAATAAGCAAATTCACACGTAAATTGTTTTTCTCTTCTTGTCTTTAAGATAAAGGTTCTTGTCATGTTGGTTGATGATATATAATGTTTTTCTCTGCAATCAAGGATTTCTGTTGATGGATATGACACTTCGCTTCCCTTGGAGTATGCCAAGAGCATGCTGTATGAAGAACTCTCAGGATGTGGTGGCAGTGTCGAGAGTTTATAATGTGCCAAAAAGAAAACAAAGCTGTTCTGTGCAGGTTTGTGGTTTGTGGCTTCTTCCTCCCAGTTTGCTCTCTCTCTCTCTCTCATGTTATCAAGTGCTAACCAAAGATTTGTTTTTGTTTGTCTCTTTTTATAGAAGCGCTATCGTTCATGTTAGGGGAATAGACGCATTAGAGAGGTTGCTTCAACTTCGCGGTTGTGATCGAAAAGGATTGGAGAATATTAAAATTTATCGGGTTGTTCGTCCAAAACGACGAGTAAAAGGGTTCAGTTTTGATCCCAAGCTTCTTGAAACCTCTCCTCCCAGGATTAGGGTACCTCATGAGGATCCAGGTCTCCCTAAGCCGCCATGTCTGAATAATCTTCTCCCTCCTGCATGGAAAGGTCTTGTTTTGAATACAGAGACTGAGGAGATACCAGCTTCATCAGCTTTGCCTGCTTCCACAAGCCGCTACGCACCAGAGGATCCAAGTCTCCCTAAGCCATGGAAATGTCTTGTGGATAATAGCACTGGGTATGGCTACTTTTGGAATACAGAGACTAATGTTACCCAGTACCAGAGACCACCTTCAGAGACTAATGCTACCTAACCTCTTCACTATCTCGTCTGATAAGTTCAACCTTCTTCTGGATATACAGAGATCTATTTTTGTTACCTAACCTCTTCATAAATGGAAGCTCACTTATATATATAATCTATCTTCATTATAACCTAAGCGTGATGATGTATTTTAAGTAAGCCTATTTCTGAACACTGAGCCTGTTCGAATACTCTGTCACACAAACAGAGAAGTTCACTTCACAACGAATTGTTTATATCTGCTTAACAAAGAAATTACATATAGTTCAATACATATCTACTAAGTTATGTCTAAAATCTAATCCGCAATCCGTATAAATTATAACTTTACCGAGAGTGTCTTAGAGATTTCGTGTCATTTTCTTCTGGTATGAAGTTTATGTATTATGATTATCCCTTTGAATTTGATGAGGAGGTTTTAGCCTTCTAGGGACAGGTCATGACCAGCAGATCTTTCTTCACATGCCTGAAAAAGTTTCACAACACAAATGGTGTCATAATTATATCAGATGGAAACATCAATTAAGATAAGATACCAAAGATACAGACCGTGGTGAAGGTTGTGCTTTGACTTGGCCGCATTGATACTGCAATGTCGCCTCCAACATGGACTCTGCCATTATCGCCCTCTCCTCCATCTCTGCAATCGCAGCAACAGCTTCCTCATATTTTTCCTACACACACCATTATCGATATCATACGGAGAGTTAGTAGACTACACACACACACACACACAACATATTAGCAACACACTTCCATTTACTAGTAGTAGTCAATGCAAACTTTTTCTAACCTGAAGCACTTCAGCAGCATATCTCTGCGCTGCTGCGTCCTGCTCACCAAGTCTCCGTGCTTCCTCTGCTACCTTATGTTCTTGCTCCATCCGCATCAATACCTTCACAAATTCTCTCCCAAGTGATCTTAGAACTGTGATCTTAGAACTACCGTACATTGAATTGCGCTAGAAGAGAGAGAGAGCAGATTGATCTGAAAAGTAAACATCTTGCAAATGCAAACCTGTATCATAGCAGCTTCTTGCTCCTTCTTATCAGAAACAAGTCTTCGAATATCTGTCACCCCTTGCTCTAACTGCTCAATCTACCCAAAATTCATGCATGATGGTAAGTCAGACTATCTCAAATAGAAGGAGCAAGCGCATGACAGCATAGATAAAGAAAAACTAAATCTACGTCCATATACCTTAGCATTCAGTTGATGCCGATTGTCTTGTTTGACCATCTCCATTAGAGCTACCTCCAACTCTTCAGCTCTATAAAAACATAGAAAGTGATCGAGGAATAATGAGATATATAAAAGTTCACGCCTGCTTTCAATATCCAAAGTCATATACTAAGGTACAAGATTAACCTTAGTAAAGCGGATCTTTTCTCCTCAAGCAAATTGCAGAGTTCACCTTTCAGTCGGAGAGCCTGAAGAAGTTGTTTATGTGAGATTATGTTTACATTGTTGTCATGATTATTAATCTATCATTCAGTTCATTTGATAATAGAAGCTCCCTATAATTCATTAACTGTGTCTGCCTTGTCACAAATTATAATTCTCTTTCAAGTTCCTAAAAGGTGGCATCTCCAACCCAACCGAAAGGATGACACAAATTACCTGTCCTTGAAGATCTTGAATATATTCTGTCTCTCCATCCCCAATCAAGACTTCATCTGCGTAACTAGATCCTGATTCAGAGCAAGACAAGCTCCCATTTGACAATGAGGCTTTGCTAGAATTCACTAAAACGGATCTTGGGTCTTGCTTAGAATTGCATAATTTGGTTGCAAGGTCTTTTGAGTCCCTCCAAGCTTGAAGCCCCTTTAATCTTTCCTCAAATGCAGCTACCACAGCTGGTCTGTGCTTTCTTCTTAATTCCTGCAACCTACTTTCATGTACATCTTGGTAACCCATGCAAGCAGTGAAAACGAGCTGGCTGCTGTCAAATGTTGAGCCAGTCATTGATTGTAGCAAAGTAACAGCATCTCCAGTGTCCTTGGTTGTGATTATTGCAGGACCTGATATGGCAAGAATAGGAAATTTAATGCAAGTCCACAGATTATGACTGGTATGTTCATAAAACTTATCACAAATATCATATGGACACTTAGGTTCAACTGAGTACCATAAAACTCCATCAGTGCAAGTGCTGTTCTGAAAAGCATAACTCGATTTCCTTCAAATAGTAGCACATCCCACACTCTGAGAACTGTTATAACAAATATATATCTTTTAGACTAACAGTCAGAATATATACAGCAAAAAGAAACATACGAAGATGGAAACCTGACCACTTTCCCATGGAAGCACATTGATGAAGATGGAAAGAAACCATGGCCCTGTAACCCAAACCACCTGCACTCCAAGATAATCTAGATGATGAACTGCAAAAGTAAAGAAATCACAAAGAGCATTATCACCAACTGCAAAGATTTGGTAAGGTGAACCAAGACTATGAAGAAACTAACCCAGTTTAGGAAATCGCTCTCGAACCAACTCCTCCAGAACTCGTTGGTCAACCTAATATAAGAATCCAAATACAGGAACAACGAAAAAAATAAGAAACTCTTTTGTTGAGGAAGAAGTAAATTTGCTCATGATGCTATCACTAGCCCGCCCCAAAAGATAGGATGACATTGTGCAAAAACAATCAACTAATAGTTTCACCTGTGACTCGATCATCTCTTCTGAATAATAGTCACTGAAGTAGTCATCAATGATTCCTACCAGCGACCTCAAAATCAGACGTAATATTTAGTCAACTTACACATATATATTAAAAAAGAAGCTTTGAGGAAGAAAAGGAATTCACAGATACACAGACTTGACAAACAATATTACGAGTTGTAGAGTAGTTTCCGAACGTACCAAAAAGCATTCTCTTCAGGCATCAGAAGTAGTAAAAGAGCAGCGAAGAAATTCATGGCCTGCGAATGATATTTTGTTACAAAAGTAATAAATAACTGGGGATGTTCATTTTTGTTGAGTATGTCACCAAACTAGAATACAGGAGTGAAGTTTTTTAACAATCATATACCTGACAGTATCCAACAGAGGGATTATGCCTAGCATAGGCAGTTAGCAATCGCCGCAAAGCATTTCTGCCATCATCATCTAATGCAGGATGACCTGGAAATGTCCGTGGTAAATCCTGTACTCAGACATAAGCAACAACTTGAGACAAAAGGACCAAGATCATCAACAGGAGTCCAGCACTGGACCACTAGTTAGAGATGCTCGACACCAAGTACTGGAGAATCATACAGTGGCTAACCTTTTCTATCTGTCCTTTCCATTTCTCTGCAACAGCGAGGGGGTCTGTAATTGAAGACTTCTCATCTGCATGCTCTATGTGCTCCTGCTTTATATCATCTCCTAGACTATCAGCAGCTAGAAGATTTTGGTAATAGTTATCGACTCGGCGTTTCTTTACTCCCGCAAATGCTTGCCAGAGCTGAAAATATTTGTATACATACTTTCAGTTTCTTAAGGATTATGAGAATGAAATATCAAGAGAAGGTAATAATGCACAGTGACAAGGTTTATTACCTCACCCCTCAGAGCCATAGGTGCACCGCCACGAACAAGTACATCAAGTTCTTCTTTCCAAGGGCATGCAGATTCTAGGGAAGTTGCATCAGCAGGACTAGATATGCCGGAGAGATTTGCACCATAATGAACTGGATCAGATCTCTCCACATCATAGAACTCGTCTTCAGAATCATTCTCATATACTCCCTTTGAAGATTTGGCCTCATCAGTCAATTTCTGATCTTCTTGCTCGCCCTTCGTTTTGACACGGACACTCATCACCTCCTCAATTGCTCGTAGAGATGGTCTGATCTCAGTCCATAACTGAATTTGCTTCACATTCATCTCTGCATTGGGATGTTCTTCTTCCTCTCCCACATCCCTAGCAGTTAAATCAGAACCTGAATTTTTTAATCCGTCTTCTTTTTGGCTATCAGTTTCAGTTTGTTTATCATCAGAGGATCCATTCCCAGAATCTGCATGACCGTCCAGGAAACTAATCCACCTGTCTGACCTCTCCTCTTCTTCCTCCTGCATTTCTCAGCATCAGAGATGAAGTTGGAACAAAAAAGGAAAATAGTATCAAATAAAAGTCCTGGAGATACAAGACCTTGTAGATTTTAACATATTCTCGGTATCTTTGCACATGGTCAGGCCTCACAGAAAAGCCATAAGCATCCCTGTTAACATAACCAATCATATTAACTTCCTGAGTATTCAATTTCATCCACAAATCAAACCAAAAAAAAAAATCTCAACTTTCGTCCCCTTTAATTGCCATTTTTGACAAACCATCTGAATGACAAACATATTTTCAATTCATATCAGTTCTCTGTCTTTCTCTCAGACCAACCAAAATTGTCGCTCTACAGACCCTATTATTCACTAAGACTAAGAGCTAAGCAATGTGGTGAATCGGAAACAGAAACTCAAAGAGCTAGGCAATGTAGAGACGGAGAAGCTCCACAAGGCGATACCTTTTTTGTTCAGATGCGAGGTGATGATTCACAGGCTTGGAAACGGCGTCTGCGATCATCATTCTTTTAGTTCGGACGACGAGATCTCTTCAAGTCAAAGCGATGAGAGCTGAGCGAAGAAGAAGATCAGCAACATTACTTAATCAACATTACGAATACGCGCCTAAGTTGAAGGAAGATGAATTTACAGTGTAGAGAGAGAGACAATCAGACGGAAATGGCGATATTGTCGACGGAGTGAAAAGTCGAGTCTGCCCTTTTGAGTCCACGTCACCGTCTTCCCAATTTCTTCGATTTTCCATCCTAAAAATATTCCACTCCATCTTCTTCAATTGAAAATTTGAGTTTTCATCAATCAATCTCAGAAGAAATAGATTCCAATTGAAGCTCGACCATGCTCAGATCCGGCCTCGCTTCGTTAATCGTCGATGTCAATCTACGGCGCACGTTACGTCCACCCGCGCCCTTTTCTTTCCCGGCGCATCTTAGCCGATCCTCACGGTGCATTATTACTTCCCGTTACTCCTCCTCCTCCAGTACAGCTCTAAAATTTCGGATTCAGAGATGTCATCACCGCCTTTCCTGCTTTTATTCATCTTCTTCTTCGTCTCCCTCGGAGAAAGGCGGGCTATCGTCGTCTCCCCGATCGGGCCTCGTGTCGGGTATGGGTCAAGACGACGCCGTTACGGCGGATCGGAATAGTTTCAATGGTCACGGCCAGCTTCATGGTGACGACGATTCTCCGCCGCCGCAATCATCTTCAAAAGTCCTTACATTACCCACCGTCTTAACCCTTGGCCGTGTGGCTGCAGTTCCACTTCTCGTCGCAAGTACGTTAATTTCGAGAGCTCAATTTTCCGTTAATTTCGTGTGGCTTATTCTTTGGTTCATGGCATTGACCTTTCTCAATCGTCTAAATTGCATTAATTCTAAGTTCTCAACTGTTACGAAAGTTTTGAGCTTCTTAGGATTGTGATTCATGTCAAAGTTGTTCATTGCTTTTGCTTTTGTGTGTAGCCTTTTACGCTGATGGTTGGTGGGGAACAACTGCAACAACAAGCATTTTCATTGCAGCAGCAATCACAGACTGGCTTGACGGCTATCTTGCGCGCAAGGTACTTTCGTTTTACCATTTTGTGTGTATATTTCGTTCTTCGATATGGTTTCCTGCATTTCACATTGCAGTGTTAACGTTGAGATCATGTACATTTCAGATGAGGTTAGGTTCTGCGTTTGGTGCATTTCTGGATCCAGTTGCAGATAAGGTGTGCAGACTTGTCTTCCTTAAAAAGACCCCTTTCATTATTTGATTAATAAACCAAGCTTTAATATAGTGGAACTAGAGCCACATATTTCTGATTTATATCTTTGGGTCTTCAGCTTATGGTCGCAGCTACGTTGATCTTACTGTGTACGAAACCTGTAGAGGTCGCTACATTAGGACCAGTTCCATGGTTATTGACTGTGCCTTCTATTGCAATCATTGGTAGAGAGGTAAGATATGTAGAAAATCCCTTTTATTCCTTATTCACTTGCAGAATAAGTAACGTGTCCTTGACGATAACAATACATTTGTCTTTCACGTAGATTACTATGTCAGCAGTAAGAGAATGGGCTGCATCTCAAAATGGAAAGCTTTTAGAGGTAAGTTAAAATCACCAACATCTATCTATGATATTGTAGTATGTAAAAGCTTTTTTGTTTCTCTTCTCACTGAATCATGAAAATGGCATTGATTGATGCTTGTAGGCTGTTGCAGTAAATAACTTGGGCAAGTGGAAAACAGCGACGCAGATGACAGCACTAACCATACTTCTTGCAAGCCGAGATAGCAATGTTGGATGGCTCGTAGCTTCAGGCGCTGGCTTGCTTTATGTATCAGCAGGACTATCGGTTTGGTCTTTAGTTGTTTATATGAGGAAGATATCGAAAGTACTACTCAAGTAGCAAGTAGTGAATTCATCTATCGGATTTGTTTTTGCTTTGACCTGCAATTTTGTATAGATGCATCTTGATGGAGAGGGTCTCAGTCATGGCCTCTACATTTAACTCTTAGGAGGGAGAAGGGTTGATTTATGTAAAGTTTGTGGATTTCAAAGCTTTGAGAATTTAAAATAGTTCAAAGATTATGTATGGATTCCAATGGCACACAGATTCTAGAGAACTTATTTCATTTCTTGACAAATCTTCGTGTTCGTTCACAAAGGGTGAATCTTATGAGCCTTTCCAAGTTCCAAGTGCAAATCAAAAACTTGGAGAAAAACAAACAATCTAAAAAGAGCCTAAAAGAGAACAGAACCTATACACATTTATTTAGTGCTGTTGCCTATTGGACTAAGAAATCGTTATATGAGAAGTCAGGACTTGAGAGAAGATCGAAAGGCTTGCTTCCAAGCGTGTCTTTCAGTATCGTGATCTGACCTTCTTTAATCAGTGTGTCCTCTTCCAAATTCTCTACCTTCTTCTTCAACATCTCCTTCTCTGACTCCAAATCCATGTTTCTCTTTCTCCATTCCTTCACTTCCTTCCACATCTCTTCTCTTTCCGACAACACTTTTGGTAATGTGACTTTCATGCTAGCCAAGTCTTTAGCTGCTTCTTGGAGATTATTCTCAAGCCGGTTCGCGTTCTCGTCTTTCTTCACCATCTGATGTCAAAAAACCATCATCATTCAGATTTCAGAACACACTAAAGAAGTTTAAATTCTATGTGATAGAAAAGTAAAATCTGAAAAATACCTGCAGCTTCAGGTCTTTTAATTGGTGGTTATTCACTGAAAGGTTGTCTAGTACGTTTTGGATTTCACGTTGTAGAACCTCGTTACCTCTTACTCCTGCAGCTACTTCTGCTTGAAGCTGCTCAATTTCTTCTTCCTTGGAATACAGTTTCTCTCTTAACAAACTCGTGACTAAACTCTCTGCTCTCAGCTCAGCTCTCAGGAACTTCTAAACCAGACAAAAGTGAAACATTTTAGGACAGAAAAAACATGTAACAAAAATACGTTGTAATAAAAATAAGCAAACAGATTTTGTAAAAACTCACCTCCACTGATTGGTTGTTTGGCTCGCTAGGCCTAGCAGCATTTGATGCAACCTCACTGGACTTCTCAAGCAGTAAGCTAGTGACTGTCTGCAAACTCCTCTTCAGGCTTTCAGTGCCACGCCTTATTCCATGGACTCTCATCTCAGACTCAATCAGAAACTGCTCACTCAATCCACTACTCATTACCGATTGTGTCTCATGAGAGTGAGCTAACTTCTCTTTGAAGAACTTCAAGAACTTGTAACATAGCTGCATGCTCTCATTCAACATCGACACCCCTTGGTCTTGCAATAAGCACACACGCATCTTCATCTCATTATCTAGGTTAAAGCTCATCATCACAGCATCAGCTTCATCTCCATTCCCTATCGCTCTGTTCCGCAGACAAATGTTCTCATGGCGAAGAGCATCAGCTTCAAGCTTCATCGACTCAATCTCTTTTCTAAGTGAGAACTCAACACCTGTCAGCCTCATTTGCTCCATCTGCAATCTCTTGCACATCTCTGACGGTTGCTGCTTCTTGATCTCCTCGGAGAGACAATCTCTAAGCCCCTGGATCGTCTTCTCCTGTTCTCCACACGTTCTTGAAAATCTTGTGACAGATCTGTGTAACTCCTTACATTCCATATCTCTCTCTTCAAAGTCTCCTCTCAAGCAATGAAGATCCTCTGTAGCGCCACTGCAACTCTCTTGCAACTTGGACAAGTTCTGCATCAGATACAGATTCTCCTCACGCGTTTCCTCCGTTCTTGCACTCAGCTCTCTAACCGTTTCATCCAAATGCCTAATCATATCGATGCGCTCGGTTTCCTTCTCATGGAAAGTCGAAACTTCTCTCTGTAGCGAGACGTTATGCTCAGCGAGCTCTCTCACACGCTCTCTCAGCCTCTTCTCCTCGTTCTGGAGATTCTCTAGCTTCGAAGTCCACTCGCTTGATCTTCTATCAAGCTCTTTCTCCAATCCAAACTCTAACTCGCTCTTCTCTTTCTCTAGTCTCTTCACATGCAAGTCACAATCTGTCTTCGCACGTCTGATCTCTTCCCTAGCGGAAGCTCTCTCGTCCATTTGTGACCGCAAAAGACTCAAAACCTCGAAAGCTAACCCTACTCTCTCCTCTTCCATTTGTCTAATATCACCAACTAAAGACGATATATCAAACTCACAGTCTGAGAGAAACTTCTGCTCCTCAAGCTCTTCTGAGAGCAACTTCACTCTCTTCTCAGCTTCTTTACACTTCTTCTCCAGCTCCGAATTAGCATCGCCTTCCGTGTAATATCCATTCACCGGTTCTTGATGCTCAAGCAATGGAAGGTTGGCGAAAACGTCAAGTGTCTTACCGTTGTTTCCACTATAGACGTCTTGTATTCTGATTGGATCATAGCTCGAAGGCGCCTTTGACTTCCCCTGAGTGTGGGAGAGTCTTTTAATGACGCTTCTTGCAAGCGAACGAGGCGACACATCTTTCAAACCGTTTTCCGCGTAATCAGTTGATGAGGAATTCAGGCGAGTACCATTGTTAGGTTGTCGTTTGTCTTTGACGGTAGTGTCTGATAACGGTGAAGAGCTTTGAGCTCGTGGAGGAAGAAGCCTCCTTCCTTTCATGCTCCCGCTCTTTTGCTTACTCCGTTCTAAGCTCTCTTCTCCGTCAATGTAACGGTCCAAGACATGGCTCGAGACATTACTAGAACAAGTTGAGAGACTTGCACATGAGTCATGTACTTTGTACATGTGACTATGTTCTGCTTTTCTACATTGTCTCTCCGGTGTAAAACATCTGAAACTGAAAACGTATAAATAATCAAAAACTATATTCGTTTACCAACAATGTTATTAGGAGTTAGACAAAAAATGCTTACCGAGATGAATGATTTTGCTGTCGATGATGGTTGATTTTAGTAGCATTATTTGGATCGTTGGAGGCATTTCCATCAACAAGAAAAGCTGCTGAGGAAAAGGAACGGCTTCGTCTTAGAGCCTGAGCACCAGATTCTTCACTCTGGAACTTCATAGAAAATCCCTTTGGACTAGTTTTTTCTGATTCTTTTTCTCGCCGAATCTGTTTATCAGTTCCATTACCAGATGACGATTTGAAAAAGAAAAGCTTCTTCATTGTTGTCTCTATCTCCAAATATCAAAGAAAGAAGAAGCAAATATTAGAAAAGAATGAGATTTTTTTTTGTCTAAGGGACACTGATTTGATTGCTACATGAAAGGATTAGAGAAACAGAACCAAAGTATTGTTTTCCTCGGAAGAAAACGAATTAATGAAAGAAAAAAGACAGAGCAAAGAAGAGTGTTGTGAAGTGAATCCTACTTAACTACTTGCTTGAGTAGAATGATTCAACCATCTTTTTAGCTTGACTGATTGAGAAGTGGTTAAAAATAGAATCCAAGGATCAAAGAGATCGGCACAACCATTTTTTTAACGAAATTGTCAGAAGAGGTTCTGACAGATCCGTAAACATCGAGTTGTTGTAACTTAAGCGAAAAAGACTAAATTACCCTTAAAAACCTTTTACTACAGAACCCTAGAAAACGACCAAACGGAATCATTTCAAAGGTTATAATCGAGCATCGAATTTGAGTCCGTGCGGCGGAGAAACTGAAGAAGAAAATATGTTTGGTGACACAATCAAAATACTAAACAATTCCAACAATCATTTTCGAAATTCAAAAGAAAAAACAAAATTAATCGAAAGGACAATCCTGGGAGTTATGAATTTACCTCAGACAGAGAGATTCTTCAAAATCGGGTATCGGGGAAGATGGAGGGAAGCTCAATCAAAGATGAAGAAACCGAAACGGAAACGTAGAGTTTCTGACGGCGTTAGTTAACGTCGACTTCAGGCTTTACAAGTAGTAACGCTTTTGAACAAGAGGAGTCGAAATGACAAAGTTACGACAAAACAAAAGGGTATCTGTGGAAATTCAATTCCCTGTCACTTTTTGAATATTTTTTCACTAGCGCGGATAAAGCTATCCAGAGGAGCGGCCCATTTTATTTGTCATATTGTGGGCCCAACTGTGTTTGCTGTTAGGTAATCAAGCATACTCAAATAGTGTTGGTTTTCTGCCTTTTTACCTGTATAAAAATGATAATTAATAGAGAAAAAAAGGATAATTAATAATATATGTAATCATTCTGTGGGAATTGCTGTTGTTTTTATGTCTTTTAATAGTAAGATGCATTGTTTAAATAAAAATCCAAAAGTTAACAATGCAATAAGCTGGAGTAATAAATTTTAGTAGATTTTTATTGATAAAAGTAATTTAGTTGACTAACAAAATACCAAGGGTCAGTGGATTTACTAAAGTTAATATGCACGTAAGATTTTAGAAAATCAAGTAAGTTTTACAATAAATGATTGGAGAAATAAGATAATCAAACTAAAAAAAAAAACAGAGCAAGATTCACTACTTTAAGCTACATATATAAAGAAGCCATAAAGAATCAGTTTGTAAAATAAATGGACTGGATAATCAAAGCATTTATTTTTCCCAACAAATAGGGAACATATACACTAAGTAGCAGCGTAAGGAGAACACATATAAGTTTTATTGAAAGTTATCATTAAGTCCACATATACAGAGTAGGAATACAACTACTAGTCCACACTTTAAGGGGTCTCAAAGAAACAAGAAGAGCAGATAACAATACTCACCAACCTCTTATTGAATAAGTTGTATTAATAAAGACAAATACACACCAATCTCTTATATGTTGAAAGTTTTATTCAGTCGGTACGACTAGCAGGTTTTCAACTAGATGCTGATGTGCCTGGAAGAGAACATGAGATCGTAAATAACATCGGTAGCTCGTCCATGAAATCCGGTGATCTTCTGGTCTTTCTGCTCTAGAGAGAACTTCTCACCGGACTCCTTTCCAAACAGAGGTGACTCCCTTTTGTTCGTCTTGAACCTAAGAGAGACGATCTTTCCAAATGGTGTGTTTGGTATAAGTTTGTAGTAGCCTTCCAAAGAGGCCATGAGATATTCACCATCCTCCAGCACAAACTGCAAATGCACAAGAATAGCAATGAGAGTAAGTGTGAATAATATATATATTAAGGGAAGTAGTTGTAACAAAAACTATTGTTCTTGTTTTGAAAAAAAAAAAGTGACCTCTTCAACTCCGAGTGATGTTATCTTCCCATGGCCATCACCAGATACAAGGCCATTGCCTTTAATGTATTCGAACTTGAGAAATGATACACCTTCGTCGTATAATCCTATCTGTATCTTCTTTACACCGTCGTAAATATCATCAGACCATGGATCTCCTATCACTGGAGTAGGAGCCGGAGCAGCTGGAGCTGGAGCAGGAGCAGCTGGAACTGGGGCGGGAGAAGCTGGAGCAGGATCAGCTGGAACTGGAGCAGGAGCAACTGGATCTGGAGTAGGAACAGGTGCAAAATATGCTCCAAGAGCATCAATAGCTTCACCTTCCTTTCCATGGAATCCGACAATCCTATGATCATTTTGCTTCAACACAAACTTCTTACCCACCTCATACCCAAAGATTGAGGCTCTACCCTTTGATGTCTCCAACTTGAGCGAGGTAATGACAGTATTGCGGAAAAAGCTCGGCTTATCATAGGTTGCTTCCACAGATTTGATGTATTCTTCCGGGAAATCAAGTACAAACTGCAACAGGAAGCAAAAAATTCAAGATGACTTTTGTCCCAAGAAATCAAAATACATTGATCTTGCCACAAGAATAGAACCGGCTTTGGAGGTTATACTAATTGGTACCTAATTTTTGTTGTTATACTATTTCACATATTTTACTTGAGTTTATATATATATATTTTGGTAATCAAATTGAGTTTTGAGTTTATATATTTAATAATAACATGACCTCTAACTTTTTCTAACTTTTTCTTTTATGGGAGAAAATAGTATTGAGCCAACCGTATACAAGACAGTATACACCTCAGATAGTTTTTCTCCTTTCACGCCATGGGGACGAGTCTCTGACTTCCCACCTTTCTCATACTCGAACTCTAAATAAGTGATACGACTATCATCTTGACCAATGCGCAGCGTTTTGACGCCGTTGCAAGCTCCATCGTCCCAAACACGCCCCTCTGTACCACCTCTGGCTTCTAGCTTGTATAGAGGGGATGATGTGGTCAGAGAGTCTTGTACAAAGTAAACTCCAAGAGCGTCGATAGCTTTATCAGACCGTCCATGAAAACCTACGATCTTCTTTCCCTCGTCCTCAAAAACAAACTTTGTACCATTCACAACTCCGAACAAGTTTGGACCAAATGTTGGAGACGTTTTACCCTTTGATGTCTTGAAGACGAGAGACGTGATCACCTCCGTGGCATACATAGCCACTTTGTTGTAGCTTCCCTCCACCACTGTGATGTGTTCATCCGGATATTCAAGTGCAAACTGTATGTGAAAATGTCATTTAAATTAAAATACACGAAATGATATATGTATAATTGACTTGGGAGTTTTTAGTTTTTAGTGTAGTGGTTAACATGTTGATGTGATGTTATAATTCGGAATGCACTCATGCGAGTTATAGACGGGTTAAAAAAACGCTACATAGACCTACTGATGTGGAAAATTAAGAAGGTGAAAAATGGAGAACCTCTTTAGGATTTTGAGTTATTGTCCCATATTCACGTGTTACCACTTGGCCGTCTTCTTTGACGTACTCGAATTTGACGAAAGTGATACGTGTGAGATCTTGCCCTACGTACACTTTTTTGACACCCTCGTATACATCGTCGTCCCATTCACGCCCTCCTTCACCGCCGCAAGGTGCCAGCTTCTGGTACATCCTCGCCATTTCGATTCTTCAAATCCTGTAATAAAATGAGGAAAATATATATAAAAAAAATTATTTCGTTGAAAAACATATAGAGTAATCAACTGTATATTTATATTATGATATATAGGTCCAATAACGATGAAATTAAAGTATAATATTGAACAAAATCCCCCCCACACAGCGAAGTATCCACAGACTTCTCACTGTTTGGTTGAGAATCCTAAACTAAAATATTCAGTGATATTCATGTCGTTTAAATGTTTACAAATTGTGTATATGTAACTTCTTACAATTCTGTTGGGACTTGGGACTGACTCCTAAATAAATGGTTGGATTGACAAAACATATACAGAGTTACTCATATTCATATGTGCGCTACCAAAAAAAAAAAAAAAAATTATAAATAGCTACCTCAAGAACCCAAAAAAGAAGAAAAAAAAATGAGAGAGAGATAATTAACCAGTAATTTCTTGAGTGCTGATTGGAAACGAAGGCGATGAACCTAATCGGTTGTTCATATGCGTGTATTTATTGACTATTCTCATGAGTTGAAAATTGAAACCAACACGTGTTTCACGACTCACGGAGGACTTTCACAAATGTAATAATTGCTTCTGATGAGTTCATGACGAGGAGCGATGGAGTTGCAGCACCTCAAGCGGACACGTACGTTTCCCGGTACTTGGATCTACGGCCGTGAGTTAAGGAGCTTGAGAGGATCCTTCTCAAAACACGTGCTCCCTTATTATACATTATCGTTTACGATTGCGAGAGATACGATCCGAAATATTATTTTTTAAATCTTCCCATTGAATTACAGATTCTTTAGTGTATTATTTAAATTAAGTGCCATTGAAAGAACATTGAATGTAGCGAAGGGACACACCATTGAAAGCACATCGAAAGTCTCATTTAATATAATAATAGAAGATTCTTTTCACTTGGTTGTGGTTGTGATGGACGCAAGAGTGACTCCAACACTGTGAATAACATCACTAGCTTGTCCATGGAACCCGACGATCTTATGGTCTTTCTCACCGAGCGAGAACTTCTCACCGGAATCCATTCCAAACTGATCTGATTCCCTTTTGTTCGTCTTGAACTTAAGAGAGATGATTACTGGTTCCTCGGCTCCCAAGATCTTATCGTATTAGCCTTCCAAGGCCGTGAGATATTCACCATCCTCAAGCACAAACTGAAAATGCTCAAAAATAACAAAGATAAATGTAAATAATTTATAGTAAAGTAGTTGAAACAAATTTATATTGTTTTGTTTTTTTTTTTAAATGACCTCTTCAGCTCCGAGTAATGTCTTCTTCCCATGATCGTCTCCAAGAACAAAGTCTGTTCCCTTAATGTACTCAAACTTGACAAAGGATACACCGTCGGTACCTTGTCCTACATTTATCTTCCTTACACCGTCGTAAACACCATCATCCCATTCAACTCCTCCGTTGCCACCTACCGATGGTAGTTTCTTGGCTGGATTCAAAGGAGTAGGAGGAGGAAGAACAGGCGCAAAATATGCTCCAAGAGCATCAATAGCGTCACCTTCCTTTCCATGGAACCCAACAAGTCTACAACCATTTTGCTTCAGCACAAACTTCTTACCCACCTCATACCCAAAGAATGATGTTTTACCCTCTGATGTTTCGAATTTTAGCGATGTGATGACGGTGTTGCGAATAAGGTTAGGCTTATGATAAGTTGCTTCCACGGATTTGATGTATTCATCCGGGGAATCAAGCACAAACTGCTACAAGAAGTAAAATTCAAGAAGACTTTTGTCGCAAGAAATAAAAATATATTCGGTTTTTGGGTTATACTTATAGTACGTTACCGCAGAGAATCCACAACTGTATTAAGCTAAATATTTCACACTGTATATCTAACAAGGACCTATAACAATTATTACCTTGAGCGGTGTGTCTCCTTTCACACCATGGTGACGTGTCTCTATCTTCCCGTCTTTCTCGTACTCGAACTTTAGATAAGTGATACGACAATGATCTTGACAAATGCTCAACTTCTTAACGCCATCGTAAGAACCATCGTCCCAAGCACGTCCCTCTTTACCACCCCGGGCTTCCAACTTGTAAAGAGGTAACGACGTTGTCGAAGAGTCATGTTCAAAGTAAACTCCAAGAGCATCAATAGCATTACCCGACCGTCCATGAAACCCTACGATCTTCTTTCCCGCATCTTCAAAAACGAACTCTGTACCAGCCAACCTTCCGAGCAAGTACTTCGGACCAAACAATGGAGACTGTTTTCCCTTTGAGGTCTTGAAGACGAGGGATGTGATCATCTCCGTGACACTTGGACGGTGGTAGCTTCCCCCTACCGCTATGATGTGTTCGTCCGGATCAAGTGGAAACTGCACATGAAAATTATCATATTCTCAATCAAGAAATTAAGAACGCTAGACCATATCGTTTAGTCTAGTAGTTTGTATTAGTGTTAGTATGTGAATTTTTAACAAATAAAGTGGATAATACCTCTTGAGGCTGTTGAGTTATTGTCCCATGTTCACGTGTTACCACTTGGCCGTCTTCCTTGACGTACTCGAATTTTACGTAAGTGATACGCGTGAGATCTTGCCCTACATATACTTTTCTTACACCGTCGTACACATCGTCGTCCCATTCATGTCCTCCTTCATCACCACCGCATGGTGCCAGCTTCCAGTACATCTTCGCCATTGCGAGTCTTCAAATACAGAAAATTGATGAAAATTTTACTAAACTATTTTTCTATATCAGAATCCAACAGAGCTTGAATATTCTAGGTTTATTCAAATACGTAGCGCAAGAACACCAAAATGGTCCAAGAACCACATATAGAACAATCAACTGATGGGTAGACTATTTATTGTGTGATGTTATGATATATATAGCTCTATTATTGGTGTAACAAATGGTCAATGACAATAAAAGTATATGGTATTATTATAAAACAGTAATAAGAGCCCCAGCGAACTGAAAACACACCCACACTTCTTTCTCTCTTCTCTTAAAGATTTTGTGAAACGATCGATCTCGTAAAATAGACAACCTGACTTCTTGAATATATTTTATATTTAAACCAAGGAAAGAAAACATAGCTTTATCTTTGCAGCTGCACCGTGTCAAAATTTGTTATAAGTTCAAAAATATGTGAAATACCTCATATAAATCAAAGATGAAGATAAAAGTATATTGTATGATATCAAACTTAAGACTTAAGAGCTTCAAAAGTTCGCCACATACTCCTTTTCCCACTCTATGGTTAAGATATCCTACACTAGTTCCTTTCCTCACACTGTCACACTCTCCAATACATTTCTCTCTTCATACAATTTTTGTGAACCGATCTCTTATTAGAAGATAGAATAAAATAAAATGAGACAAAGATAGAGGCAGAGGGTGAGAAAGATAACCGGTTAGTTCTTGTGCTCTGATTGATAAAGGAAGAGAAGAATAGGAATGCAGGAGAACTTTGTGGTTGTGACTTGTGGGTGTTGAAATGTGTGTATTTATTGACACTCTTGGCAGACAAGTACGTTAATTAGTTGTTTTACATTTACTTCTTTTTTTGTCACGTAGTTATACGTGTAACCAAATAAGGGACCGTGACAAATTAATGCAATAATTGATTTTGATCGATAAGTGTCCATAACGAGCCCAATAATAACATTGTAAATGACACAATATTTCTTACTTTCTTGTGACAAAAGCGACATAAGAGGGAAAAAATTAAGATTTTATTATATGAGAATACGGGAGACAATAGGTTCAAGGAAGAATATCACAGGTACATTTTGTGCACACAACTCACAAGGACATCTCAAAGAGGCATTCACCACATGAAATCAGTTAAGCGAAACCGACGACATAGTTTTTCTACTTCTTCTTCTTCTTCTCCTTCAAGAGGCACTGACATGCCAACAGAAAAGTGAGATTGTCTATGGAATTTATTCCTGCTCTTCTTGTCCATGTTCTCTCTCTTATTCTTATTCTCCTTGTCCTTCTTCTTCTCCTCCTTCATCTTCTTCTTCTCTTCCTTTTTCTCCTCCTTCTGCTTCTCCTCCTTATTCTTCTCCTTCTCCTTATTCTCCTTACCCGTACATGCACCTGAATATTAACCAACCAACAAGGCAGAAGAATAGCTTTATAAAGAATGATACAGTTTTGCTATTAACGATGAGTATTAATGCTATGTTTCTAGAGGGAGAATTGAAATTAATTAACCTTTTCTCAAGTGGATCGAATTGTAATGGAGATTTGTGAGAAAGCTCAAGTGAATGACTTTGTCGTGTGCTTTTCCAGACCTGGGAAGAATTTCAAAGGAAGGTGTAGTTTTTCTTGATTGAATGACAACTATTTTGGCTCCATACACAGTTGCAGCTGCTGCCAATGTGATATCATCTCCCCACACGGCGTCATTGGACATGTTCTTTACGTACTCCTCGTATTGGAATCTGAATTCTTTGTAAGGATTTGGATTTGATTTGAGCTGTTAGGAGTCAAAACAGAGTCAATCATCAATCATATGAAGACATTACACGTCAAGAAAAAGAAAAGAAAAAATCTGCAAAAACAGAAAAAGTTTCAAGACTGATGATTGGCTACCTCTTTTATGATTTCTTTTCTAACACGGTCATGCTTATCTTGGTCGTTATAGACTTGATGAGCTATAGCACAGAACTGGAACATAAATCGACAAAAGAAAAAGAAATAAAAAAATTCAGATTAAATCAAGATACGTTTAAGAATCCTTAACTTGGTGAGAACATAAGGAGCTTTAGAAACAATATACCTGGCAATTTCCATCACCTGTAATCCTCTTCTCGACGTAACCTCTCAACTCCAATCTGAAAAATCCAGAAAAAAAAAAAAAAAGAAAAACATACATTACTCGAGAGTTATGGGGGCAAAGAATACTTGAACAAGTTTAAAAGAAGAATCGATTGATACCTACGCTGTAGTCTTTTCTGATCAGTAAGATCATCCAAACACCGCAACTTAATCTCAGTGATAGGCATCTTCTAGAGTTGGGATCAACGAAGACGAATGATTGATATAACAACTTTGTTTTGAAGATCTTCGATCGAAACAGGGTCTGGCCTCTCTCAGAAAATTTTAGGGACTAAGGTTTACTGGATTTATGGTCCTTTTATTTATACTTTCACTCCTAACCAAAAAAAAAAAAAAGGAAAAAACAAACATTTGCCTTTTTTGTCCCAAAAAAAAAGAGAAAACGGTCAATTAAATGCTGAACTTACACATTTTTGCCAAAAGAAATACGAACTCTTCATTAAGCCAAAAAATTCACCAAGTTGGGTTGACCTAGCCTGTTATAATACCAAATTAGTCAACCAAAACTAGCCTATTTTTGTATCTCATCTCTTTTGCTATCTTGTTTTATTTTATATTTTTTGCCAAGATACAAAAATAAAATAAAAATAATGCATGAACAACTCTTATGACAATGAAACTCCATTTATATGAAAAATTGTGACCAACAACCTTTTCTGTTTCTAGACGATTACAGAAAACCAAAATCAACAAAGTTTAAAAGTTCAATAAGACAAAAAAACATTTAAATATCTTCTCAAGAGGATGCTGAATTATCCTTGTGATCCTACTTGTGCTCCTCCGTGTGATCCTCCTTCCTACAGACCAAGTAATGTATAATATTTAAACAACTATTTCAGTCTTTTAAAAAACTTCCAAGACTCTAAATGCGCATATAAACTCTAGAGAAGAAATAACCTGATTTTTCTTTGGTCTACCCCTTGGTCTTTTAGCTTCAGGCTCAGCAGAAGGTTCCGAACATGATAACTTATTGTTTCCTTCTTCCCTACAGTTCGAGCATGTCATGATACGCTTCTCCCTGGTTAACTTGGTCTTCTTAGAGGAAGAGGTAGCTTCATTGATGCTTTTACGCCTAGCGTAGTTACTTGGTCTACCACGGTTTCCTAGTCTATTTGGTGGTGGCAAGACGGGTAACCTGTTTAATCTCGGCCACAGCTTCATACCTTCCACAGGTTTAATACTATGCTCATATGTTTGGGACTTTGGGCCCACATTCGAGTTGTGAAATATTCCGAGACATGATCATCAACTTTCTGTTTTTTTTGCTATGATAACACAAGCATCATGATGACATGGAATTCCATTTAACTGCCACATCTCGCAGCCACACGTTTTCAAACGCATATCTACACTATATCCACAATTACGATAGTCTATCTCATGCTTCCTCTTCCTCATCGTCTGATGATAGAGGATCCGGTATTGTATCGTCGTATTGTATCGTCGTCCCATATATCGTCTCCACTGTCATAATTCTCCTCATTGTCATTGCTTGCAATATCTGCTCCAAAGTAATTAGAGAAAGCTTGGTCTTCAACAATTACTTCTCGAACAGCTACACCATGATCCTCATTATCATCTACTATCTCATCACCAACATCATCAACAATAGCCTCACAGTCATCTCCAGGTATTGGCTCACGCGCGCCCATCTTCATTGATATCATCTTCCTCAACAGCATCACGTTTTCTGCATCGCAGTGGTGTTAACTTCGCCTTTTTCGTCGTCACGTCTGACTTAGAGAAGAGTAAACGAGAGAATTGGAGAAGAAAAGAACTCAGAAAAATCGAACTGCTGACAAGAAATTAGGGATTTGAGAAGGATACTTGGGATTTTTAGTGTTTCCATTTGTTTCAGAAACGACGTTGTTTTGTTTTAACGTGAACACTAAACGGCGCTTAATACTCATTAATCTCCAGATTTAGTTGACTAATTTGGAATTTTAATTGGCTAGGTCAACACAACTTAGTCATTTTTTTGGCTTAATGAAGAGTTCGTATTTCTTTTGGCAAAAACGTGTAAGTTCAGCATTTAATTGACCGTTTTCTCAAAAAAAAAAAAGAAACGTTTGCCTTTTTTATGGTTACGTCACTACAAAAAAGAAGGCATCTAACGTCGGTTTTTATTATGGTTAACGTCGGTTAATAAATGATACAAAAATATTGCCGTCACTTTTGTGACCGTCGTAACATTCAATGACGCCATGTTTAGCGTCAAATTAATAGCGTCAGTTATTAGTATTTTTAACAACGGTTTGATTGAGCAAAGAATAGAGAGTACTAATAATTGAGATGATGGTTAGTTTGTATACCTGGCAACGTCAAAGTTAAGGTCAGAGCTAAAGATGTGACATCCCTAATGTAAGAGCATAGAGAGTACCTGAAGAAGGGAACCAAATATCAATTTCGCATTAAGACATGTACGAACACAACTTTGCCAGTAACCCATTCAGATCCTGCAATGGTACAATGAAATAGATTTACCTATAACAGAGAATGGAGCAGAAGGACCTACCTCTTTCGGCTTTGTACTCTCGATGGCCAATGGTGCCTACACATTGCATAGAGATTATGATCAAAGGTACATTAATAAACTCAAGACATATATAGCACACAAGATTTAACTATGGTATAAAATGTTGTTTATGACCACATACAGTCTTTCGATTTAACAGTCTCTGCTTATATTTTGATAAACACTATGCTGATTCAATAGAACTCACTGCCAAACGTAAAAAGATTGGAGTTCCAAACCTAATTTGTAGTTGCATTGTCGCAACCCAGAACGTGATCAACCTTTGCCATAGCTGGGAAAAAGAAAACATGAATACAAATCTTAGAATCACTGACCATCAAAAATTGGCACCAACAAAAATTTTGGAAGGCAGTGAAGCTCAAGCTTAAGCAAAATTGTTTTGCCACAGCTGTGGTATGTGTCAAGAATCTACAAAACTGCAGCACCAAAATTTCTTCAAAAACTCAGAGAAAGAGATCAAAGCGGTTTAAAACCAGAGAGAAAATTACCTTAGCCCAAACTTCATCGCTACAACACAGAAATCAAAGAGGAGAAACAGTCATGCTCCTTCCCTTGAAAAGAAGCAACAGAAATTAAGTCTTGAGAACCCTAACCAAATATCTATTCACAACCTCGTCACGTCTCTAGAACAATTAGTTTATGCATGTAATGAATCAAAAACACAAAACTGAAATTACTTTCTGACCTTCTTCACAGCAATTGAAGAAGATGAATGCCCGTACTTGAGATGGCAAACAGATTCGAGATGAGATTTTGTGCTTTTCGGTCTTTCGGATCTTCATTCACACTAAGTAACAGAGAAAATAAATCAGGATCCAGAGGTGCGAGCGAGGGAGAACAGTAAACGAATTCTTAGAAGTAGTCGATCTAAACAACAATTATGTAAAAAGTCCAGAAAACAACAATTCAGGTCAATCGTTCAAATCCAGCTACTTGGATCAGAAAACAGCAAAATTTTCCAATTTTAGTATCGAACTGATCTTATTACCTGAGAAATTGAAGAAGAGACCACGTCTCTGCGTGAGAAAACGCAAACACGAGCGAATCGAGACTTTGTGAGATTCGGATCCAAAGTCGCACCAATTAAGAGATGCGATTTCAGAGAAATCCAGATCTGAAACGAGGAAGAAGATCACACTAGCAGTCGTCATCGATTCCTGAGTTCAATTTTTCCAAAATTATAATCTCGAGGTGGAAGACGAAAAAGTATTATTCTTGTTTTCTTTTCTTAGCATAAAAGTAAAACAACTTAGCTAGCGACTTTAAGTGTATTTTAAATTTTAAAGTGGCGACAGTTTTGCATTTGACGCAATATTGCTTCTATTTCTCTCTTTTATTAACGTCGGTTATACAACTGACGTAGAAAAAAACGACGTTTGTTTTTTTTGAGACGCAAACATTTGTTTTTTCCTTTTATGATGCAAAGCAAGCCAAGTGCAACTACTATTCTGTCTCTCTCTCTTTGTGTAGGCTTGATTCGCCGGAAACAGGCCATAGGCGTAGTGACGAGGATCGAAGGCTTTTGCGTGAATTGAAATGAAACAAGATTATTCATTGGATTCGTCTATGTGTGACTACTGCGTCGTTCTCAGTGCAAGTCAACGGAGAATTAGCCGGTTTTTTTAGAAGCAAAAGGCTGTTCACTCTCGCCCTACCTATTTGTTGTCTGTATGAACGTCCTCTCCAAACTTCTGGACCAAGCAGCTTGTGAAGACAAATATTGGTTATCATCCAAAGTGTAAAAACCTTGGCCTCACTCATCTAAGTTTTGCGGATGACATTATGGTGGTAACAGATGGGAAGGTTAGATCAGTAGAAGGTATTGTGCGGGTTTTTGATGAGTTTGCAAGAATGTCGGGACTTCGTATAAGCATGGAGAAATCAACTATATCTTTCTTGCAGGAGTTTCTGAAAATGTTAAGTTGGAAATGTCAAATCGCTTCTCTTTTGAAACCGGCTCATTACCAGTGAGATATCTTGGTCTCCCGCTTTTGACCAAGCGCATGTCAACCAATGATTATCTACCCCTGCTAGTGCTAGAGAAGATTAAAAAAAAAAAAAAAAGATTAGCTCCTGGAAATTAAACACGATCTCTCTCCTTTGCAGGGAGGTTATCGCTTATAAGCTCAGTTCTCCTCAGCTTATCAAATTTCTGGATGTCTGCGTTTAAATCCTCACAAGGCAAAGGTATCCTGGACAGAAGTGTGCAAACCGAAAAAAGAAGGAGGACTTGGCTTAAGGCCATTAAAAGACGTAAACAGGGTATGTTGTTTGAAAATGGTGTGGAGGGTCGCTTCATCTCACTCTTCCCTATGGGTCAAATGGACTAAAACATACTTACTCAAACAAGAATCGTTCTGGTCACTTCAGTCAAAGAGAACACTAGCTTGGGCTCCTGGGTTTGGCGGAAACTGTTGAAATACAGGACAAGAGCAAAAAAAAACATCCTTCTGGTTTGATAACTGGTCTTCCATGGGTCCTTTACTGGACGTTACGGGACCACGCGGGTTCATCGACCTGGGACTTGCGGTCCATACGACGGTTGCAGAAGCTCTGTCTCGAACAAGACGGAGAACTCACAGATGACAGAGCAGAGCACTTGAGGAGGATCGAAACGATTCTAAATGAATACAGAGGACGCATGCTACCGGAAACAGAGGATTGTTTTCTTTGGAGGCAAGCGGACGATGTTTTCAAGCCCTGTTTCAACTCAAAAAAAGACGTGGTTGCAAATAAGAGAGGCTGGACCTATTATGGATTTGGTACAGAGGCATATGGTTTACACACTCAACGCCGAAATTCTCGTTTCACGCCTGGTTAGCAATCCTCGATCGACTCACTCTCCACGGGAGACCGAATGATATCTTGGACTGCAAGCATCAACCCCTCTTGTCAGTGTTCTGCCAGCATCCTGTGGAGACTAGAAGCCATCTATTCTTTACCTGCATTTTTTCTGCAGCAGTTTGGTGTGCGTTAACAAAGGGTCTTCTCAAAAGGAACTACTCTTTGAATTGGCAAGACATCATCTCCTTCATCTCGGATAACACTCGGCCGCATCTTATCCTCTTTCTCACCAGATACGTTTTCCAAGCCACAATTCACAGCATATGGAAGGAAAGGAATTCCCGTCGACACGGAGAACAACCTCTCGCATCAAATAATCTCATCACGGTCATAGACAAGCATGTACGCAATCGCGTCTCCTCGATAAGGTTGCTCGGAGACACCAAGTATGAAGAGGCTCTCTACACTTGGCTTGCCGCAAGAAGCTAGATTCTTACTATATATTGTAGCTCTATCTCTTTCAAACTTATGATGCACATGATGTAACAAACAATGTTTTTTTGGTTTGAATAAATTTTACATTCAATTCAAAAAAAAAAAAAAGTGAAACAAGATTTTGATTAATGCAGTCTCACTCAATTAAATATTACACAATACAATAAAGGAAGGCCAAAGGCCAAGCTAGTGAGCAAGAACATATACAAAAGCAATCATTTCTTGTTTTTCGTTTTTCAATTATTTGAAGTAGCAACAATTAATACTAGAGAAGATAGATGCAGCGGCTTCAAGAAAAGAGGCATTCACATGAAATCAGAAAAGTGAAACTGGCGACACAGTTTTTCTTTTTCTTCTCATTAAAGAGGCATTAACATGTCATTAGAAAAGTGAGATCGCCTATATAGTTTCTTCTTGTTATTCTTCTCCGCCTTCTCCCTCTTATTCTTCTTATCCTCCTTATCCTTCTCCTTCTTCAGATCCTCGTTCTCCTTTTCCTTCTCGTTATCCTTCTCCTTATTCTTCTTTCTCGTACTTGAACCTGAACCAGCCAACAAGACAGAAGAATAACTTAATAAAAATGATACACTATCATTGCTATGAAGAGAAAAAGATGCGGTAATTTTATGGAGAAGAAGGAAAACTAACCTTGTCTCAAGTGGATCGAATCGTAATGGGCCCCTTCGAGATAGCTCAAGTGAATGACTTTGTCAGGTTCTTTTTGAGATTTGGGAAGAATTACAAAGGAAGGTATATCTTTATATGATGCAATGACAACTATTTTGACTCCATAAACATCTGCAGCTGCTCTCAGCGTGATGTCATCTCCCCACTCGGAGTCGTTGGACATGTCTTGTACGTACTCTTTGAATTGTATATGATATTGCAGTTTACCATAATATTCTTTGTAAGCATTTGGACGAGATTTGAGCTGTTGGAAGAAGAAAAGAGTCACCATCAGTCGAGAAAAAAAAACAATCTGCGAAGTTAGAAAAAGTTTCAAGACTGATTGTTTACCTGTTGGACGATTTCTTGTCTAACACGTTTGTGAAAATCAGCGGATTTATAGACTTGATCAGCTATAGCACGGAACTGGAACAGGATCGTAACAAAAGAAAGAAAGAAAAACAATGTCAGATTCTTCAAGATACGATTAAGAGTCATCAATTATTTTAGTGGGTTTATAAGGATTTTTAGAAACAAAACCTGGCAATTTCCATCACTTTTCATCTTCTTCTCGGTGTAACCTTCCCACTCCAATCTGAAAATCCAGAAAAAGAGAAACATATATTAGTCGAGAGTTATGGGGGAAAGAAAACTTTAACAAGTTTACGAGAACAATCGATTGATACCTATCCTGAAGTCTTTCCTGATCAGTAAGATCATCCAAACACCGCGACTTAATCCGAGTGTTAGGCATCGATCTTTCTTTTATAGTTGGGATCAACGACGATGAATGATTGATATGATGATCTTCGATCGAAACAGAGTCTCCCCTCTCACAGAAAATATTAGGGCTTGATCTAAGGACTAAGGTTTACTTGAGATTTGTGGTCTTTTTATGCTACAAAGATAAGGATGGTGTGTAAAAAAAAGGAAAAACAACGTTTAACACACAACAAAAACGAAAAGGAAAAACAACGTTTGCCTTTTTTTGTCAAAAATAAATACATAATATTTGATTTAAGGCGTGATTACAACAAGAACGACCAGGACAGAGTCAACGATCTAAAAATATTAAAACTAATGGTTACAAGTGTTGAGACTTAGAATAATTAGGATTTGGAGTTAAAAACCAAACTATAGTTAAGACATCCTACACTAGTTCCTTTCCTCACATAGTCACACTCTCCCAAACATTCCTCTCTTCTCTACAATTTTTTTGTGTGAAACGATCTCTTACAATAGGAAATAATATTCTGCATGTCTTCTAATAGTTTTCTTAGTAACTTGTAGAAAAAGCGAGATAAGTGGGAAAAAAAAAATATTATATGAGAATGCTGGAGACAATAGACCATAGTCAATAGGTTCAAGGAAGAATATAGGTATATTTTTATTTTGCACACAATCACAAGTATATGTCAAAGAGGCATTCACATGAAATCAGCTAAGTGAAACTGATGACGACATAGTTTTTCTTCTTCCTCCTCTTCTTCTTCTTCTCCTTCTCCTTCTCCTTCAAGAGGCATTAATGACATGTCATCAAATAAGTCATGAAGTTGTTTACGTATTTTATGCGTGTTATTCTTCTCCGTCTTCCCTCTCTTTTCCTTGTTAGCCTCCATCTCCCACTTTTTCTCTTCCCTTTTCTCCTCCTTCTCCTCCTTCTCCTTCTCCTCATTCTTCTTAACGGTAAATGTACCTGAGCCAGCCAACAAGACAGAAGAATAGCTTAATAAGAATGATACAATATTGCTATAAAGAGGAGAAGAAGGAGAGTTGAAGTTAGTTAACCTTGTTTCAAGTGGATGGAGTTGAAATGGATTCCTTCGAGATAGCTCAAGTGAATGACTTTGTCGGGTTCCTTTTGAGACTTTGGAAGAACCACAAAGGAAGATGTGTATTTGGATGATGTAATGACGACTATTTTGACTCCATACACACTTGCAGCTGCTTGCAGTGTGGTTCCATCTCCCCACACGGAGTCCCTAGACATGTTCTTTACGTACTCCTTGTATTGCATATCGTACACAAATTGCTTGTACCATTGTGGATGAGTTTTGAGCTGTTAGGAGTCAAACATAGTCAATCATCAATCATCATGAAAAGTTGAAAACAACACTCGTCAAGAAAAAAATAACAATCTGCAAAGTTAGAAAAAAAAAGTTTCAAGACTCATTACCTCTTTGACGATTTCTTTTCTAACACGGTCATGCGAATTTTTGTCTTCATAGAATTGATGACCTATAGCACGGAACTGGCAATTCCCATCACTTTTCACCCTGGTCTCGGTGTAACCTTCCCACTCCAACCTGAAAAATCCAGAAAAGAAAGAAAAACATAAATAGTCAAGAGCTAGGGCAAAAAAAAAAAAAAAAACTGAAACATGTTTACAAGAAGAATCGATATCGATACCTATCCTGTAGTCTTTCCTTATCATTAAGATTACGATCATCCAAATACGGCGACTCAATCTCACGATCATCCAAACACGGCGACTCACTCTCTGTGTCACTCGACTCACTCATAGGAGCGCCCTTGCGATTCTTACTATAAGAACTTGTTTTGTTTTTGTTTTTGTTCTTTTTTTTTTTTTTGGTCAACGTTTTGTTTTTGTTCTTAATCTTCAGTTTTGATGGTAATTTATAGCAAATCCTCGATCAGAGTCTCTCCTTTCTCAGAAAGGATTAGGGCTTAAGAAAGGAAAACACCTCTTTGCCTTTTTTTTTTGTCAAAAACGGAAATTCACAATTTAAGTCGAAAACGGAAATTTCCATTTACAAAACACCCGACCCGAAAAAGTCGACCTGGTCCGACCCGAGCCGAATCAACTCGACCCGACCCGATAAAGTTAGTATACCGTAAAAAATTGACAATCTTTCTTCGTCTCCGGGCACAACAAATTGAAATCGTTCTCTCTCTCTCTCTCTCTTGGGGCCAAATTCCTCGATTTTCTCCGTGTTCTGTAATTCCGATAGATTTTGAAAAAACTCTCTCTTTTTTGTTCTTCTCTTGATTTGTATTTTAATTTGCCGTCTTGATTTTTTTGTTTCTTTGCTCTATTCGTTTCCTTTTGCTTTTTGGTTTGATCTCGAATCCTGCTCTACTCTACTTTTACAAATCCGATTCTTCGCCGGCGGTATTCGAACGAAGAAGACACGAAATCGGAGCGTCACAGGTACAAATTTATTGCGGCTTCATCTCTCTCTTTTCTATGTAGGGCTTTTCAATGGTTTTTTTTATCCCCTAGGAACTAAGTTTCTCTTGCTTGTATTGCCGTAATCCGATTCGAAGATGTGAGTTTTAAGATTGTATGTGATGTTGATTTTCCAGGAGGTTTATGGTAGCATGAATCAAGGAGGCAACACTCAGGCCGTAGCTCCATCTCCACTTGACCCTAATTCCATTGAGGTAATCGCTTGTGTCCTCTTCTTCGTTTAACTCTAAGGCTTTTCAATTCACAAAATCAGTCCTTTGTATGCATTATTTGAAGCCAAATCTTTATTTTTCTCAGAATCGATATGGTGTTGATGGAAGCCAAGTGCAGATATCTTCATATCAATACTCAACTGGCTCTGAGGGTGCCTCGTGGACAGCGCACAGGGTGGAGAATCAGGCTGTGGAGAATGGGAACTATACAAACTCAAACTACTACCATCCACAGCCTACAGGGCCAGCGACAGGGAATGTGCAAGAAGTAACGAATACTGTATCCTACACTAGCTCATCGGCCTCTGGAACTGCAAATGTGGCACAAGATTATAGTGGATACACGCCATACCAGACCACTTCCGAGCCACAGAACTATTCAAACACTGGATATTCCAATTACTACAGTGGCTATCAACAGCAACAGCAGCAACCTAGCCAGTCATATACTCAGCCTGTAGGGGCGTATCAAAACACAGGTGCTCCTTATCAGCCTCTTTCCTCATTTCAGAATCCAGGATCTTATGCTGGGACTCCAAGTTATTCAGGAACTTACTACAATCCTGCTGATTATCAGACTACTGGAGGTTACCAAAGTACAAACTATAACAACCAAACGTCTGGAGGTTACCCGAGTACGAACTACAGCAATCATACTCCTACATCAAACCAGGGAAACTATACCGACTATACATCAAACCCTTATCAGAACTATACTCCTGACGCTGCTAACACTAGTAGCTCCACTATTGCAACCACAACACCTGTACAGTATCAACAGAACTACCAACAGTGGCCAGGTTATTACAGTCAAGCAGAAGTTCCCTGTGCCCCTGGAACGGAAAAGTTGCCTGCCGCTAGTACATTTAGTCAGAGCTTTCCAGTTCCTGCTGTTACTAATGAATTGCCTGCTTCAAATGGTCAGCCTGCTCCGTCTTATGCTTCAAATAGTCAGCCTGCTCCTTATGCTTCAAATGGTCAGCCTGCTCCGTCTTATGCCCAACCTTGGAGGCAGGAAACTAACTCATCCCAGCCACCTTCTCAGCAGGTTTAGATTCTACTTTCATGAGGGAGTAGAGCAAATTTCCCTTCTTTAGCTTATTTGAGTTTATGCGTTGTTCTCCTGATAAATCTACTAAGCAAATACTTGATAGAGTCAATTATTAGAAAATATTATGTCAGATAGTTTAGTCACTGATTGCTCTGAGTATCTTTTTTTTTATTAGAAATTAACCTTATGACAGAAACTTAGTCGTCATTTTTCATCATTTTCTCAGCCTGGTGCAGCGGTTAGGGCCTCTAATGATTCTTACTGGATGCATCAAACACCAAATCAGCAAGCTCATTATCCTGTTCCTCCACAAACTCATTACCAGAGTCCTCTGGAGACGAAACCCTTATATGAGACCCCCTTTCAGGGTCATCAGAGAGCGACATATCCTCAAGAACTGAACTCTCAGTCTTCCATTCACCAGGCATCATTAGGCTATCAACAGCCTACTCAGACAACACTGCCAGTTCATACGCAAAGGGTAAGCAAAGTACAGATTCCAACTAACCCTAGAATTGCTTCAAACTTGCCATCAGGTTATACCAAAATGGAGAAAGATAGTTCAGCATTCGGTGCAACCAAAACACCTGCATATGTTAGTGTTTCAATCCCAAAGCCAAATGGCCATCCCACTGCTACGCCTGAGGTAATGCTTCTTTTTTCAATTCTTAATTACCTAGGAACTGAAGTAGATATTACTTGTTGCCATGTTGGCCACTGTTAATTGCTGTATTGAGTATGTTTTCTCTATTAAAATTGAAGTTATAAACGAATAATCCTGTTGCTTGTAGCCTGAAACTATGCCGAAATCGCTTCGGGGGTTTGTTGAGAGGGCTTTTGCACGCTGCAAGGATGATAAAGAAAAGGCATCTTGCCAGGCCGCTCTAAGAGAGGTAAATGTTTGTAGGAATTGTAGACGGACAGTTGTTACACTATTTGGCATGATTAATTGTTCTTTAAAGTCTCTCATTCTGCTCATCTTAATGTTAATTTCTTGAATGAACTTCTTCAACTTGATCTTCCAGTAGATGTTTAGTATGGTTAAGATGTTTTCATACCTTTTTGGGAACATGAAGAAATCAATATGCAGCTATTAATATACTCTACTAATTTTTGGCTACTTTGCATGCGGATGCTTATTCTGTATTTTTAGATCATCACCAAAGCTAGGGATGATCGTACTCTTCATACTCGGGATTGGGATACTGAGCCTCTCTCAACCGTCCTGAACGTAGTTGTGACTAACACTGAGTATGGCCCTGTTTTCCTTCCTTATCTCCAGCCTCCGTGATCTATAACTTTAATTCTTCTCTATTATATGTTTGGAACATTTACTTTATCTGTTTGCTACTGAGTTTTACACTGCACTGCAGGTCAAGCTCCACTCTTAATTCTTCGTTACAAAATAAGAGCCCAACAAGACGACCCAAAAGTAGATGGGAGCCGTTACAGGAAGCAAAACCATTTGTCAAGTCGGCTCCGACTTTCAGCAGTGGTGTTAAGTTTGGAGGTTGGAATCACCAAAATGAAAACAACAAGAAGGTTAACTTTTGCTCCTTATTATTTGTGAATGGATGCTGCTGTTGGTGATACTGATTATACATTTATGGCCAAAGGAAATGAAAAGAAAGCAATTAGCTGTTTGAAATTTTCTGCAATCGACTGATTCTAATAATTTTTTTTTTTTGCAGATCTCTGAGAATTTTCAGAAGGTTGATCCTACCACCAATTCCAAACCCACATACTCTTGGCAAAATTCTGCAAAGAAGAGTTTCCAACGGCCTGTCAAGCGACAGCGTTTTTCTGGTGGTGTAGCTACTGCCATTGATGATGAGGCGTCTAGTGATAGTGACAAGGAGTTGACCCCTTACTATTCCAGTGCAATGGCACTTGCTAGTTCTACCGAGGAAAAGAAGCGGCGTGATAGTCGTTCCAAGCGTTTTGAGAAAGTTCAAGGGCACAGCCGAGGGAATGATATTCCTAAACCCAAAAATGCAAATGTTGGAAATTTGCATCCTAGAAGAGCCACTGCATTGAGGCTTAGCAGAGACTTGGATGAAAGTGGCAGCAGAGCTGTAGAAGACATTGACTGGGATGCACTAACTGTTAAAGGAACTTGCCAGGAAATTGAGAAACGTTATCTCCGGCTTACTTCTGCACCGGATCCTTCCACCGTAATTATCACTATCTTATACCTAGTACTCTTTTCGACACCCTGACTGATGTTTTTGATTGACTTATTTGAAACCACACTGCTTTACAGGTAAGGCCAGAGGATGTACTAGAAAAAGCTCTGTTAATGGTTCAGGACTCTCAAAAGAATTATCTTTATAAATGTGATCAGCTAAAATCTATTCGCCAAGACCTCACAGTACAGCGGATACACAATCATTTAACAGCTAAGGTATATAATTGAGTTCCAAATAATGCTGAGCGTTATTGCATTTAGGATCCATTTCCTGGTGGAAGGTTTTATCCTAATTACGGGACCTGTCACCCAATGAGCATGTTAATGATGGTTCAATGCTCAATGTATATTTCAGGTTTATGAATCACATGCAAGATTGGCTTTGGAGGCTGGGGATTTGCCCGAGTATAATCAGGTTGGTATGCTAGCACCGGTTGTCTATATTGCAGGATAGTAATCATTCAAAAAATCTCTGTTTAGCAAGTTAGAAATATACGAGTCGAGTTGTGCCTCTAGGTTCTAGAATCAATACAGTTAAACTTGAATAACAGCTGTAATTGCCATAGCTGGGAAGATGCTATAGATATAATGGTTAGAGTTGAAATGTTGAATCAGAGAGAAAGTCGCGAAAACAAGTTTTAGTTCTGATTGCATGTTACTATGGATTGTGGCTTCGGTTTGCATTGATTCTGCAATGTAGTGATGCTGTTTCATCAAGTCTTGTAGAATACATCTAGTGTATATTTGTGAGGAGACTTGTTGTAAACGTCAAAATATTTGTAGTACGCTGAATTGGTTTTTATTTTTTGGTACAGTGCCTATCACAATTAAAAATCCTGTATTCGGAAGGTATAGAAGGATGCTCTCTGGAGTTTGCTGCATACAATCTGCTCTATATTACCTTACACTCTAACAACAACCGAGAACTGCTATCATCTATGTCCAGGTTGGTGCTTTTAAATTCCTTTCTCTAGGCTCTGTTAAAGCATAGATACAAGAAACTTTGATAAATAGTGCTACACAAACTGTGAGTGACCAATTGGGAATATTATTGAAGTTATGAATGTTCACTACACCTGTCTTATAGTTATGTTGTTTTACATCTCTTCCTACCAGTGTGAAGATGTTACTCCTATTAATTGGGTCTGTACTCATGAGATTGAGTAGATTTTTTCTCTCTGAAGTATATCTTTTTTTTGCTCTGTAGATTATCCGAAGAAGCTAAGAAGGATGAAGCAGTAAGACATGCTCTCGCAGTTCGTGCAGCTGTAACATCAGGAAATTATGTTATGTTCTTCAGACTCTACAAGACTGCGCCAAACATGAACAGTTGCCTCATGGGTGGGTGAAAACTCTTTTGATATGTTTGAACAGTTGAATAAAAAAAAGGGATAGAATGAAATTGTTTGCATCTTTTATTTGCAGATCTCTATGTGGAGAAGATGCGCTATAAAGCAGTGAATTTCATGGCTCGGAGTTGTCGTCCTACAATCCCGGTTTCACACATAGTCCAAGTGTTGGGATTTGGTGCTTCAACCGAAGGTAATGGTGAAAAGGAGAGTGATGGTATGGAGGAGTGTTCTGAATGGCTAAAAGCCCATGGTGCTAGCCTCATATCTGACAGTAACGGAGATTTGCTTCTTGATACCAAAGTAAGTCTTCTTTTTGGATTTTTCTTAGGTTCACTTTGATTGAAAGTCATTAAAATGTTGAGCTCTTATTCTCATGATGTGGATGAGGACTGAACTTGTGTTACATTCCTCGTGCAGGCGTCAACGAACAGTCTCTTCATGCCAGAACCTGAAGATGCAGTCTCTCATGGAGATCGATATCTAGATGTCAATGATTTTTTCACGCGTACAGTATGAAACAGTTAATGTTTGTTGTAGTCTGATGGGGAAAAGAAGAAAGAAAGCAATAATGACAAGATGAAGTTCATCATATATTTTGTTCTTAAGGAGACCAATGAAGACAACTGAAGAAAACTCGCATCATCTTTTGCCACATATTCTCAGGTATGACATTTTAGGTTATAGTACTTGATAGGTGTAATAGCAAACTTTTGAAAGATAAGCCATGTGTCTGTAATTCGTTTTTTGTGAATATGGAAGAATCCTTATTCTTTTTAAAGACTTTTGATATGCTTTAAAAAGATAGGGAATCCAGGAAATATATCACTCTTTTTCTTATATAGATATATGAAAAAGCATTTTACATTTAAACGATTCAAGGAATTACAACAGAAAGTACAAGTATGTTTTCGATTTCGTGTCTCTTTTAAGCATTCTTTTTCACCTTCTCTTGTTCTTGCTTCCGAGCAACAAACAGAAGTAAAACAATATCCTAAAAAAGAACCCAAAAGCTACCGTGACAAACAAGCAATTCCATTTGCTCAGTTGAGTAACTCCTTGCAGCCTGAGAATATCATCACCAGTGGTCAAACACGTCGAGCTCGAAATCGTCGTCCCTAGCGAGCGGCTCACCGTATCGAGCAGCCTCAGCTTCATCACCTCCGGTAACTCCCCCAACGGCGTGTTGTCAAAAATCTGAACTCCTCTCACGAAACACTTGGTCGCATCAGAGAACTCGTTCTGCAGAACCGCCTCGTATGGATATTTCACCAGAGAGATGTAGTGAAACCAAATCCAGTAATCTGGGATTCGATTCCTGTTGATGAAGAATCCACTGAAGAGCAAGAAGTAAGCTAAAATGGCGACGACGATTGTGAAACCGAGCATCACATCTGGAACAATTGCTGATATAAACGTGACGAAAGAGCTTCCTGACCAGAACGAGGCTAATATGATCAAACAGTAAAACAGTAGACCCATTGGGCCTCCGTCTAAGCCCACAGCCCAAAACGTCGTCGCTGCGAAGGCGAGAGAGAGGAAGATGAGCGACGGGAAGGAGACGATAGCGTGTGAGAGAACGTAGGAGGATCTCCGGTAAGCGTTGTAAGCGGTTTCTCTCATGAAGATGTAACGTTCCTGGAGGAATACGGGAAGTGCTTCGGCGCAGGTGTAGAACATTGTTGACATCGCGAAGGCGAAGAAACCTAGCCGCTCTTGGACTCCTTTCGGGGAATTGTCTAATCGCCAGAAGACGGTGGCTAATATGAATCCGGTGATAACGACAGAGGCGACTCGCATTCCGAATTGCTCCGGTTGTCTTCGAGAGTTAAGCATTGAGCGTTTCGTGAGAGTTTTGATTTCGATCCAGAATGGATTTGCGAATGCAGGGACGGATAAGGTTGTGGTGGTTGCGTTTCCTCCGCCGTGTGGGATCGCGGCGGATTCCCCGCCGGAAACTAGCTTCCCTCTGCTGATACTTGCCGCGATTGCTTCTTTTAATGTTAGATTCGGGTACGGCGACGCAGGAGGAGTCAGCGGCGGTTGACGGTTGTTCTCCTTCTTCATCTCTTGCCATTTTTTGTTGAATTCGACTAATCCTCTCGTTCCTCCGGCGGATACTTCAAGCTCACGGATGAGATCTAACGCGAATTCGGTTCGATTCTCGTTCTCCGGAATCGGATTCCCGAACTCGGCGAAGAAACGCGGAAGACTCGCCGGAGATCCGCTGTAGACGGTGTGGCCACGAGAGAGGAAGATTAACCGGTCGAGCAAACCAAGAACTCTGTGGCTGGGCTGGTGAATCGACATAATTACGATACTGCCACTCTGCGCAATCCTCTTCAACACTTTCACCACCATGAACGCGCTCGTCGAGTCCAAACCTGACGTAGGCTCGTCGAGGAAGAGAAGAATCGGGTCGTGGATTATATCGATCCCGATCGAAACACGTCTCCTTTCACCACCGGAGATTCCACGGTGACCTTCGTCGCCGATAATCGTTTTAGCGGCGTTTCTGATTCCTAACTGATCGATCAAAGCTTGAACACGAAGCTTCTTCTTCGATTTCGGTAAACTCCTCGGGAGACGGAAATCAGCAGCGAACATCAGAGTCTCTTCGACGGTGAGCATAGGAAAGAGAAGATCGTCTTGCATCACGTAGGCTGAGATAACTTTGAGCATCCGAGATTGAAGAGTTTCTCCGTTTAGCTTCACCGTTCCTTTCAAGCTTCCTTTAGCAATCCGATTCGCCAATGCATCGATCAGAGTTGATTTCCCGGACCCGCTAGCTCCGAGCACGGCCATGATCTCTCCGTCTCGAGTCTCGCCGGAGATGTTATTGAGGAGTGTTTTGGTATTCGGCCTTCCGGTTAGAGCTAGCTCGGGATCCTCTGTTTTCCGCCGTGGGATGAGATCGCGGAAGTTGAGTTTCCGGCGAACGGAGACGTTGTAAGTGAGATTGTCGAAAGTGAGAACGAAAGGAACAGTACGGTCGAGATCATAGTCGTCTTCCCGGTTTAAGGATTCATGAACTGGAGTCTCGTCTCCAATGGATACTTTCCTCACGTCACTTACGTTCTTCAGAAGTTGCCCTAAAGTGGAATCGGACACGGAGGTGATGGAGTTGAGCTCCGCGGAGTAAAACGGCGGCGATTCATCAGCTGCTACAATACGAGCCATAATTACACAAAAAGAACCTTTTTAAGAATGTTTAACAAATTAACGGTTTAAAACACACTCATTACACTTCCTTTAGCTACACTCTCAAAGAAGAAGAAGAAGAAGCGAAAGTGTTTGTTATTTAGTTAAGTGGGTTTTTTTTGTTTTCTTTGGATATGTCTTAATCTGTGAATCTTACTATATGCTTATATAGAAGTAAGAGTGCGTGAAAAGCTGAGAGTGCGTGAAGAGACGTGTGTGTATGTGTGAAGACAGACACCAAGGCTTGATTGATGTGAGAAATGTTAAATAAGAAGTCTTTGTGAGTTGCATGGGAAAGGTGTGTTAGGTTTTATATTTTGACTGTTTGGATGTAAATGCGTTTTTGATTTATTGTTTCTTTAATTAGGGGAAGGTGAAGAGTCGACCTATGAAATCTTAAAGTTCCCAAGATAGAAATACCAAATACGCTTTCCTTCTTTTTTTTGTTTTTGTGTGTAAGAATCGATGGGCACAGGACAGGTGGCGAAATGGGATTTTATTGACTTGTGAAATAGCCAATTAGGTAAAGAGTGTTTGTTGATCTAACATAGGCATGGGACGAGGACTTTCGTTTGTGTTTCTCCCATAGGTTTCCCATACTTGGCCGGCCCAATGAATGCTCCTCTTCTCTAATTTTCGAGTTATTTTTTTCATATTTTGAGTGTACTATAGACTATAGTGATCACTAAATATTTCCCCGCGTTCAGTTTTTCAAATTCTCAAAAGAAAAAAGAAAAAGAAAATCAGGCGAACAGAGACCACAGAAAAAAAATTAGATTAATTTAATCATCCCAATAAGTAAATGGAAGCAGGTTATAAAGGATCTCTCACCAGATGGATAAATCATTACTGTGATATCTGATATGTGGAGGTAACAAACACCATATAAAATAACCTTGTTAGAAGAATCTACAATATGCCTTTTCTGTAAAATAGTATTCTTAACTGCGTTTTAGGTGGTTGACAAGAAAATCGTGTTAGGTAAAAGCAATTTTCAAAAAGTGTAAATGACAAATTTGCTACTATGGTGGTCAAAGCTTGTTTGGCATAGATGATTGATGAGGTAGTTAAAAAAGCGAAAATATTATCCAAACCAAAGTCATGCAAACGTGATGCCAACTTGTAGATGTAAAATAGCACTAGTAGAGGATCTATAGTTGTAGACTGTTGTTTACCATTGGTCTATTACTCTATTTAAACAGTCGGTCCAATCAAAATGAAAACTTAGATATTGTATAATATAAATGCCTACAATGCTAGCTAGCTTGACTACTAAACTTGCCGAACTTAATTAAAAGCCTAACAGAATGGCGGAAAAACGCTTCAACCGCACATGCATGGTTGGCCTAAGTTAAGTTATCGATAGTGTATAATACAATATTCGATTTCAAGTCTTTCTATGAACATTATTACATCAGCAGTCTCTCCACGATATTATACCATGTTATAAGTTTTTTTTGTTTGTTATTGAGAAGAAATGTATAACATGTTAAGTTGGTTTTTTTAATCGTCATTACTACTTGAATTAGTGGTTTTGATAAAACATTTCCCTTTAAATGGCTATCCAATACTTTAGTTGATCAGTTTTTGGGTAGTTGAAAAAAAAGAGAGATAGAATTGTTTTTTATTCATTTTTCTGAAAACTTTTATAGTTGTTAAATAATGCGCTCGTTAGCTGACATTTTTAAAGGACATAATATAATCCAGTTTTCTACAGTTTTCGAGATTATTCCAGATTTCAACCCAAAGTCTATTCGATTATAGTAAAAGAAAATATGCACTAGCGTAAAGTATATTGAAATAATGTCGATAGGATGACTTCGTATTAATTGCGATGCATGTGGTAAGTTAAAGTCAAATATGTCACCAATTAGGTGATTTATATGTCAAGATATTTATTGGGAAAGGTCTTGTAAAATTAATGCTCATTGTTCCATGCATGCACGACGGAACTTTGAGAAGATCCTATGAATTCGGTTTCAAATTGCGTGAGCGTGACTTTTCGATATCTATTGAATGTTAACTATCCGTAGTTCCGTACCATCAAACCCAAAAAAATTAAGAAATCAGAATATTCGAAATTTGGCGCGCAAACAGATTGTTAAGTTTTTCTGTGGTATATATTTAGAACAAAGTCTAGTTTTAATGTTAGAATAGTCAACCTTAATTTGCCATAGAGTGACCAGTCATTTGTGAGTAAGAGTTTATCCAAAGGGTATAAACCGAGTGTTTATTGTACATGTAAATTTGAAAAACATTTTCTATACAGTCTATTTTTCAGAAACAAACAAAATTTAAGACTCATTTCTATTGTAAAAGCTTCAAAGTATCTTTCTAGTCATTAAGCACAACAATCAGCGTCAACTAACAAACTTTGGGAAATAATGCAAATATGAAAATTCTAAACTTGCTGCCCATTTGCTATTTTCCGTAAATGATTGTAAAGGTTAATAGAACACGATTACACACACTAATCACAAACTCCACATTATCCATGAATAACGTAGTTGTCAGTTATACGAGTAAACTAAACTATACAGATAATCGTGTTTGCTACAATATATTGATAATCTGTTTAATATTATACTTTTCATTACATCCATTTGATTTCTGGTTTGATATATTTTCTTACGATGACTACCGGTTTATGCTATTCAATCTCTCACACCAAGTTTTCTCAAATCACATAACAGTATTAATTTATAATGCATTTTAATCTGTAACCGACTATCATTTTCACACCTTCTAGAATTGTACTCTAAGCCGGTGTAGTGTTAACGATAACATATGTAAGCATTAAATAATGTTAAGGAAGGCTCACATTTCCATTTTCATTTTGACTTTTTCGGTAATTAATGTTTGTTGACTTTAGAATACCAACTTCTAACTGCATTTCCCTTCATGCCGCCACGATCAAAGGAAAGGAGATTCATACTATTATTCAACAAAACTTAGCGTAGGCGTAGCCGACTTTGAATTCATTTGGACCAGTGTCTCGTTACATGTACTTATATATAAAAATGTACTAATACTGATTTGCAGAGACAGCAGAGTTAACATCACAGTTTTTTAGTCATAAAAAGTCAATATATCCGCAAGTCTCGTTATGAAAACACAATTTTGGTGTCATGTGAAATGCATACAATCAAATAAATTATGAATCCACGATAACATAGCAAACTTGGGCCAAAAATTCACTATAGGCCCTATCCGTTCACTAGAATTTACTCACATTCACTTAGTTAAACGAGAAGCAGGAATTGCATGCATGTGAATTGTTACAGTCCTGCTTTTGGTTAACAAGAGAGGTCTTCGAGGGTTTGTAATCTCTGATCAGAGTGAACTTCTGAGCCGAAATGAAGAATTTAGATGTGGTTAGATCTCGAGAAGATATATTTAAGAACCAAACTCTCGAAGAACCTAAAAATTAAATCATTTTTATTTAACCCAATCCAAAAAGAAACAAACAATAGACTGGTACTGGTAAGAAAAATTTACGTTATACTCCACAAATCCATATTGAAGATTAGATAAATAATGAACTCCATGGAATGTGATAGTACATGATCATTCAGTTTCTTTGTATAAAAACAGGATATCAGCATGTAAAAATATGTATTGTGAATTACTAATACCTATAGTTTTCAATATTAACATTTAAAAATACATTGGTGATTTTCCAACCTACCCATTTGAGGACTGGTCTTTCTCTGTTATTTTCATTTCTTTTTATAAATTTTGATAGTTTATGTTAAAATCTATGCACATAAATATTTCTTTACGACCTCCATTAAATTTTTTAATTTTTTAATTTAAACATTCTTTTAAGTTCTTTTCCTAATTATTTATTATAGTCTTATTTGGTGGTGTCATGTATTCAAATGAGTGTACCAAACGAAAAATGAGATGTATGGTAAAATATAAATTTATTCTTCTTTTAATTTTGAAATTTTCTGTTTTTTTTTTGGTTATTTGTTACTAGTTTATTATGATATGCTTTATATTAAAAATTCGTTGAGTGTTTAAGTGGATAAATTTACTCCCTATTAGTAAAAACATTGTAATTATTGTTAAAAAAAATACATTTCCAAGACTTTTGTAATTATATCTTAAACTTTTGGTCTAGTTTGGTTTGGTTTCATGATTAAATATAGATTTTAGGGTTACCTCATTTTGGTTTAATCATGTTGGCTAACCGTACTTTCCGATAATGAATTTGTGTTGATCTGATTGCTAATTAGTTTTTGTTTATATTTAAATTTTTAAAATACCATATCTCCTCTCTTTATATATAAGATTTGGGAGAAATATATCCTCTCTTTATTTATAAGATTTATGTTAATTTTATCTGAAAGTATAAAAGGTTATTTATTAATTAAAGGATCATGTATCTATCTAGTTTGTATTTATGTTCAAATTTTAGGTAATACCATAAACTATTATTTAATAATTAAATGATATTATATCTATTTAGTTTGTATTTATGTTTAAATTTAGATAAAACCATAAAATATTTTTTAATAATTAAAGGAATTATATCTAATTAGTTTATCTTTATATTTAAATTTAGCCAAAATTTAATAAAACCTTTTTAGCAATTAAAGAAACAACATTTTCCACACCAAAAAAAATAATATATATATATATATATATACACTAAATGTTGATATTCTTCTTACTCCAATATTTATCTTAAATAAAAAAAAATGAAGCATCTTATTCTTTTTATGTTAGTTACTATTACATATTTTGGGTTTAATGAAGCTTGCGTTGAAAATCGAGTAGAAATTCAAAATCAGCTCGGGCCTAATCGTGTTCTTGAATATCATTGTCGTTCCTATGATAACGACCTAGGTGTACGAAAGTTAGACTTCAATGGTACTCCATTTATCATTAAATTTCATGACGAGATAATGCAGTTAACATGATGGGCATGTATTTATAGACAAGGACCTAACATGGAGTTTTCTTTCGACATTGAAGTATACAAAGCAGATATTGTCCCTAGATGTGGGCAACTACTATATGGGTTGCTAAATCTGATGGGATATACTTTTCAAACACCGCTGATAAATCTCCATGGCGTGTACTATCATGGAATAAAGATTCAAAAAAACTAAACTAAACTATAAGACCTAACTATAACATATTTATAGCAAAATACTATCTATGTGATATATATGTATATGTAATATGTATCAACCATATAAATGATAACAACTTTGATTTAAACAAGTGCATTCTCTTTTCAAAAGATTTCTACATGTCTATATATATATATGTACTATCATGGATATAGATCCAAAAAACACAACGAAACCGCAAGAGCTAAACTTTTGTTCAATCTTCATAGTAAATAACATCTTCTATAATAAATTCATCACATCTTTTATAATAAATTATCATTTTATTTGATATATATATAATGTTTAAAATAATAACACAATATCTTCGATTTACACAAGTGTATTTGCTTTTCAAAAGAGCTCTACATCTCTATAGTTTTTTCTAACCATAAATTGTGTAATTTCGTTAACCCGTTAACTTTTTTTTTGTATTGTTCCACTAGAATTTACTCACGTTCACATAGATAAATGAGAACGCAATTTCATAGATAAATGAGAACGCAATTTCAATACAAACATACATTATTTGACAATCTCAATATATTCCATTGTACTAATATTGCTAGGAAAGCATTATAAATATGGTTAAGTTTACCTCCTCTGCCTATTAGTAAAAGCATTGTATATACTGTTAAAACAATTAATCATTTCCATGAATTCTATTATATCTTAAACTTTTTGTTTTGTTTGGTTTAGGTTTCATGATTAACTATAATGTTTAGGGTTAACTCATTTGGTTTAATCATATTAGCCAACCGTACTTTTCCACAAATATTTAGTTTATGTTAACTCATTTAGTTTATGCTTATATTTAATTTTAGCTAATACCATAAACAAATATTTAGTAATTAAAATATCTCTCAATTTAGCTTAAACCTTAAAATTATTATTTGGTAATGAAATTAAGGATCAATATTTAATATGTAATATTTATGTTAAATTTATCTAAAAATATAAAAGATTATTTAGTAATAAAAGCATCATATATCTAATTAGTTTGTATTTATGTTTAAATTTAGCTAAAACCATAAAGTATTATTTAATAATTAAATGATCTTATATTTAATTAGTTTATCTTTATGTTTAAAATTTTCTAAATTTTTTTTGTTAAGTACTTAGATTTTTTTTTAATAATTTAAAGTTTTGGCTAAATATAACTAAAATTGTTTAATAATTGCTTTAGTTTTATTATGTTTTGCCAAAATATAAGAACCTTTTTTAGTATTTAAAGAAACCAAATATATATATATATATATGTATATATATATACACACTAAATGTTGATGTTCTTCTTACTCCAATATTTATCTTAAATCCAAAAAATGAAGCATCTTATTCTTTTTATGTTAGTTACTACTACATATTTTGGGTTTAATGAAGCTTGTGTTGAAAATCGAGTAGAAATTCAAAATCAGCTCGGGCCTAATCGTGTTCTCGAATATCATTGTCGTTCCGGTGACAATGACCTAGGTGTACGAAAGTTAGACTTCAATGGTACTCCATTTGTCATTAAATTTCATGACGATATAATGAATTTAACAAGATGGAGATGTATTTTTAGACAAGGGCCTAAAATGGAGTTTTTTTATGACATTGAAGTATACAAAGCAAATCTTGATTTTCGATGTGGGCAACTACGTGTATGGGTTGCTAAATCTGATGGGATATACTTTTCAAATAAAGCTGACATATCTCCATGGCGTGTACTATCATGGAATCAAAATTCAAACAACAAAACTATACTATAAGAACAACAATAATATATATAAAGCAAAATATTATAGTATTTAGAAAATTATGTAGCAAAATATTACAATAAAGTATTATTTTATGTGATATAAATATTTGTATCAATGATTTAAATAATAAGGTATTTTATTTATATAAGTGCATTCATTTATACCATAAAACAGCAAATGTTTATTTAATACCATAAAACACCAAAATTTTTATTTAATACTATCATTAATATATATCCAAAAAACACAACTAAACCACAAGAACTAAATCAGTGTCTAATCTTTATAATATACTAGGTTTGAGCCCGCGCTACGCACGGGTAATTTTGTTATTTTTCTTTTTCATATTTGTAAATTTTATTTTATAGATAATAATAATACGATAGTTTTTCCGACGCAACGTTCTTGAGTTTTTTTATTTCCTCCCTTTTATAACTTATGAGTTGCAATTCCGACATCATATATAAATTTGGTAAAACTGTGTAAATGACGTTGAGTGTCATATAGGTTAAACTCCGACATGTTCAGTTAATTAATCAATCATCTTAAACTTTGAGTTGATTTAGTAGAATGAAAGTCCCACAAAAATTGAATGTATAAACAATTTTTTGTTTTATCTTCTTCTTTATTTCAGTGAAGCTCAGTTGGCTAAGTTATCAACTACGTAAGGAAAAAACACTTTGGTTTGAGACTATTAACCCAAATCTGAAAACTCGAACCGTATCGACCCAAAATATTTATACTTGATTTGTTTTTGGGTATAAATAAAATCACTCATTGATAAAAATAAAAAAAAACTTATGCTTGAGACTAATAATTGAAATTATTGAAATATGACTTGTGACTTGTTAAAAATTAGTGAAATTTGTTAATCACAGATAATACATTTAGAGACTAACTTTTAATATTGTATTAAGATGGGTGTTTGACAATATTAAACACTTAAAACCATAAGAGATTTAAAGATCTATTAATGAACCATAAGACAAAATTTTAATTTACAACTCTTCAACGTTGGTGTCTTAAAACAAAAACAAAAAACAGAGCAGAGAAGATAACTTTACAACGTTGGTACTTCCCACCCTCATAAACCTTTATACCGAATCCAGAGGTAATCCCATTTGTTTAGCATATGATCATCAGGTCTCAGACAATCCCACTTTCCATTACAGAATATGCCTACGCATCTGCTCGATACCTGTCAATATAATTAAATCTCCAATAAGCATGATGAACAAAAACTCTTCTGCAACACACACAAAATTGACTTTTCAAATTTTTTGAAGAAATCTCAAAGGACTTACTTTCCAACGCCATGAAGTTGAGTGACACGAGTCCAGTTCTCTTGAAGATACTCATGAGATAATCGTTGTAGCATTTTGGCTGGCTTCTTCTGTAATCTAAGATGTTTTATCAGAGTCTCTATCTTCTTCGCGTCAAGACACAACGGAAACGCGGCCGATATGGCGATATCACTCCCCGCGTCTGCGATTCATTTTCTTGGTTTCCATCCGCAGAGACGTCATAAATGCTTAAGGCAAGGTGGCTTAGCTGAAATATTTCATCATTAGTAGAATGTAAGCAGATATATTGAAGGGAATTATTCACATACTGAAGAAAAACTTTGACCTTCATGAACATTCAACTGGTCCTAACCCGTCAGCTGGTGAGAAACAATATGAATTATGCTTCACAAGATTAGGGTGTTGCAACGCATATATCATCATCCCTGTCTCAGTCACAAACTCTCTGTTCCCTTGCTTTGATTTCGACGAAAGCTGCTTCACCGCGATGGTCATTCCATCAGCTAGTACACCCTGATTAACCAAAACCTATCAGTACTTATAATCCAATCTCACAAAACTTGTGAAAATGAAAAGAGAAAAAACCAAAGCAATCATCATTACCTTATAAACCGGTCCAAAGCCTCCTTCACCAATCTTGTTTTCTGGATCAAAGTTATTTGTGGCACGTTTGATTTGTTTCAATGTGAACGACCCTGTCTGCAGATCAAGTCCCCTAAGCTCTTCTGATAAAGTCAAAAAGTTAAACAATCAAGATCTTGAAAATGGCTCAGATCATTTCTTGAACAAGAGAATGATGTTTCTTTCTTTTTACCATTTGCATCCTCTTATTTTCCACCTAAGTAACCTGCAAGCCTGAGGAGTAAAACAATAAGCATCGCGCACGCTGCAATTACAATCCCTGCAACAGCTCCATTCGAAAATGGTTTTCCTGTATCAACCTTGAAATCTACAACAACAGAGAAAGAACATTCATGATTCATTCACTCACCCCAAAAAATTGGTTTAAAAGAGATTGAAAAAAAAAACTTACTTGGTGTAATGGTTATGGCGGATATGAGAGGCCCATAAACACCTCTTTTTGGTATCACAATTGAGCCTTTGCCTGACCACTGCAGATGAATCTCCAGTGTACTTCCATTCACTTGAACTTCATCAAGCTGCCTAGTGAATGGTTTACCAACTCCACCTGCTCTCTCTGCTATATTAAAGTCCCTCTGGAACAAATTCCCCTGCAAAAACATCATTATACTTCTCAAAAAAAAGTTTGTGATTTTGAAAAAAGGTTTTCATCTTTGTTGTTCTGCAAAACTCACTTGAACATAAATGTCGTCTCCCTAAGCTGTTATAAGCCTGGTCATTTGAGAACATTATCTCTGCAAAATGGAGCTGCACTTTGTAAGTTCCTTTTCCTCTTCTCATGCATAGTCCATAGTACTTGAGTGACTGTGGAGCGAGACGAGCTGTTTTGTAGTACTCTGGAACCGATTCATTGATCAGATTAAATTTGTCTGTTGCTGAAAAGAGAGCAGAGTCATTGCCTACCCAAATTCCAGAGCTGCTATATCCCGACCTTTCAGCTACAGGAAAAAATGATGATGCTCCTCTACCGTTCAAGTCTTCCTCATACTTGTCTTTTTTTATCTTGATTCCACTTCCTCCACAGTTGATGAACAGAGAAGAATCTGCAAGAAACCCGGATCAAGAGGATCAACAATGTTACACATTCGGTTCTTGATCCAGAAAATTTTGAATCTTTAAGGTGTAGATGTGAGTATACAGATTGAAAGTTGGAATCTTTAAGATGTAAATGTTAACTGTTAAGTATAAACTCACGTTGTGCATCTCGGGGACATGGAAGATCCTCTCTTAAGCACCATTGAGCACTACACACGAAGAGATATTTTCTCATTGGTTAAGCGGGTTTTGTGAAACCGAAAGGAAGGAAGAAAGGAGACTCACGAGTTATCGGTTACTGAAGGGTAGCTGGAGATCAAGTTCCTGAAAGTTTATATACCAATAAAGCTGATTGGAGAACAAATGTAAACAAGTAACGTAGACAATGTTAAGCCCACGATCATGATAGAATATTATATTCCTTGTGTAAACTATATTAAGTCATACATCAATTTCAAAAGTCTCAATATGAAACAACAAAAAGAATGCTTACACATCAAGCTGAGTACAGCCTAAAGTAGGTGGCTGAGTGAAATTGTTGTAAGACAAATCCCTGAAACAGAGAAATGAATGATCCGATAAGACAGATGAGACCTCAATGTTCGGTCTTATACAAAGGCAATTTAGTTTTTCGCTTACATGCTTCGTTTAGTGTCTAGGATGAATTGAGGAACTTGACCTGTTAATGAGTTATTACTCAGAAACCTAAAGCACCAAAAGAAAAAGAATTAGTTTTTGAGTCACGGGTTAATCATCATCTAAGATTTTGATGATTTGAAAACTTACATGAAATCATATTTAATCAGACTCCTAAATGTGTCTGGAATTGTACCAGTTAACATGTTTGAGCTCAAATCTCTGCACAAACATACTTATAGGTGTGAGATCTTAATCAAAATCATCAGTCTTTAAAGAATAGATTAAGCAAACTTACAGTAACTTCAGCTCACTCATGGAACCAATTAGTGATGTGGAACATAGAAATTACAGTAACCTAGAAATTAGGGGTGTCACCTTCTTCTCGAATTCTTTCCTCTTGCCAGATCGATTATTCTGGCTAGGGCAGGGGCTTTGATTCTCCACCGCTTGATCAGAAGTCAGCCGTTGTTGGAAGGAAGGAGAGAAGATGGGGCGTTTGGAGATATGAAGTAATCCCGGTTTCGGGAGGAGTCTGAGAGGGCGTCGGAACGATTCGGAGAGGAGGAGAGCATATACCATGACACGGCAATCCGGAGAAGCTGAAACGTTTCATAAAAAAAAATTTAGGGAGTGCCACGTGACCATCTCTCCCGCGCTGACGTGGCAGTCAGCTGTAGAAAGATGGCCAACTTTTATAGTATAGGATAACAAATTATTGTAAAAATATATTTTTTTATATAAATATATCAGTGCTATAAATAATAACACAATATCTTTGATTTATGCAAGTGCATTTGTTTTTCAAAATAACTTTACATCTCTATAGTTTTTTCTAACCATAAATTGTTTATTTTCGTTAACCATTTAACTTTTTTTTTATTGTATTGTTCCACTAGAATTTACTCAAGTTCACATAAACAATGAAAACTCATTTTTTACACAAACATAACCTGTTTGATCATCTCAATAAATTCCATTGTAATAATATTGCTTGGGAAGCATTATAAAAGTTTTTAAGTTTACCTCCTATAGCTATTAGTAAAAACATTATACATATTGTTGAAACAATTCCTTTCCACGACTTTTTTTCTACAAAATGAAGCATCTCATATTTTATATGTTGGTTACTACTATATATTTTTGTTTTAATGAAGCTTGTGTTGAAAATCAAGTAGTAATTCAAAACCAACTCAAACCTAATCGTGTTCTGGAATATCATTGTTGTTCTAAGGACAATGACCTAAATGTACAAAAATTAGACTTCAATAATACTCCATTTTTCATTAAATTTCATGACGAAATACTCATTTTAACAAGATGGACATGTGTTTCTAGATAAGGACATAAAATTAAGTTTTTTATGATATTGAAGTATATAATGCACATGTTATTCCTTAATGTGGGATACTACGTGTATAAGTTGCTAAAAGTGATGGGATATACTTTTCAAATCATATATATGAATTGAGGTCAACTCTCTCCATATGATTTACCTGTGGCAACAGAAAATTTAAAGAGAGCAATCTCTTCCCATTCTTAGTATAATAGGTTTCAAAACCGTTAATTACTTCACCTTTCATAACATTCCATTAATTGATAATACAAAGAAAATGTATTTCTCTAATTCGTGTCTTTGCTTCATCGTGTAAATTATTTATTGTGTTTCTTATTATCTTTTTGCCTCGTAGGTATTTGTAATTTATAATCGTGTGAGAAATCATTTTTGTTTTTGCCTTTTTTGGCAAAGTTGCTTCCCATTGTACTAATGTTCCTGCATTTTCCTTGATTCCAGGGTTTAATACTATCTCCATGACAAATTTGTCTCTATCATTTAAAAAAAAAAAATCTTAAATGTACTTTCTATCACTTTTTAAGCACTGAGTAAAAAATTCAAGCATTGAATCAATTTAATTAATTTTTAAATTGATATCTAATTAAATCTCTGTTTTTTTTAATTGTAACAATAAAGCAAATATGTTTACCAATACAACTTACTCTTTATGTTAATAAATTTATATTTATAATGAATCTCAGTTAATATATTTTAATAAATTATGTCAGTAAATTAGTCTCAATCAATATATATTTATGTTAATACATTTGGAAATTTATCATTGAAAAAAAGCTAAGATAAAATGTTAGCATATTATCATGCTGATAAAATTTAGTCATTGGCACAATTTGATTCCATAAATGTTTATTTTGGTAAGGATGCACGTTATAAAAGATTATATACATGTAGTTTATGTCAACAAATCCTAAATCAAATAATTTTGATGGTATTCTAAATTTTTGGATTTCCTCTTTGTAAGGTTAACCTAAACGGCTAAACCTGTATGGGATTGGGTTTTTCTGGTGTCGAAATTGAAACCTTTTTCTGCCTCTTCAATCGTGATCTTTATTTATATAAATAAATATATATCGGGAGGCTCTATTATTTTGTTAGGATAAGAGGATTATAAGAATAAGATGAAGAAGACGATGATGTCGAATCTTCCAAGGGATTTATCGGAGGAGGTGCTGTCTAGAATTCCTTTGACAAGTCTGAGAAAAGTCCGATCTAGTTGCAAAAAGTGGAACACTTTATCCAAAAACAGCTTCTTTGCAAAGAAGCACCTTCGTCGTCAGGAAGCAGAAGAAGTAGCCAAGGAGGAGTTTATGGTGGTGGTGATGATGGATTATAGCGTTTATTTGATGGGAGTGAATCTTTCCGACAAGGAATCGTGTATAAAGCGACAAAGCAAACTGATTTGTCCCGAAATCGAGGTATGCATAGTGTTTCATTGCGACGGTCTGTTGCTATGCGTGTCGAGAGACCACACTAAGCTGGTGGTTTGGAACCCGTATTCCGGGAAACCCCTGTGGATCGAGCCGACATATAAACCCAAAAGATTGACCCATTCTTTGTATGCCCTCGGATACGACAAGAGCAGCAATTCCTACAAAATCTTGAGATTTAGGGGTACCCTTTTGTTCACAATGTACGACATAAACTCTGATTCTTCTTGTGTATCTGAGAGGGTTCTTGATATCACTCCTCCAGACTGGAAGGTAACTTACTATCATGCTGGCGTGTCTCTCAAGGGGAATGCCTACTGGCTTGCTACGAAAGAGGAGGAAGAAAATTGCTTAGTCTGTTTTGATTTCACAAGAGAGACATTTGGGCCGCGGTTGCCTTTGCCTTTCGAGCATTTCCCTCGAGATACTGTGAGTCTATCTGTTGTGAGAGGAGGGAAGGGGAAGCTTGCGGTTTTGTTTCAGCCATGGGATACTTTAACGGTGGAGATATGGGTTACGAGCAAGATTGAGCCCGACTCCGTGACGTGGGAAAGCAAGGTGTTGTTGAGAGTGAGTTTGAAACAAACCATTCACCCTCAGTTCCAGTTTCTAATTAAAGGTGCTAGTTTCTTCATTGACGAGCAGAAGAAAGTCGCCATCGTTTTTGATAAAGAGTTTGATCCTAAGACTCTGCCTATTCGCAACACAGCTTACATCATTGGAGTGGATGGGTGCTTGAAGAAAGTTGATCTTGGAGAATCTGCTCACAATTTGAATACTCCACTTGCGTGCTCTTATCTTCCAAGTTTGATCCAACCTAATTAGACTTCACTTCACTTCTTTGCTGCTTTGTTTGAACAAGATTTCTAGTCAATATATATATATACACATTTCGGTTGCCATGTTGCCACTTGGTTTGTTTCACTGCTTAATATCCGATTCAGAAGCCGGATGAAGTTTGATAGAGCCGCGTAAAGGTGTCATGTAAAGTGGCAAGAGAGTTAGATAAGTAGAGTTGCATTGTGAGAGTTACGGTCTAATCATCTACAAATAAGTTCAGTGATATGTCACAGTGTCCTGAGGGTTCTTCCTCTGGAATGCAAGTTTGAGAGCGTCGCTTGTTATACTGTATTTTTGTATGTTTTCTCTAAATTCTCATCTTTACATTTTTTGTTGTGGTTGTTTGGTTCGAATGGTTGTTTGGAATCTAACACTTGTTGGCTGATTCCTAGGTCCCAGGACAAAACCAATGGACTGAATCTTCTTCTAACGAGCTGAAGAAGAGGTTTTTGGATCTAACTTTTCTCTAAATGCTCTTTTGTGTGCGTGTGGTTGTATTGGATGTTGAGAATGTAACACTTTTTTGGACTGATTCGTAGGTCCCATTAAACGGATGATATATTGTATTATTGTATGTAGTGAAAAGTATAACAACTTGTTTAGAATTTGAAGTGTATATGTTTCAAAGAAGCTTTCAATATGTCCATAACAACAACAAACACTCAAATTTCCTACAATAATGTATAAAACAGTCTTGTGTCCTCTCCTTCTCTTCCTGTACAAACAACACTACAGTAAACTTTTCTTGATCAAATCTTCATCTCGTTTCTTCTCTCACCACCATCTGCGCAAAAACTTTGCTCATTGAGACCCTTGCAATATCTCCAACCCCATTGACACTAAACTGCACGGTTGAGCCAACGACGCTCGCCTCTAGATCATCATCATCCACCATTGCTGCTTTCTCGTCTTTCGCTTGTACCTGAAGCAAGAACTCAAGATTCCACAACAAATTTCCCATCGTTGGTCTCTCACTTCCGTTTTGCCCCAAACACTTCTCTGTTAACTCACAGTACTTCTTCACCTCTTCACTCTTCACTTTCCCTTCAAGAAAATGATCCAAGATCTCTTCAACTTTCCCTCTCTTCACAAGCTTCATTGCCCACTCAATCAAATTCACTTCCTCCCTCGGAAGCGATGGATCAATCACTGCTCTCCCGCAAATCACTTCAAGCATCACAACACCAAAAGAGTAAACATCAGACTTCTCAGTCAACTGCTGTCTCGTCAAGTACTCCGGATCAAGATAACCAAAGCTCCCTTTCACCGCGGTGCTCACATGCGTCTGATCAAGATCCGGACCTGTCTTGGACAGTCCAAAGTCTGCAACTTTGGCCATGAAACTCTCATCCAACATAATGTTAGCCGACTTCACATCCCTGTGAATCACCGCTCTAGCCGAACCCGTGTGGAGATAGTGAAGACCTCTAGCTGCACCAACGCATACCTCAAGCCTCTGCCTCCAGCTCAACCTCTTCCTATCATCATCATCATCAAAGTCATAAAGATGGCTCTTGAGCGTTCCTTTCTCCATAAACTCATACACAATGATCATCTCGCTGCTCTCATCGCAGTACCCTATCAAAGATGAAAAACCAAGGGCTATTGATGCAGTAGTAGATCACAAACTGGGACGGGGTTTTCTCTACAAAGAAATATATTACTAGAAACTTCTTTAAGATAACTTACAAGTATATGCTTAAACGAACTCAACAATCACGATCTATCCACGATCTGGTTGCTGTTCTAGTAACTCTCACGTTCTCAGATCTATCCACGATCTTTGAACCTCTCAAACCCTAGCTCCTATTGTCCTAGCTTTCTTACAAGAAATCTAAACCCAAATATGCTAAAGCTCTCAAGTTTGTGATAGCCGCTTCCAAGCAGCCAAGGCTCTCTATTTATCCACAATAGACGAGCTGTGAAACCCTACAAGGTTTCTGCCTTGGTGATTACTCCAAATCTCCAAGGGAATATTTCCTTTCCTTATTTTTCTCTAAGAATAGGAAATATTCTTTTGTCTTGATAATTCCAAATCTCCTCATCCAGCTCAGCTACCGCCTCTTCTGGATTCGTCCTTAACCGCTACAAGCTCGCATCCAGCTCAGCATCATCCTTTAGCTCCGTTAAGCTCCACTTAGCTCCGCTACAAGTCCGTCCACACGTCCTGATGCACTTCCTGACTGATTCACGATCTGCGTCAAACCAGTTGCATCTTCAATCTCCCCCTTTTTAGCTTTGTGTCTCTCAAGCACCTATAAAACTCAAAACCAATGCATATACCAGAGATGACCAGAATACTGGGATGATCTGAATACTTCAACATTAGTCATAGAAATATTAAACATGATTCAGAACAAGAGTTAAATCCAAAAGATCAAAGAACTTTCAACTCTCAACTCCCCCAGAATTCTAGATCGAAAACTACTCAAAACAAGCAAACAAGATCAAAAGTCTTGCTCCCCCACAATTCTAGCTTAGATCCTAGTTTTCGTTCTCTGATACATCCTATTCTCCCCCTGCTTGTGAGCACACACAAGTTAAAAACACAAGATGGATAAACAGATTGAAATAGATTGTGCAGAAGGACAACTTACCAGATTGACGATGATCAGACCCTGAACTATGTCAGTGAAACTCCGAAGGGACCTGTTTCCTGAAGAACTCTCTTGTTCCTTGGCACGAGAGAAACATCCGCATCACTCTGTTCTTCAACACTCTGAGCATATCAAGTCTGATTAAGAGCGGATGACGAAACCTCTGGCGCTGTGTCAGATGGCGGATCAATCGATGGCTGCTTCTCGATTTGAGAAGACTACTTCGTTGTAGTTCGAAACGGTTGACCTAGTTGAAGTTCATCAAGAGACTCTGTTTCGCGAGCTTCGTCGAGAGGGTGAAACGGCTGGTTTGGATCTGACAGAGACATTGATGCGTCGGTCTGTTGTACCTCCGGCTCTGCTGGTTCAGAAACACCATCGGTGGTCACTACCAGAGATGTAGTGGTCGCTACTTCAGTCGCTTCGTCAGTCGACGGCAGTGCTTGGAGATTGCTGGCTTGTAGATCTGACGGCTGTTTCAAAACACCATTTAATCGGAATCAACATAAATCAGCCGGATTAATTTGGTTTAGAGACCCAGAATCCTGTTTGACTTCCTGCAACACTTAGCACCAATATCAGCAGTACAACACAAGGACCCAAAATTGTGACAACCACATAAGATTCGATTCAAGATAGAATCCAAACAAGTAATACCTCCCATGTGTCACATCTTTTCAGCTTAAAAACATTTTTACTCAGTTTATCTCAAATTAAATACCTTTCATTTTAGTGAAGGAGACATTGACTGAGTCGGCACTTGCATCAGGATGTATTACAAATTCTCAACAGATTCATAGCGCTTGGCCATCCTGATTCCAACCTGCAGCTTTCACTTTGTCATACCCAGATCATATCACCACCTCTAATTCCAATGATGTGCAAAGTGAAACTCTTTATTTTGTTCAAGGCAGAACATGTGATCATTCTCTGTCGTTGGATGTTGTTCTTGTGAAACATTACCCTTCGAGAAAGCTCATGGACCAACTCAGCCTTGTGAGCTATTGTTGTCAGTCCATCCCCTTTCCAATTAAGCTCTTATTTCTATCGTCAGACTTTGTTCTTGTGAAACATTGTCTTTCGAGAAATCACATGAACCAACTTAGCCTTGTGAGCTATTGTTGTCAGTTCATCACATTTCCTGTTATGCTCATTGAATCACTTTTTGGTTCTTGAAGCAGCAAGCCATCTCCATCATATTGCATTCATTTGGAGTTGGCTCAGCTGCTTTTTGACCTTGAACATGCTTTTGAATCACTTACTTTTCACTTTTCTTATGTTGAGGTGACATGACGGCATGACAAAGTAGCTGATCCTCATTGGCACCTTTGACTCCAAACAAAATCTGAACTTGTTATACACCCCGAGCCAGTGCCTGTGTCAGCCCCTGCATCATTCAAAACCACTTGTGCAAATTCCAATGGAATTTCTTAAGGTGACAAAACGGTTAAAGTCCAATGGTTTTGTGAATAAATCAGCGAGCTGTAAATCTGTGACAACATGTTCAAGTACTACCTGTTTTTCTTCCACCAATTCACGAACAAAGTGGTGTCTTATGTCAATGTGCTTAGTCCTTGAGTGCTGCACCGGATTCTTTGATATGTCGATGGCGCTTTTGTTGTCACAGTAGACCAAGAAGGGTCCAGACTCCATCCATAATCGGCTGACATCTGTCTCATCCATATAAGCTGTGTGCAGCAGCTTCCCAATGCAATGTACTCAGCCTCTGCAGTAGATAGTGACACAGAATTCTGCTTCTTGCTAAGCCAAGCAATAAGATTGTTCCCAAGGAAGAAACAACCTCCACTTGTGCTTTTCCGATCATCTGCGCATCCTGCCCAATCGGCGTCACAATATCCAGCAAGATTTCTGTTGGATCCTTTGGAGTAAAAGATCCCCAGATTGACAGTTCCCTTGACATACCTCAAGATCTTCTTCACCGCTTGAAGATGGGACTGTTTTGGTTTGGCCTGATACGAGCACAACACTCCAACGCTGAAGCTTAAGTCAGGTCGACTTGCTGTAAGGTAAAGCAAGCTTCCAATCATTCCTCTGTAGAGCTTCACATCAACGTCTTCTCCTTGTTCATCCTTTCCAATCTTTGTCGTGGTGCTCATTGGTGTTCTTGCCTCCTTGCATTTGTCAAGACCAAACTTCACCAGTAGATTCTTGGCATAGGTGCTTTGAGAAATAAAGATTCCTTTCTCAGTCTGATTCACTTGAAGTCCAAGAAAGTACTTCAATTCTCCCACCATGCTCATCTTGAACTCCTTAGTCATACTCTTCACAAAGTTTTCCACCAGCTTCTCTGAAGTTCCTCCAAAGATGATATCATCTACATAGATCTGCACCATCATCATCATCTTCCTTCTCAAGTATGAACAGAGTCTTGTCCACTGTTCCTCTGATGTAGCCTATGTTGATTGCTTCAGCCCAAAACTTCACTGGAATGTTTCCTCCATAGATCATTGCTCTCGCCATTTCCTGAAGTGTTCTGTTCTTTCGCTCAACAACTCCATTCATATGTGGTGTTCTGGGTGCCGAAAACTGGTGAGCTATACCATGTTCATTGCAGAACTTCATCATCACCTCATTCTGAAATTCTCCCCCATGATCATTGCGTATACGCTTGAGGCTTCCTTTCTCTATAATAACTTGAAGAGCCCAAATCTTGAAACTTGCCATAGTGTCAGATTTGTCACGGATGAAGCGCACCCAAGTGTATCGCGAGAATCATCCACTAGAACAAAAACATAGCGCTTGCCGCCAATGCTCTCCACTTACATTGGTCCCATCAAATCCATATGTACTAGATCCAAAGCTGATTTGGATTGTACATCCGACACCTTCTTGTGCTGAACCTTCACTTGTTTTCCTTGATTGCATAAACCACACACGATTTTCTCACACCCCTTCAGCTTAGGAACACCACGAACGATCTCCTTATTCACCAGAGTGGTAAGATGGCGAATATTCAGGTGACCCAATCGCTTATGCCACAACTCAACATCATCTCGCACACTTAGACATTTTGCAGATTGATCCCACATGTAGCAGTCGTTGCCTGAACGAACTCCTCGTAGAACTGCCTTTCCGTCAGCATCAATGGCTTTACATTCTAGCTTGTTGAACCACACTATCAAACCTTCATCGCATAGTTGGCTGACACTGATCAAATTTGACTTTAGACCTTGGACAAGATAGACATTCATAAGTTGTGGCTGCTCCTCAGATGTTCGTCCTTTGCCTTGTATAGTTCCTTTGGTTCCACATCCAAATGTCACCTTTCCTCCTTTTAACTGCTTCACGTCCTGCAGATTTTTTTTCATGCCAGTCATATGTCTGGAACAACCGCTGTCGAAGTACCACGTTCCTGTGTTGTCCACCTCATTGCTTTCTTCAAATAATGCCATATTGGAGCAGAATCGCTGTCTTGTACCACTTGGTGCTGTACGTCGAGCAGGATTTTGGTAAAGATCAGTTTTCCTGATGAAGACTTGGTTCAGTCCATGATTCCAGTAGTAGCGTCCTTGTCTCCAGGCGTGATCAACTCTAGCACAAAACTTGTTGCAGAACGCCTTGATATGACCCACAACTCCACAAAAATAGCACTGTTTCCCTTGATGTCTTTTGTGGCGATGTGATGCTCTAGCATTACTGACTTTCTTAGCCTCATATCCTAATCCCATGGTGGTCTTTCCTCGATTTCCACTCCTTAGGATGGGATCAGGTTTCTGTGCGGATGATCTAGTCTCTGCTTGAACAACATCTTGAGCTATTCCTCCAGACACGAAAGTGACTGTCTTGCCGGTTGATCCACTTCCTGTTGAGTATCCCAGACCAAGATTTGACTTCCCAACACGACCCAGAGTTAGGATCTTGTCGAACTCCTTAGTTCCAGTCAACATCTTCAGTTGCTTTCGATGTTGATCTAACTCAGCTTGTAGACTCCTGGAGTTCTCCTTCTCCAAAAAGTACTCTTTTGTGATGTCATCTGCTCGTTTAACCGTTTCCATCTTTTCCAACATGATATTGAGATTATCCATGTTGAGATCTTTTTCCGCTTGAAGTGCCTTCTGAAGTTCTCCAACCTTTTCTTCAAGACGAACATTCTCCTTTTTCAGTTCGAGATTCTCTTTCCTGGTTTCAACCAAAGCATCACGAACTTCTGTGAAGCTTTTATAGATATCAATCTCATCTTCTTCATCACTGGACGAGTCATCGGTATCTGATTCAGATGCTTTTCTTTCTTCCACAAATTCCGAAATTCCGGCAAAGGCTACAAAGTTACTGATTTCTTCATCTTCATATGTATCTTCTTTAGACTCTTCATCAGCAACACTAATCATCAATTTTCCTTGCCTCTCGTCGCTTTCACATTCCTGGTGCGTGTGTCCGAGGCCTTTACACTTGTAGTATGTGATATCATCAATACTTCGGATGTTCAATCTCATCCTGGATTTCCAATATCCATACTTTCCTGCATCAAGTATCACCTTTGACCTTCCCATGAAGTCCAGGTGATAGCCCTAATTCCGCAAGATCTCACCTGCTATAGCAATACACGCAAGGTGACTGCTCTGATACCAATTAAAAACCAAGGGCTATTGATGCAGTAGTAGATCACAAACTGGGACAGGGTTTTCTCTACAAAGAAATATATTACTAGAAATTTCTTTAAGATAACTTACAACTATATGCTTAAACGAACTCAACAATCACGATCTATCCACGATCTGGTTGCTGTTCTAGTAACTCTCACGTTCTCAGATCTATCCACGATCTTTGAACCTCTCAAACCCTAGCCCCCATTGTCCTAGCTTTCTTACAAGAAATCTAAACCCAAATATGCTAAAGCTCTCAAGTTTGTGATAGCCGCTTCCAAGCAGCCAAGGCTCCCTATTTATCCACAATAGGCACGCTTTGAAACCCTTTAAGATTTCTCCCTTGGTGATCACTCCAAATCTCCAAGAGAATATTTCTTTCCTTATTTTTCTCTAGGAAAAGGAAATATTCCTAGTTGCTTGATAGCTTCGAATCTCTTCGTCCAACTTAGCTCTTGACTCTTCTAGAATCTTCTAGCTCGCCTCCTCAGCTACAAGCATATGTCCAGCCCATCAGATCGATTCCTTAAGCCCATCTGCTGAACACGACTCTCTGTACTACTTCTTGACTGATACATGAAGTTCTTCATTCAACTGTATCTTCACTTGTTATGACATGTTCTAAAACTCGGTCAGCACTGCATCAACAATCTCTCCCTTGATGATTGAGTTTTAGATACATGGCATAACCCTTCACGAGTATGATGATCCTCTAACTCTCCCTTAATTGTACACCATCCTCATGGCATAACCAATCCAGAGCATGATGATCTTCTAGCTCTCCCTTAATTGAACACCATCGATTTTCTTGATTCCTCCAACACTATTGAAAGTTCATGGGGATACCGATAGAGACCGTGAATGATACAGAAAGTAGTACGAGCATAAATAGTAGTAAAGACACATAGAGTTTGTTAACGGGGTTCGTTTCCTACATCCCCGGGACCTCGTCCAGAATCCACTAGAACAAGATTGCAATTACAGTTGCTATGGTATCCAGCACTACAATGCCTACCATTCTCTCCTAGATGGATACATTCAAACAATGCCCTTAACCCTTTGTTTGGTCTTCCTACTAGAACCCCAAAACCTTATGCTAAGGCATCTTCGAATGTAATGGGTTGAGCACATCCAATGCTCTCCACGTCCTATTTATCCACAATAGGTACGCTTTGAAACCCTTCAAGATTTCTCCCTTGGTGATCACTCCAAATCTCCAAGAGAATATTTCTTTCCTTATTTTTCTCTAGGAAAAGGAAATATTCCTAGTTGCTTGATAGCTTCGAATCTCTTCGTCCAACTTAGCTCTTGACTCTTCTAGAATCTTCTAGACTCGCCTCCTCAGCTACAAGCATATGTCCAGCCCATCAGATCGATTCCTTAAGCCCATCTGCTGAACACGACTCTCTGTACTACTTCTTGACTGATACATGAAGTCCTTCATTCAACTGTATCTTCACCTGTTATGACATGTTCTAAAACTCGGTCAGCACTGCATCAACAATCTCTCCCTTGATGATTGAGTTTTAGATACATGGCATAACCCTTCACGAGTATGATGATCTTCTAACTCTCCCTTAATTGTACACCATCCTCATGGCATAACCAATCCAGAGCATGATGATCTTCTAGCTCTCCCTTAATTGAACACCATCGATTTTCTTGATTCCTCCAACACTCTCTCCCTCTTTGACCATGGTTGTGAACTCAGCAATTATAGCTCCATAATAATTCTCCCCCTGCTTGAGTTCATAACCTGATCAAAGTTAATTGCTGAAGCATCTCCGCTCTTGAGGTTGATGGTCCTTCTTGAAGCGCCATGATGTACTGGGAATTCGCTCTTGGTAACCCTCCATCTTCTCTGCAGGAATCTCCCTTGTTTGCAGCTTTGCAATATGCACAAGAGCCCGCTCTGATACCAATTGAAAGTGCATGGGGGTACCGATAGAGACTGTGAATGATACAGAAAGTAGTACGAGCATAAATAGTAGTAAAGACACATAGAGTTTGTTAACGGGGTTCGTTTCCTACATCCCCGGGACCTCGTCCAGAATCCACTAGAACAAGATTGCAATTACAGTTGCTATGGTATCCAGCACTACAATGCCTACCATTCTCTCCTAGATGGATACATTCAAACAATGCCCTTAACCCTTTGTTTGGTCTTCCTACTAGAACCCCAAAACCTTATGCTAAGGCATCTTCGAATGTAATGGGTTGAGCACATCCAATGCTCTCCACGTCCTATTTATCCACAATAGGTACGCTTTGAAACCCTTAAGATTTCTCCCTTGGTGATCACTCCAAATCTCCAAGAGAATATTTCTTTCCTTATTTTTCTCTAGGAAAAGGAAATATTCCTAGTTGCTTGATAGCTTCGAATCTCTTCGTCCAACTTAGCTCTTGACTCTTCTAGAATCTTCTAGACTCGCCTCTCAGCTACAAGCATATGTCCAGCCATCAGATCGATTCCTTAACCCATCTGCTGAACACGACTCTCTGTACTACTTCTTGACTGATACATGAAGTCCTTCATTCAACTATCTTCACCTATTATGACATGTTCTAAAACTCGGTCAACACTGCATCAACAAAAGAAACCAAATGCCTATGCCTAAACTGAGAAAGCATTTCGATCTCTGTCTTGAATTTACCTCCTCTGCCTATTAGTAAAAGCATTGTATATATTGTTAAAAACAATTTATCATTTCCACGAATTCTGTTATATCTTTTTGTTTTGTTTGGTTTGGGTTTCATGATTAACTATAATGTTTAGGGTTAATTCATTTGGTTTAATCATATTAGCCAACCGTACTTTTCGACAAATATTTAGTTTATGTTAACTCATGTAGTTTATGTTTATATATAATTTTAAGTAATACCATAAACAAATATTTAGTAATTAAAATATCTCTCAATTTAGCTTAAACCATAAAATTATTATTTGGTAATGAAATTAAGGATCAATATTTAATATGTAATATTTATGTTAACTTTATCTAAAAATATAAAATATTATTTAGTAATAAAAGCATCATATATCTAATTAGTTTGTATTTATTGTTAAATTTAGCTAAAACCATAAAGTATTATTTAATAATTAAATGATCTTATATTTAATTAGTTTATCTTTATGTTTAAAATTTTCTAAATTGTTAAGTACTTAGATTTTTTTTAATAATTTAAAGTTTTGGCTAAATATAACTAAAATTGTTTAATAATTGCTTTAGTTTTATTATGTTTTGCCAAAATATAAGAACCTTTTTTAGTATTTAAAGAAACCAAATATATATATATATATATGTATATATATATACACACTAAATGTTGATGTTCTTCTTACTCCAATATTTATCTTAAATCCAAAAAATGAAGCATTTTATTCTTTTTATATTAGCTACTACTACATATTTTGGGTTTAATGAAGCTTGTGTTGAAAATCGAGTAGAAATTCAAAACCAGCTCGGGCCTAATCGTGTTCTCGAATATCATTGTCGTTCGGTGACAACGACCTAGGTGTACGAAAGTTAGACTTCAATGGTACTCCATTTGTCATTAAATTTCATGACGATATAATGAATTTAACAAGATGGAGATGTATTTTTAGACAAGGGCCTAAAATGGAGTTTTTTTATGACATTGAAGTATACAAAGCAAATCTTGGTTTTCGATGTGGGCAACTACGTGTATGGGTTGCTAAAACTGATGGGATATACTTTTCAAATAAAGCTGACATATCTCCATGGCGTGTACTATCATGGAATCAAAATTCAAACAACAAAACTATACTATAAGAACAACAATAATATATATATAGCAAAATATTATAGTATTTAGAAAAATATGTAGCAAAATATTACAATAAAGTATTATTTATGTGATATAAATATTTGTATCAATGATTTAAATAATAAGGTATTTGATTTATATAAGTGCATTCATTTATACCATAAAACAGCAAATGTTTATTTAATACCATAAAACACCAAGATTTTTATTTAATACTATCATTAATATATATCCAAAAAACACAACTAAACCACAAGAACTAAATCAGTTTCTAATCTTTATAATATATAACAAATTATTGTAAAAAATTATCTTTTTATATAAATATATCAGTGCTATAAATAATAACACAATATCTTTGATTTGCAAGTGCAATTTTTTTTCAAAATAGCTTTACATCTCTATAGTTTTGTTCTAACCATAAATTGTTACTTTCGTTAACCATTTAACCTTTTTATTGTATTGTTCCAATAATTTACTCAAGTTCACATATACAAATGAGAACTCAATTTTTACACAAACATACCCTATTTGATCATCTCAATATATTCCATGTAATAATATTGCTAGGGAAGCATTATAAAAGTTTTTAAGTTTACCTCCTCCTATAGGTTAGAGCTATTAGTAAAAACATTATAAATAGTGTTGAAACAATTTCTTTCCACGACTTTTTTGTTATATCTTAAACTTTTTGTTTGGTTTGGTTTGGGTTTCATGTTTAACTATAATTTTTTGAGTTTACTCATTTGGTTTAATCATTAGCCAACCGTACTTTCCGACCACAAATTCATCTTGACTTGATCTTTAATTAGTTTATGTTTATATTTAAATTTAGCTCATAACAAAAACAAATATTTAGTAATTAAAGATCAGAGATGTATCTAGTTAGTTTTTATTTTTGTTAAATTTAGCTTAAACCATAAAAATGATTACTTGGTAATGAAAGAATCAATATTTAATACTTATGTTAAATTTATCAAATAAATAAATATTATATAGCAATAAAAGCATCACATATCTAAATAGTTTGTATTTATGTTTAAATATAGCTAAAACCACAAAATATTATTTAATAATTAAAGGATCATATATTTAATTAGTTTATCTTTATGTTTAAATTTTGATAAAATCAGATAAAATGTTTTTGAAATTAGAAATTTTTTATAATAATTAAAACTTTTGCCAAAATATATTAAAATTCTTTAGTAATTGTTTAAGTTTTATTATATATTGCCAAAATATAATAAAACGTTTTTAGTAATTAAGAAACAACTTTTCCCACACATAAAATATATATATATATATACACTATATGTTGATGTTCTTATAACTCCTATAATTATCTTAGATCTAAAAAATGAAGCATCTCATATTTTATATGTTGGTTACTACTACATATTTTTTGTTTTAATGAAGTTTGTGTTGAAAATCAAGTAGTAATTCAAAACCAACTCAAACCTAATCGTGTTCTCGAATATCGTTGTTGTTCTAAGAACAACGACCTAAATGTACAAAAATTAGAACTCAATGGTACTCCATTTGTCATTAATTTTCATGACGAAATACTCATTTTAACAAGATGGACATATGTTTCTAGATAAGGATCTAAAATTAAGTTTTTTATGGCATTGAAGTATACAATGCACATGTTATTCTTTAATGTGGGAAACTACGTGTATGGGTTGCTAAAAGTGTTGGGATATACTTTTCAAATAAAGTTGATAAATCTCCATGGCATATAGTATCATGGAATCTTAATTCAAATAACAAAACTAAACTATAAGACCAACTATAATATATACTCTCTATGTTTCACAAAGAGTGTCATTTTAAAGTTTTATTTTTGTTTTACAAAGTGTGTCACTTTGTATTTTCAATTCAAATTTATTAAATAAAATCCAGTTTTAACCTTGTGATATTAGTGTATTAAGTAGAAAGATAATACCTTTTAATGTAACTATAAGGATAAATTAGAGTTTTTAATAGTTTTCTTAATATGTGTGCAAAAGAGTAGAATGACACTCTTTGTAAAACAGAGATAGTATATAGCAAAAAATTATAATATATGGACACATATGTAACAAAATATTACAAGAACATATTATTTATGTGATATAAATGTATGTATCAGTGATTTAAATAATAACACTAGATGAACACCCACGCTACGCGTATGTTAATATTTTACAACTTGTTTGTGTATTATTGCTTTGTTTATTTGTTATGTGGTACTGAGCAATTATATTGGTTATTAATTGTCATTTAGTTTTGAAAGTGTAAGTGGATGTTTTGGTACTGAATAATGGAGTGAAACTAAATGGTGTTATGAGAAATTTAGCGGTCTAGATAATGTTATTTATTATGTTTGATACAGATATTGATAATGTTTTTCGGATCGGGTCTTTGGGGTCGGTTTTGCCCATGCCTACTTTCCTTTTCTTAGACATCGTTGTAAGGTAAATCCTTTATAAAAAAAAACACATCGCTGAAATATTTTACTTTTACCCAAGCAACTAATAGGCTAACACTAACAAAATCTTGACTTTTCTTATAAAAAATGTTTGTCAGAAAAGTGCCATAACACGGTTTCATAAACAAAAAAAAATTGAAATTAGAAGACCGCTATTGTATATGAATTTTGCATCCTCTTCTGCAAAGCTTCCCAACCAATTCAATACGATGATACGACGATACCACGAACTTGGATTAGAAATGGCTCCTTGCTTTGCAATCTCTACTCTGGTGGTGTGAAGCCCTTTCTCCTAAAATAGAAGCAAGATATATAACTAAGAAAATAATTTGAACACTATTCAAAACATACCATGGATCAGATTCCGTCCAAATCACTCGTATCGCAAAGCAAACCAGCATAGAGAAAATGTGTTTTCTCATTAGGAGAAGCGGGACGTCCAGGAAAATAAGTTTGACATTGTAGCCAACAGGTTTACTATTGGTAAGCTTTTATTAGTCCAAGTTTCAACAGCCACGGGCGTGTTTTTTAGAGCTTATTGGACTGGTGCCAATCCAACCATCATCCCGGAGAGTCAAATAACAATAGCACTGAACTTTTTATGGCGAATGTAAAACGAAAAGGTGAACGAATAGTAGAACATATACATTTCATAAATGTATTTGGACTATAAATGAGAATCTTTGAGTGGATAGAATATAGTAAGCAAGAAAACCTTGTGAGATTGCTAAAACTCGTACAATAACTGACCTTATGTTTGACGTTAATTAGTTCTCATAATTTGAGCGAGTCAACTTAGATAGCTTAAGACATTAGAGAAACCTCCACCTCCCAAATTTGGTTACAATCCTTTTCCAAGTGTTTAATTCTGTGGTATAAAACATAGAGACGGAAGGTGATGTCGATGAAACGGTCATAGAGACGGATCATAGGCATACCACATCATTGGACGATTTCACTCAGCATTTGCATGTCATGCGCTTAGTCTCCTGCTTGTATGTCATATTAAAGTCGTGTGATTTGTAAGTAAGAGGCATATGATTTGAAGTGTAAATACTTTCTGGCTTATAGAACCAGAGCGCGCGAGTATCTATTCAGAGGTGTAAAAAGCAGTCTGAGAAATTCGAATCTTGCAGTAACTAATTTCTAGTGAATTCTGTAGCAAATTAAGATTTCGGAACAAAATACCAAAGAGCTGAAACATTTATGAAAATACATTAAACGGATGATATATTGTATTATTGTATGTAGTGAAAAGTATAACAACTTGTTTAGAATTTGAAGTGTATATGTTTCAAAGAAGCTTTCAATATGTCCATAACAACAACAAACACTCAAATTTCCTACAATAATGTATAAAACAGTCTTGTGTCCTCTCCTTCTCTTCCTGTACAAACAACACTACAGTAAAACTTTTCTTAATCAAATATTTACCGCGTTTCTTCTCTCACCACCATCTGCGCAAAAACTTTGCTCATTGAGACCCCTGCAATATCTCCAACTCCATTGACACTAAACTGCACGGTTGAGCCAACGACGCTCGCCTCTAGATCATCATCATCCACCATTGCTGCCTTCTCATCTTTCGCTTGTACCTGAAGCAAGAACTCAAGATTCCACAACAAATCTCCCATCGTTGGTCTCTCACTTCCGTTTTGCCCCAAACACTTCTCTGTTAACTCACAGTACTTCTTCACCTCTTCACTCTTCACTTTCCCTTCAAGAAAAGGATCCAAGATCTCTTCAACTTTCCCTCTCTTCACAAGCTTCATTGCCCACTCAATCAAATTCACTTCCTCCCTCGGAAGCGATGGATCAATCACTGCTCTCCCGCAAATCACTTCAAGCATCACAACACCAAAAGAGTAAACATCAGACTTCTCAGTCAACTGCTGTCTCGTCAAGTACTCCGGATCAAGATAACCAAAGCTCCCTTTCACCGCGGTGCTCACATGCGTCTGATCAAGATCCGGACCTGTCTTGGACAGTCCAAAGTCTGCAACTTTGGCCATGAAACTCTCATCCAACAGAATGTTAGCCGACTTCACATCCCTGTGAATCACCGCTCTAGCCGAACCCGTGTGGAGATAGTGAAGACCTCTAGCTGCACCAACGCATATCTCAAGCCTCTGCCTCCAGCTCAACCTCTTCCTATCATCATCATCATCAAAGTCATAAAGATGGCTCTTTAGCGTTCCTTTCTCCATAAACTCATACACAATGATCATCTCGCTGCTCTCATCGCAATACCCTATCAAAGAAACCAAATGCCTGTGCCTAAACTGAGAAAGCATTTCAATCTCCGTCTTGAACTCCGCAAGACCTTGGCGAGACTGTGGAGCTCCACGTTTCGCAGCTATCTCCGTCTTGTCCCTCAACACTCCTTTGTAAACTTTACCAAACCCACCAACACCAATCACTAACCTCTCATCGAAATCATCAGTAGCTTCCTTGATCAAACCTAACGGGAAACGGTAACCGATCTTGGAGCTCGAAAAGATCAAACTTTCGTTCTGCTTCACCTCTCTAGAATGAACACTCTGCATCTTTCTTCTTCTCCTCACGCAACACCAAAACACAACCATACAAAACACTAAACCAACGCACAGAGCTGCAGATACTCCAGCGATCAATCCAATTCTCGGATTCGAACTCTTTCCACGTGAAGAACTATCCGAGAACACAGCATCAGAAACATCAAGACTCCGCTTTTCGTTGCTCAGCTTCAAGATCTCAAACCCGTTGATGAAAGAAACGGGATACAAAGAAACATCCATAACTCCACCAATAGACAGATTCAACGCTCCTTCTCTGCTTCTCTCCTTCTGCATCACCGCGTAAACGAAATAAGGAGCTCCAAAGGTCCCATTCGCGACCTCAGTCATGTCAACAGTCTCAACTCTCTCAGAGTTCACATAAATGTCGAAACTTATCTGCCGCTCGAACCCAAACGGATCGACTATGATGTTGCAGAAGTGAAACCGGAGAAAGTAATCGAAGCCAGGCTCGATTCTGAAGTTCCAAGTTAGATTCGCGTTCGTGTTTGGATTGTTCTCTGAATTCAACCTCGTCGCGGTTCCGTAGACGTAAACCGGAGCAACGTCTTCCGTTATTCCACCACCGCCGGCGGTAAAGTTCACAGCTTTGAGGTTTTCCACAGGCATACCGAAATGGGCTTCTCCGATAAACGCGGAATCAGAATCCCATCGCCTCCATAGCTTGTCTTGATCTCGAGTCACGCTCAGATTCCCCATGTTTATCCGAGAGACGGTCTCAATCGCGTGAGTCCTGAGCTTGAGATTCTTCTGTGTAGCAATGAGTCCTGCTTCTTCGGGAAGGAGATTCTCCGGGAGCTTGAAAACTTCCACGGCGTTGATGAATGCGAAAGAGTCGATCTTGGGACGAAATTCGAGGGAGAGATGATCTGTTGAGATGTTTAAAGTGTATTCCTTGACGAGAGAGGTCTTCGAGGGTTTGTAGTCTCTGATCAGAGTGAAGTTCTGAGCGGAAACGGAGAACTTAGCTGCGGTGAGATCTCGAGAAGGTGAGACGAAGGGGAAGAAGTAGAGGCGGATTAAGAACCATCCGTGTTGTTTGATCGGGAATTTGTAAGTTGATTCGTCGGAGAAGACTCTCGCCGTCTCGAACAGAGTCGATTCGTCGCCTGAAGGAAGGGAATTCGAATCGGTGGTTTCGAGAGAGATTCCTTGCGTTGAATCGACGATTTCGGTAGGTAGATTGCTGTCGGAGACGAAGGTTCTGTTGTTGAGGGTTGCATTTTCCGGCGACCCACAGTTGATGAAGAAACTATCGGAAGCAGAGGAGATGTGTGAAGAACAGAGGACAGTTAAAACCCATAAAGTTAAGAGCTTTAGGTTTATCATAGCCAAATGAAGAACAGAGAAATCACCAGAAAATAAATGAATTGGAAGATAAATCAAAGAACAGAGAGGAGGAGAAAATGAGTGTCACGAAATTGTAACTATTTTTGAGATTTTTGAAGGAAAGAGGATAGAAAAATTGTGAGATGTGTTTGGAAAAAAGCTTCATGAACACAAACATTCACATCAGTTCAATAACTACGTGTTTCCACTTATGAATTGACCAAACGAATTAGGGATTAAAAAAAGTCTTGAATTTGTTATTTGGGGTTTAGAAAAGGGGTTTAAACTTTAAAGGAAAACGACGAGAGAGAGAGGGACAAGTAAGCTGATTAACAAATCTGTTGACGAAAATCAAAAGTTGCTTAACAAATCTTAAAATCAACAAGGCGCCACGAGAAAGTTTTGTATTTATGTGTTTTGTAAATTTCGTTTTCAACGTTTTGGTATGACAAGTTCAATTGAGCTGGAAATTCATCAAGATGCTTAGAGAAATAAAGTATTAAAAACAGAAAAGATTATAGAAACGAGGATAAGAAGCCAAAAGGAGGAAGAAGATAGAGGAGAGGAGGATTGAGATTGTGATTGTGATTGGAGACATAATAAATGATAAATCAAAAGACAACTATTTCCCACCGGCGGCAAACGTGACGTTAGGTTTGCATTGTTCAAGAAAGCGACAGAATCATTGTCTTTTAGGGTCTTTTTTCTCATGAAACAGTCAATATTTTTATTTATTTTTTCTATCATACATGATTTTTTGTAAACTAAGATCTTTATATTATTAATTGAGAAGTACATTCTAATGTTTGGATACAAGAATTAGAGAAACATCTATTTGGATAGAAGAATAAATGGAAACAAAAGTTGTTTGGATATAAGAATAAGAGAAAAATCTATTTGGATAGAAGAATAAATGGAAAAAATTGTTTGGATACAAGAATAATAACTTAAAATAAACCGATGGTTTAGAAAACTTCCGTTTTCCATCTCTTAAAAATCTGCAAAAAAGAAAACTTAACATAATCTAACGATAATTCCAAATCAATAGAATATGCTTTTTGGATTTTCGGGTTTTTATAGACAAGTTCGGGTTTGGGTGAAAATCTGAGACATAATTTTATAGAGATATATATAGAGATATAGAAATTGTTCGGGTTTCTTTGAAAATTTCTGTTCGGGTTAGGTTCAATTTTTTTTTTCAGTTTAGGGTTTTCCGGATTTTTTAGATTTCTGGTTTTCGGGTTTAGATATATTAAAAAAATTGAGTATTTTAAAATTTTGATTAGGTATTGGGGTCGGGTTCCGGGTGAAAAAGTTTCCAGATTTTTTTTGTTCAGTCAGGGTTTTCGGGATTTTTTTATTTCGGATTTTCATGTTTAGACCTATTAAAAAAGTTTGGGTTTTTAAATTTTTTGATTAGGGTTTTTTGTCGGGTTCGGATTTAGGGTTTAAATTTTCTACACAAAACAACAACGTCACACCGCACAAACGTGCGGGTACTCTACTAGTTCATACTATTACTTGCAAAGTAAGAATTTCGAATAAAGGCACCACATTAACTCTCAGCCTCGGAATTACATAACTACCCTTAATGAAAATCTTGACAATATCTACAAAATTTCCTTTTCTATTAATATTCGTTTATTGTATTAAAACTTTAAAAATAATAGAAAATCTTGACAATATCTTCAAAATTTCCTTTTTTATTAATTATTCGTTTTGTGTATTAAGACAAAAAAATTATAGAATTTATCCTATAAAAATAATAGAATTATAATTCTTTGTATAAAAATAAGAAACCCTAGGTTTTAGAATTTCGAATGGAGCCACCACGTTAACTCTCAGCCGCGGAATTACAAAAATACCCTTAATAAAAATCTTTTTAATATCTTCACTTTATAATTAATTAACTATAAACTATACTTTTCTTAAATTTGGAAATTCTGATAAAATTAACTTTTTTTTCTTACATGACAATGTCGGCATTTACAAGAAACCCTAATTTTCAAGACTTACATATATCTTTTCGAAGTTTCTTTTGTTATTATTTTCAACATTCAATATATTTTTATCTCCTCTTTCTCCTAGGTTTTGATTTCTCATAGGTTTCGATGGATTTTTTTTGTGTGTTATAATTCTTTATTAAACCATATGTCCTATTGTTCAGATCCAATATCAAATATCTAACACTTATTTTCTATGGCCGTCTTGGTTTTAGTTGTGTTCCTGCATGGTTGTAATTTTAATATGTCACACTGATCTTTTTCTTATTACTTTGTTGCTGTTTTCTCCTTTTTATTTGGTTCGTTGCGAGACTAATTTTTTGGCTTTTTGTTTTAGTGTTTGCAGAGAAAAAATCATAACTACTATTGAAAGAAATAATCGGTTGTACAAGAAATACCAACAACAAAAAAGGTAGATGGTTTGATTTTGATACTTTGAACGTGTTTACTTTTAATATATATTTCATATGATATAAGTAACAATTAGAGTTTAAACCCTAATTGTTTCTTATAGTATATAAGAAGAGCGTGCGTCAAATCTATGTAGACAAATTCTTGACTTTTTATGTTATTAGAAAATTTTCTCTGTTAATTTCTATTCTTGTGAATTCCATATGTTTCATCGATCTCTTCGTTTTTTATTTAGTTTTTCTTTGAAAAGAACTCAACTTTTTGCTACTTCTTTTCGTTTAAATTGACTTTTTCTGTTTTAGTTTTTCTATTTCACCTGTTTATTTTTTTTTTTTGCTGTAAATTCCTCTTGACGCTATTGCACTAAACATTGATGGTTGCTTTCATATTGAGATTGGTCATGGTTGTCGAAAAATTGGGTTGAGAGTTGTTGTCATCACCGCAATTACTTTTGACCCAAGAACTTGGTTATTGGTAACAAAGTTTAGATGGTTATCAAACAGTTTCTTGAGATTATATTTACTAATAAAGTTTCTTCAGATTTTGGCGGAAATATGTAATTTTGGCCATCATCACCCTATCGCCTTTACTCAAAGCAAGATGGATCGAATTTGAATGTATGTATTGCTTGAGTTTGATGCTTTGAAGCACGACTCAGAATTAGGGAAACCTGCTGGAATACAGTTTTGGTTTGGAGACTTGCTCAAATATACAACCAAGACCAGGATTAATTGTCATCTCATATTCCCTTGCCGAATACTTACTTTTGTAAGAATAATTTAATCTGAAAATATGATTACAGCTGGAAACATTTGATATCTTCATAGACCTTCTGATCTGAAAATCTAGCTTTCATTATTAGCCATACTTCTTCTGTTGAAACCGTCATGCATAGCACTCCAATCATCTCCTCTGTTTTGGAAGTTCTAATTAGTTATTTTCTTAATGAAAGGTGTGTAAGATCTGCTACAGAAGTTGATGGGTTCAGGGTGGAGTATAATTTGGAACTGATGTGGAGAAACTCATGACCATATAACTCTGGAATCGATCATATATATTTTTTCTGTGGGAGCCCTAACACCGTCCTAGCTATTTGCTTTCAAAGCCAGAAACTGAGAGTTTAAAGGAACATAAACCATTGATGTTACAGATGCTGTTGTGTCCAACATCTGTGCTGATAGTAGATTGATTCAAATATTGATATTAAACGGAACCCTAGCAATGGCTATTGTCTCTGTTAACATTTTATGGTCGATCTACAGTTCTTGGGTTAATATAAACTTTTGGATTGATCGATGATCAAAGGGTTGTGGCTCTTGAAGTTGGCTTCACCAACAGGTTGTGCTCTTGGCAGGGTTTGTTACATACTAACAATATTTATTTTATTTTTACGAAGCTAAGCAGTACTGTGCATATTATATTCGTTGATATACCCAAAAACGTTTTCTATGATGGATAACGACTTTGCACATGGTAGAAGTTAGTTTTTGACTCTTTTTGCACCTATAGATAATACATAAAAATTAGTTTTTGTTTTGTTTGTTGTGAACTGCATCTCGGTGAAAAAACAAAAGTAGTGTCGTCGAGACTATATTCCAAACATGGACGATGCAACAACGTTCGCTCAGTCGGTTGTAAAATTGCCAATTTTTTTGGGATTTGCATATTAACTATCCTGAATGTAATCGTTTGAATGAGGGATTTGTGATGGTCTTAGTCTGCCGACGTGGAGAGAAATATTTTTCCATGATTTTCTGTTTTAATCCATGGATGACAAGGTATCCAAACAAAGAAAAAGTGATTTCAGTGGCTTTTCGTTTTTGTGTTGACATCAATATTTCTGTTTAAATTGATTAATTCAGGAGCTTGATTTAAAGAACACAAAAAAATGAAAAAAAAAATATAGTTTTTAATGCTTGGTTTGTTTTTGCTCTCCTCTTTATTTTTGGGTTACTATAGATAATTATATATAATCATATTCATACAGATTTTCTTTTTTTGTCTTTTGAATATGTATTTGTCTAATAATAGTTTATATTCCTAGAAAAAAAATAAAACATTAAGAAGAAGATAAACCAGGTAAATAAGATGTTAGAGAAGACAAAGGTTGTGAAGAAGGAAGGAGGAAGAGACATGAACACAAGATTAATTCTGAAGAAAATAAATTGTTGAGAAAAACCAATAAAGAAAAAGTATGAAATATGAGAAGATGAGAAAACATAAATAAAAGAAAATAAAGGGGAAGAAGAAACTGATAAAAAAGATGTTGAAAAAAAGAAAAAGATTGAGAATACTAAATGATGAAGAATACAATATGAAATAAGAAGAAAAACCTGATTAATAATAAGGAAAAAACGAAAGTTGGAAGACGTAGACGAAAAAACAAAAGAAACAAAACAGAAAGAAGAAAAAAATTGAAGAATATGTGAACAACAAAGAAGTTGGAAAAATCAAAAGATAAAAAATAAAAAATAAGAACACAAAGCCAATTGAAAAACAAATTGTAAATAAAAGGAAGAAAACAAATAAAAACCAGGAAATAAAAAGATGGCGATGAAGAGAAAGGAAAATAAAAAGAGAATAAAA